TGCCATTGCAACTTTAGGGAAAAGATACCAGGGAGCATATTCAGACGTGAAAGCATTCAGATGCCATCAGACTAACAGAAAGGAGTGCATGTCTAAAAAGGTCTGTAGTCATGTTTATAGAAGCTACATGTGATTCTTCTTCTACATTTACTGTTTTTAACATTTCCCTTCACTCTTTCTCCCACTTCTCTGCCTTTTTCTCCCTCTACCTAGGGAGACCTTGTGATTTTGGAGTGTGGCTCTCGACCACCAACTGCATTTCCACACTCCTCTGTTTGTCTGTTTGTGTATCTGTGAGTTGACAGGCGGCGGGAGGGAGGCATGGAGGGCAGACACTGGTGGGGCTGGGGAGGGGGATCACCACTGGGGGAGGCAGGATGAGGGGTGGGGGAGGGAACGTGGGTCTTTGCTGTAACATGATGTTTATTCTCGTGATGTATTTAACTGTAGAAGACAACAGAGGATTGTCTGTTTGGTTATACGAGAAAAACTTGAACACAAATACCAAAACATTCGTTGATGAACATTTAAGAGAAATCTTGTGATGGAAAAGACTTACATTTATGGAAAAAAAAAATATTGTAGTAATATTTAACTTGGGAGAATGTATTTGTCTGTGCTGTGTAAATATCAACATGCTGATATATATGATTATATGTACACAGTTGAATAATTGTGCACTCCATATTAGTTGTTATACAACAAATGTTGAGCACAGAGTTATTCAATTGCATTTACTTTGGTTCTGTTTAGGAGCTCACATAGTTTAGCCTTTGCCCTTCGGTTCCTTTAAACTATTCATACCACAATCACGTTTTAATTTACTCATTTCAGAATCTCAACATCTTTTTTTTTATTTTATTTTTTTTATATTTGATCAGTATTACTAACAGGATTTAAGTTTTGGGGTGAAGGCTGTTGAGAGTGCGATGGTATATGTTAAAAGGAACACAGAAGAGTATTATCTATATAAAAAAAAGTGAGCAGAGAAAGAGTGATATATAGTCATAGTAGTGGTTGTACGGTGGGTTGTACGTAGGTTGTTTCAACATTATGTTTTTATATGTTTTTTTTCCATCAAATATCACTGTCAAGAGAGGATGAATTCTTGTGATACACTGACGTATTAAAAACAAAAATGCATAGGGATAAGAAAATTAGTGAGCATGGTAGCATCTCATATTTGCTGTGCTGTATCAGAAACTGCTGTAGTGCTATCAGTGTGTGAATCGGGGCAGTGAACAGCCGTTTTAGCAACGTGTGTTTGTTTATTCGTTTGGATTTATGTGATGGCATAAAACTAATTTTGTCGATGAACCTCGTCCTGTTTTCGATCGCCTTTTATGTGGTCCAGAAAGTTGTAAGACAGAGTTATATAGTTTTTTAACTGGTGTTTCTATCACACTGTAATCAGTGACGTGCATACTCACATTAACATGAACTATAAGTAAATAAGAATAAAGTCTATTCAGTTTTACAGACCTTGGTAATACCATGGTAACTACATATTATTGAGGCAGTCTGAACAATATGTCTCCATATATACGTTTCCTGCATCCTCAGACCTTCTTTATCTCTTCTATTTCTGACGGCAAGCCAATTTACTGCATGCATTATACTTCTTATATCCCAAAGCATCCATAAACATATTTGAGAGGCCGAGGCTCAAAGCTGCAGGAAAATCTTAGACTACACAGTAAATATCCTAATATGATTGATCCACCGTAGTGCTTAGTGCACAGCACATACCGAACAGCGGCTCTGCTATATTCTATTCAAAGCACAAAGTAAGTACTGCAATAATTACTTCTTTCCAGATATAAATACCCCTTCCTGACTGCCAATCCTCTCTTTGGATATTCAAGATCATGTCTGCCAAACAGCAAAGAGACGTGTCTTGATGAGTAGTTTTGCTTCCACAATCCTCATCAGAATGAGTTGTTGTCCATCTTCAGTATATCGGTCCATTGTACAGGTTTGGATTCATTCATTTTTTTAAAAATCAGGGTTCTTTGATTCAGGCAGTGTAGAAGCACCTGGCTTTCTCTCCTCCTCTAGTTCCTCCCTCCCTTCCAACTCTGTTTTTTCTCTCTATCTTTCTTTCTCTTTCACTGTAGCTCTTATAAATATGCTGAAATGAAATATACTCTGTTGTTAGTGGTGAATGATGTCTTGTGATACTCTCTACGCCTTTGGATAGTGCTGTGTTTATTGTGTATGATGTATTCATATTAGTATTTATGATAATGATAAGTCAGAGAAAAAAAATATCCAAGACTCTCCAAAATTCTGCTGTATTCTTAATCTATGGGATTCATGTGAAACAAAATGAAATAAACTTGAAATTATTCTGTTGAAGGTTAAAAGGTGTTTTTCTGTTCATAAGAGTTTGTCTTTTAATGTACTTTGTTGAACTGCATTTTTTTGTTTGTTTGTTGTTTTTTGAAGTTTCTGAATGTTGATATCAGTGTTATTAAATAGCTGTATCAGAAAATTAAAAGTAAATGCCTCTATTTTACAGTAAAATGTGCTGAAATCTTAAGGTAGTAGCGCTACAGTAGGGTTGGATAGTGAGTTCTGAAATGCCAGATGTGGTATTTCTGTAACTGGCCTATATTTCCACGAACAGCAGGTAGTCAGTCATTTCAGGAAGGCTGTGAGTCAGTTAGCGGTGTAACCCTGAAATGCACAGAACAACTAAACAGGTTGTGGTTAAATGCAGTGTTTTTGATGATGGCTCTATATTTCCTTTCCCTTCAAATAGTGCTAGAAAGACCATCAGTATGACAAAATGTACTGTAAGAGCAGAATTGGTGAAAACAGATTTTAAGTTTGAGCACACAACAATTTAGAATGATTTTATGCTCCTGAATGTACTTCTCCCATGATTTAACCTGTGCACAGACATCACACCTCTGTTATCTCTGCCGTGGTTTTATCAGCTGACCTGTTACCATGGTTGCCAAAGCAAACATTGTTGTCACTCTTAAGTAGGTTTCCTGCTAAAAACTTCCTGCTGTCTATTGAGACAGTTTGAGAACATACAAGGATAGTTCAAAAGGTTCTCAGCCTCATCAGAAAACCTCACTGGAGAAAGATTGTTCTTGCAGTTTTTTGTTTTTTTTTAACATAGTCTCCTTTAACTTCAGTGCACTTTATCCACCAATCGCTTTCGCTTCATAGAAAAAGGTCACATGTTGAGTCCTCAGATTCTTCAAAACAGCATGGATGACTTCATTTTCACTCTGAAAATGGCAACTGCGCAACTGGGATTTCAGTTTGGGAAAAGTCACACAATGCCAGGTATCGACTGCAATGAAATGTTGTTTGAACATGCTTACAAAATGATCTATGAATAGCAGAAACTTCTTCATTTTTGTTATCACTGGAAATCAGAGTTTCTGTGGCTGTCCAGACGGTGGGAAAGGCGCTGCATAACATTAGTCTGTATAGAAGGGGCCCAAGAAAAAAGAACATTGCTTGCTTTACAGCACAAAACTGCAAGATTAAACTTTGCTAAAGAACTTGCATAGTCCTGACAGTGAAAGACAGAGGTGGGATTGTGATGATATGGTGCTGCATGATTGCAAAAGGTGTTGGGGAGATGACATTTACAGATGATACCATGAAAGCCTGTGAATAAACCAAAATTCTAGCTGATAAGATGACTTCCAGTCTGTCGCAGCTTGGCAGAAGAGGAATATTTGAGCGTGATAATGATCCAAAACACTCTGCCAAAATCACACAAGAGCTTCTAAAGATGGACAAAGTAAAATTTGCGATCTGGACAAGTAAATAGCCTGACTTGAATCCAACAGAAGAGAAAGGTAGAACAGCATAACGCCTCCAAAAATATAGTCTTTGAAGAATGGCAGAAGATTTCATTGGAAATGTGTGCAGCTCTGGTCTCCTTGGTTCTGACTTTTGTTACACTGAGGTCCTAACACAGGGCCTTTATTTTAAAATACCACATGCAAATAGTCAGTTTTTAAATTACCATAAGAGGAAATACGCTTTAACAGAACTTACATGTAATGCAGGCACTGTCAGGTGATCATATTTTGAATAATTTCTGATGATTTTTGATGATGTAAAGAGTAAACACTTCTGTAAACAGCTGGCAAGCAAGATTTTAAAAAGTGTAAATGGGAACCAATTGTTAAAATTTAAGCAGTGGATTTTATAACTGAATTTTCTTTTTATTCATTTTAATTCACTTGTAACTGTGGCTGACACCAACGAGTAGTGGAGGAACTCAAAATATCTCTACTGTAGATTGTGGTGTAGTTTGATTGACTGGCAAACAAAATGAATCACAAGGACTATTTTTTCATCTTTGAATATTAAAAGCTGCATTAATATGGTAATACTTGTATGTGCTTTCAACCATTGTTAATACAATGCTTAACATATTTATGAGACCACCTGTCTAATTTGTTAAGCACTGTATGTATACAGAGACCATCCAGCATCATGAAGTGCTTTAACGCACACTGAGCTCTCCACGGCTTACCATTTTTAACAGGAATGAGGAATTTCAAACTGAATTCACCTTTTTGCACCCAAATCCGGGAAGTCAGAAATTAATTAAGCACAGCATTCAGCCACTAAAACTAACTGTTCTGTTCAGGAATGCAAGTAATTAACTACAATTAGACATCTTAAACAAGAAATAATAATGTGCTTTACTATTTAAGAAAAAAAAATAAAAGTAAAACAGCACATTTAAAATTTCATTGGTAACAATAATAATGTTTTAGCATTTTAAAAAAAAAATGGTTAAAGAGCTTCTACATACAGGTGTATTAATCATTACTATTATTATTAGCCACTACTGAGTCGCTTTAACTCCTGGTTCGGTGAGTCGTGGGTTTTCCGAGGAGCACCTGAAGGCAGCAGAGAGCCCCTCGGCCCAGCGGTACCAACGGCAGCTCCCCCTGAGGAAAGTGAAAGCCAACGCCCCGCTGTCAGCTCCTCCGCTCGTCCCTCCCTCCTCACACAGAGAGCAGGGTTTGTGCAGAGTTGGTCGGTGACGGAGTCCAGTCCGGGTATTTCTCGGTGATTTTTTTTCTCTCGGAGAAGTTGATTCATCCGCCTGCGAGTGGAAAATCTTGTCGCTAGCTTGAGCGGGAGTTGGAGTCGACAAAACTTTCTCAACCAGCTTTACTGTTCGGCAAGTTTTTTGTTTTGTTTTGTTTTGGGTTTTTTTTTTTTTTTGCTCTGCTCGTCGCTTGCTGACGATAAGGCTGTATTAAAAACACATTCTGTCGGTTGTGTAGGTTAGTTTTTTGAAGAATGGCTGATACAACTGCCAGCCCCGCTACCAACTGCCTGGAGAAGCTGAAAAGTTACGTGAAGACCCAGAAAGGCTTCATCCTCGCAACAGAAATAGTAAGTTCACGACCGGGACGGTTAGCTTGGAACTTTTAGCTTCTTAACGGTTAACTGCTTACAAAACTATAATGTGTGGTAGCTAATCAATATTTCATAGCTGATAAAGTGGTTTCATGTTGTACAGGTATTGATTTTTGTCAGTAATGGGCTAGAGGAGTGAGAGATGATATCCTTGTTATTATTATTTTCTGTTTTACTTCTGTTTGTCTGGCCTTTTGAAAGTGGTCCTGTCAGGGAATGAAAAGCATGTGGTCTAGGGGTTGAGGGATCATTAGCAGGGGTTAAGGGTTTCCACCTGTCACTTGTGCCCCCTCTGTTTTCTCATTTGACACCGAAGAGCCAAATGCTGAGGGTTAACGGCAGATAAAAGGTCACCTGGGTTAACTCAGACCAGTGGCTCTGTCAACCAGCTCCTTTTGTACTAAATACCACAGGCTGCATACTATTTGTAGGCAGACTAGTAATAGTCCAAGTATGTTGAGGAGAAAATGCATTGCATATCACATTCCTGCTTGTATAAAAGCTCATAAAGGGATTTTTCCCCCTGCATTATATCTTTGCACATGTGGCTCTAGTTAACGGGAATATGTCCACCCACCAAGGCGGAACTCCTAATAATAAAATGTAAAGTACAATCACATCCTGTCGAGGTAGATTTTTTATTTAAATATGCTGTCCTTGACCACCTTTTTCACTTGAATGCCTTTGTTTGCATTTCACAGCGGTGCGTTCTCTTCACACACAAGTCACTTTAACCTCAAATGCTTTGCATAACTTCTTTATTTTCAGTGGGCCAGAGTAACTAAGTACATTTACTCAAGTAGTGCACTTAAGTACAGTTACTTGAGCGTCTCCATTTACTTGTGCTTTACTATTAACTCTACATTTAACAACTGCAGTCACTTGGTGGTTTACAGACCAAGATTTTAGATACAGAACATACAATTGAGGTGTAGACCAATATGTTGGGTTTTTTTTTTTACTTTTTCTGGGCCGATACCAAATATTAGTAACCTAGAAGACAGAACGATGCTATTTGAAACTGATATATTTGTGGGGGGAAAAAAGTCCTGACACAAACTCCAACACAAAACTTTTGTTTTGTTACACGTTTAATCAATAGAGATTTGTCAACATTTATCTGTCAGTGTTGACAGGCTATTACGTCTCACATTTGGCCAATCAGATAGTGCTGTGTACAGGACCATGAAGTGACTACACATAGGCAAAGTAATGCATGAACTTTATTTTACCAGTAATCTGTTTTACACCAATGTTTAGTAAAGTGCTGAACATCACATCCAGGCCAGTAATCAGTTGACACCTCAATGAATCAGCTCATCTTGTCCTGAATTAACCTTGCCAAAACCTTTTAAAATAGTTAAATATATTGTTTCCATCTTGACCAGTTGTGTCAACAAAATGCTATATGCATATTATTACAACAACAATAATGCAATAATATAATGTTGACAGTGGCACTTGCAGAATACAGGACTTTTACTTTGTCATTTATTTTTATAGTGTGGTATATGCTGCTTTTACCCAAGGTAGTGCCTGAATAGTTTAATGCATGTGTCAGCGTCACATCAGATACATGCATTAAAAAATAATTATCATATATTTACCTATTAAATTCAGTTCCCAGTTTCTCTGATGAAAAGGTTCTGCTCCCATAACTCAACAAGTTCATTATAGAACAGGCTCTCAGATGTCGGTGGTCAGTGGTCCACCCACTGTAAAGTTTTTGGTTTTTTTTTCTTTTGCGAGGTAATGGAAATTCCAGACTAGTGTGAAGTTCAGTCCTGGGAACAAAGAATGCATGAACTGCTTAGCACACATCTCTGGTGTGCCATTCAAGGATAGCTTCATGCTTCACTGGATACCCTCGACAGTTTGTTATTTCCTCTCCCACTCACGATTTTACATGATAATCTCTAAAGGAAGTCATCTGTGAAGGTGGATGTCTGTAATAGTTTATAATACAAGGAGAAGGATGTGGGAGTGAAACAGGAAGAGAAATGTAATTACTGCACATTATGGTTATATTCCAGTTCGATAGGAAATATGGTGTTTAACCCGAGCAGCAGGATTAAAAAATGCTCAAAACTGTAAGCTGGTAAACTGTAAATCTAAAGGAGTAAATGTCCTTACACCAATTTTTAAGAGCAAGGTTCTGTGCCACATCAAATTAAATGCAGAGTTACCTATTTTTTGCTCTTATTATGCCTGTCAGAGGGATGACCATGCTTGGACATGTTTGAAGCTGCAGGGCAATATACATGTCACAGTTACACACCCATGTAGCACACATTTCTGTTTGTCATGTGGCACAGTTAAGCCAGTGGTGATGAGTTGAGATGAGTCATGCACTTACTTGCCGTTAAAATTCTGAATAAGGACTTGTGACATTGTCTTATGACTGGAAATCTTTTTTGTTTGTTTTCGTTTATCTATTTTTTGGAATTTGTTCATCAGAATAAAGGGTGGAAGCAAAGCAGGGTGGAGAATGCACGTTATGTAAGAAGTGAAAATGACTAGATAATGTACAAGAGGAGTGATGAAATAAAACTGAACTTTCCGTTTTGCTTTCAACACACATACTATCCACTTTGGTGAGCCACAGCAAGTGCAAAAAAAAAGAAAAAAAAAACGCCCCAAAATGTAAGCGACTTCCCTAGCAACCATTGCTGTTTGGTGTGTCTCTGTGCCACAGACTAGCTCTTGGCTCTCGTGTTGCTACTGACTATAATTAGCCAAACATTCGCAACAATTTCCCTTCAGTCAATTTAAACGAGCAGCCCATTATACTGATGTGAATAGATCGTAGCTGGGATCTTTTAAAACAGCCCCATGCAAACACATCCACCGCTGTGTTGAAAACATTAAGGTGTCAACATCTCAGAGCCTTTCTTGTTCAGAAGGACTTTAGTGTAGTGGGTGTTTCTCTGTGTGACGGCCTCCTCAGTAGCCGCTGCTCTCAGAGCAGCCGGCTCTGGCCTGAATAGAGCCTCTTTTGTGAAGGACCTTGGCCTCTGCCTAGACCTCCTCACTACTCTACAGAGGCAGGCTGTGCCAGTCTCGAGAACACATGAAGTAGTGATGCATCTGACTTGCTGGCTGGTTGTGTGTTTCATGTGAGGGGAGGGGAGGCTGTGGTGACAGATGTAGGACTGGTGTCGTGTAGGTTAGGTCATGTGTGTATCATATAGACTGCAGTGATTTGACACTGTCTCCTGAGTTGTCTGCGTCTGGGAATAAGACGTTACAATGTGCAGGATGTGCTTTTCTTAGATACACGTCATAGAGTCCAATTTATTTAGTCAGCATTGCATAACAAATTATTTGACTTGAAGAAAGCAGAGCACTGACATGTAGCAGAACACCAACAACTGATGATGAGAGAATGATTATGAAGATCCAAGGTTTTCTTTGTCAGTAAAGCTGCAATGATTGTCCAATTAGTTGTCAACATATAATTAATCCTAGAAAACTATTTTCTGTTTTCTTTACTCCTCTATGACAGTAAACTGAATATCTTTAGGTTGTGGATGAAACCGGCATTTTAAGATGTCATCTTGAACTTTAGGAAACACAGATTGACTTTTTCTATCATTTTCTGACTTTTAATGAACTAAACAACTAATCACTTAATAAGGAAAATAATCAACAGATTAATCAACAATGACAATAATGATTAGTTGCCACCCTGTTTGTCATATGCACAATATGTGTGGTGACATGCAGGGTTTCATACTTAAGGCTTTTCCATAAAGACAAGTGTGCAAAAAAGAATGATAACTATTATAAGAACTGGACAACGGGAAAAAAGGTCAAAAAATAAATTACAAATATATATATATATTCTAAATATTAATATACTTAAGTGTGCAATAGTTAGTTGATACATCGATTAACTGATCGACAGAAAATTATTTTTCAAACCAATATGTCACACATTTAATGGGTCTCGCTTGTCAAATAAGAAAATTTGTTGATTGCCCTTCACAGCCTTTTTTATTTTCCAGGTGTTGTAGGTGGGCTGTGCATGTGCAGAGCGAAAGAATTAACAAATCTATGTTGTACAAACTGTTGTAAAAGAATAGAAGTGATTGTAATGTAGTGTCTTTGAGTAAATGAAGTTGTTAGGCAAGAAAGTTATTAAAACTGTTCATGTAAGTTTCCACTACTTCACAGTTGTCACACAGCTTTTCTGGATTGTGTGAAAGCATCTTCCCACACAGTTTGACAGCAGAGACAATAGCGATATTTGAAAAAACGACTGATAGTGAGCTGTAGGCTGCCTGAGTTTATGGTTTCTCCATATTGGCAGCATTTCAGCGGATTGAGAAGAATGCAGGCTGACTTTTTTCCCTCATATGGAAGAATATGACAGAACAAACACCCACTGTAAATCTAAGATGAAGGCAGCATGTGATTGAGTGCATTATGATCTAGTTGGTTGTCTCACTCTAGTTGTATTTTGTGCAAATACATTTTTTCTTTGCAAAAATGGTTGTTATCACGTGAGTGTTGACTTAGAACAAGTCAAGTGTTTGGAACAAACAACAATGATGGCTTTGTCAGGGTCATTTACTGTCCGACTGACCTCAACAGTTCAATGGACAGATTATGTTCTGTTGCTGTGAGATGACCGACATGCAGCTGATCTACACACTGTTTAAATAATGTCATTCAAAGCGCCGTGTCAAGTCTAACACGGGAGGAATTTAGGCAGCATCTGTTAGTTTTCTAGTATAATCGAGAATCTTTTTCAGAATATTAAACATTATTCTCTCTTTTCCCCCGCCTACCCATTCCTTTTATACCACTTGTAGATCCTCAGTTTCATAATAATAATCTGCTACGCTTCATCGCTGTATGGAGGCTACTCTGCTGTGGCCATCTGTGAGATGGTCTTCGCCCTGATCTTCTTCATCATCTTCATGATGGAGCTGGACAAGCAGTTCCACGTGGTCCACTGGGTCTGGAGTGTGAGTCCTCTACAGCACACCCATACATACACACACTGGCACATGTAAGTTGCACAATGTTTCATCTTCTGCTTCCTTCTTTTTGTGCAGGATTTCATCCGTGCTGCCATTGGTGCTGCCCTTTACCTTATCACTTCTCTGATCTGTGTCATTCAAGGAGCTGGAGACGGACCTCGCATCGCAGGCGGGGTCAGTTAAGCCACCGTGACTCAACTGTATTCTGAAACTGTTTATAATCGTGCAAGTTTTTCGTTTGTTTTGACAACCACAACCCTTATGTATGGTTATTTTCTTCGGTAGCTGTACCTGCCAGTTATAAATATTAAAGTGAAACCTGGGTTTTTTATATTCAGTCGCTGTTTGACAGGAGACACATTGAAACTCTATGAGAAGGCACAATAGCCAGTTGAGTAATATTATCTTGAAATCATATCTGCTTCCTTCCCTCCTTTCCTTCCTATGTTTTACACCGACAGCTGGCTGCAGTACTTTCGCAATATATTGTGAAAGAGCCAATGTTACAAATTTCTGACATCTGACACACAAAACATGCAAATTGACAGAATCTATACGTTTTCCTTATGTTTTGTTTTTTTACTTCATGTCTTCGCCCTGTCGCAACCAATAAAACAATTCAGATTTTATCATAACCAAACAGGATGCACTCAAGGTTGGTGCACCTTGAAGATTATTCTTACACAGGAAAATAACAGCATCTAGTGAGAATGCATGGGTAGCCAGAGGCAGAGAGGGAGATGGCACATTATTTAAGTAGGACACCATATAGCTGCTAATTATATTGTTAGCGCTTTAGGAGTCAATAAACAAACTTAAATTAAAAAAGAACAGTATAGCCTAAGACCACCAACAAACTTTGGGTCAAAACATTGCTCAGTGTCACAAGATTACATCACACCCAAATCTGCAAATCTATGATTCCAAAACACAACTATTTACATTTAAACAAGATCTTCAGGAAGGAAAATGGAAAAAGATAAAACCCTAACTTGCTTTAGATTAGCTATTCAGGGTTTTTCCAGCCTCAGAATGGACCTTTGTTGGGTGACTATGCACGATCATAAGCATGATTGCTCAATGTGCAGTAAAGGCAATGAGTCTTTGTTACCTTATCAGTTATTCCCGACTCTTTGGTGCACATTAATGTGTGTTATTCTTTAGTACATGAAAACATTTTTAAAAAAAATCCCGATTCTTGTCATTTTGGTGATATCTCTTTGGCTAAAACTTCTTTGATGGGCACCAAAAATTCTGCTATGCTGGAAACCCCTGCTATAACCTTAAACACTATGCATCTAAATCTACTTGCAGATTCAAGGTAAGAGCATCCAGACAGTGGGAAAAAAATAGTTGAAACCAGAAGTTTACATACACTGTATAAAAAGACACATAACCTTTTTTTTCTCACTATCTGGCATTAAATCAGACGAAACTTTTCCTGTTTTAGATCAGATCGGATTACCAAAATTATTTCTATTTGTGAAATGCCAGAATAATGAGAGACAGATATTTTTAGATAGTTTTTTATTACTTTCTTCAAAGTCAGACGTTTCCGTACATTTCCTTAGTATTTGGTAGCATTGCCTTTAAACTGTATGATTTGGGGTTAAACGTTTTGGGTTTCCTTCCACGAGCCTCTCACAATAGTTTCATGGAATTCTGGCCCATTCGTCCTGACAGAACCGGTGTAACTGACTCAGGTTTATTAGCCGCCTTGTCCCACACATCTTTTCAGCTCTGCCCACAAATTTTCTACAGGATTGAGATCAAGGCTTTGAGATGGCCAAAACATTGACTTTGTTGTCCTTAAGCCACTTTGTAACTAATTTGGTGGTATGTTTAGTGTCATTGTCCATTTGGAAGACACATTTGTGCCCAAGCTTTAACTTCCTGGCTGATGTCGTAAGATGTTACTTCAATGTTTCCACTTAATGTTCTTTACTCATGATACCATCTATTGTGTGAAGTGCACCGGTCCCTTCTGCAGCAAAACACCTCCACAACATGATGCTGCCACCCCCGTACTTCACAGTTGGGGTGGTGTTCTCAGGCTTGCAAGTTTCCCCCTTTTTCCTCCAAATGTAACGACGGTCATCATGACCAAACAGTTCAATTTTAGTGAGACAGTGAGAAAAAAAGGTTATATGTCTTTTTATACAGTGTATGTAAACTTCTGGTTTCAACTGTATTTAAACTCAGTGTATTTAATAACGAAACATAACTTGTTGGGTTCTTTTCTCTAGCAGCAAATTTGCTAGAGTTTTAGTTAAGAATTTTATAACATATTTTAAAATTACGTCAGGTCAGTGTCGCTGACACTTTGTTTAAAGTCTGCTATTTGCTTTCCAATTGACTTTTCTTTTTACTAGGCACAAGTAAAAATGCATATTTTCTGTTGGACTTTTTTAAATCTCACATTGATAATACAGACAAGGTGATTTATTGCAGTTCAAAACTCTCAGTTTTCCTTGAAACCCTATTTAGTTTATTTTTAGCCTTACAGGTGTGGGGATCTGTAACTGACTGACTTAGAATTTTTTAGAAAATTGCCAAAGTTCACATTTGTCTTTTTTTTTTTTTTTTAATCTTTACTGTGGTCATAAAAGGCACTGAATTTAGTGGGACAGTTGCTAGATTATCAACAGTGCAAATAGTGCATTAAAAATATTTAAAATGTACACAAGCAGTCAGTGCAGAAATTTGAAATGAAGAGATGTTAATGCAGCTGATGTTTTACCAGAATAGTGAGATGAATGCAGTTGCAAAATATCAAAGAGTGACACCTCTAGTTATATCAACCTTGAATGAATGCTCAACAAAAAGCCACAAGCCTCTCCCCTCCCAACTTTCCTGTTAGATGTAGACATGAGATAATTATTTTTCGGTAATTGCCTGAGAATGTTTTTACGTGTTTTTTTATTTATTTATTTTTTTTAAATGAATTTTAAATTCATTATGTTTTCTACAATATTAAGGATGGTTTACAGTGTTTTCATGAATGTCCATTAAGCTTGTTTTGCATATGACCGTTGATGATGATGATTATTATTATTATAGTTGTGATCTGATACTGAGTTGTCATTTCTTAGGTGTTTGGTTTGATCGCTGGTCTGCTATTTGCATATGACACCTACACCGTATACTTGCAACTCAAGAGCTCCAGAAATCACACAGCAGCTTCTACTGGTGAGATATTTATTTTTATGGTACCACTCAAAATGTGCTGTCTATGACAACAGTCTGCTTTGTTTCATGTACACAAGTTTTCTCCAATGTGTGGCTATCTTTTGATTTCTCTTTTAACAGGAGTTTAAACACTCCAAGACCAGCATCTGTCAAGAACGCAGAAGAAGAACAAAAGTTAAGAAAACAGTGGGTCAGAGAGGAGGATGGACAGTAAAATGAACACGTCACAGTTTAATCAATGCCACTGTATGGCGGGAACAGATAAGATTTATTTTAAGGCCGTGTCTGAGAGGACGATGACATAGTCAAAGTGAGTGGTGCTGTACACATTGTATGTCATTATTCCAACCTCACTGTATCACAGATTAGAAAGGGAAAACTGTCAATAATAGGCAATGTAACACTTTGGTTGATGTCATCAAGCAATTTGTCTAATACACTTGGCTACTGTTAATGGACTGCTGTAGTAAATGGTTACTGTGTTATTTGGACTTGTAAAGTAACTGACACAAAGATGGGTGCTTTAGAAATTGTTTAACATCATAAGGTTGTCAAGAATTTGTGTTCTATATTTTCAGTGAGATTTCTCAGCTGGTTAAACATTTCCGCTTCTGTGATTTAATCTTTGCAATTCCTGCATGTCATAGTGCCTGAAAGTCTCATTCAAATTAACCAGTTCCTTCATCTGTTATTCCTAAACGTTAAAATGGCCTACTGTCATTGAACAGCAATCTTCTGGCTGTTTTCGTACTTATAGAGTTTAGCGTTTATCATTAAGATCCGTTCATGGCCATTAACCAACCAACCACATGTTCAATACAAGAAATACAGCGTCATCCTCCAGTTTTGCATACTTTCACCTTTGTTGTTGCTCAGGTTGTTGCATTGTTTGTCTTCTTATATTGTAACACATTTTAAAGGTGCAGACTATTCCCGTTGGTGTTTTATACTGCTCAGTAATACAGTCCAGGTTTTTTTTTAAATAATATGTTCTCTTTTGACAAGAAAGGTAAAAAAGAATTTGTTTTTAAAGACAAACATTGCCTAATTTTTTATGTTTTTTAACATGCTTTACAGGAGTCTGCAGTTTGCAATTTCAAAATTTAAGGCAGCCTTGCTTTGGGAAATAAAAGCCATTGTTACCACAAAGAAAATCTGTTTTTGTAGCTTGCACTGTACACTCTTAAAATATACTCCTGATGTTTGAAAACAGGTTTGATCTTCAAGGACTTCATGTATTTCTGGATTATCTGACTCATACTTGTCTTCTATAATAAGGCCACTAGATGGAGGCAGTCTGCCACACATCTCAAAGTGTAACGTTCACCACAGAAAAAAGTTAACAGTGTGAAATCAAATCAACATCTAATATGAACAAAACTGAGCTGGTGTTGTCACAAGTCTCTAGTAAGACTGTCTGTTTTCAGATATAATGTGAAAAATAATTATTTTACACTGTTTCTGCCAGGACCTTTGTTTACCCAGTGCAGCATCACTGATCTTGAATTTTGTCTGATTCATTGTATTTGGGTTTTTTTTTATTTTATTTTATGCATGCTGATTGTACTCTGCATTCTGAGATTACGTTGAGATTTTTAAAATCCTTTCCTGCTCGATTTTGTGCTGTGGTGTTACTGCCTTTCAATTGCAGTCACCTTTTTATGACCCATGTCGTTTTAAAGACCTGCGGTGGAATGATAATCCTTTGTTTGGGCTCGTACTGGCTGCTATCAAACTATATCCCAGAATGTAATAATAACTGCCCCATACAACTGCGTGCATATTTTCCAGAATATTTATTTTTAAGTTAAACCCACAGAGGTCCACTCCTTCATACTCTGTATGTGCAGATAGACATAGACTAAACATTAGGGCTGCACGATATACTGTTTCAGCATCAACATGACCGTGTGCGCTAATTCAGTAATCTTATGCCAGGACCTGCACTGTGAAGTAGGGCCAATTAACTCAAATTATTGCTGCTCAGTATAAAAAGAAAACTGGAAATTAAAGCAAGCAATTTAAATGTGAAAGTGCTATAAAAGTCTTATAAATTAATGAGTAATTTTGATAAATATGCTAATTGATCTCAATACTGAATGATGTCACACAGAAATTACATCAAGCCCACTTTATTAAGATCGCATGTTTGAAACTGCCAGAGTTGACCAAAGTGTTGCACTAGTTATAAGACAGGCAGCAACAATAATACAATAAAAAACAAGACAGGATAAGACTTGTTTGTACAATTAAATAAAATAGTCTAACATACTAAAACAAGGTATAAAAGGATGGCAGCTTGTAAGTTCAAACTATGAAATACTATAAATGTTAAATGCAAAACTATTAAGGGCAACTAAAAGCCATTGAAGACATGTACATCTTGAGATTAAAAATAAATAAATAAATAAATTTTAAAAAAATAAAAAAAATATATATATAAATGGATGATTGAGAGAGGACCAACCCTGAATGGCAGTAATGGCAAAAAATAATTATTGATTGCTATGCCACTGTTACACCATATAAGAAAGTGTCTAATCTGTTCAACTCAGTGAAAAGTAACTTTGCAGCTTTTTTCTGATAATTATTTTTGACTTTCTGTGTGGAGTCACTCTGACACAAAGACTCCTCAATCACTCTGGAATGATGAGTTATTTTCAATTAATCAAGTCATCTGGTGAAAATTCCTGCTTTTTATATAACAATCTGTCCTACAGAAAACCAAATATCACAGCCTTACTAAACATGTATGAGTCCGAATGTGTAAGTAAGATTTATAAAACTGAAAAAAATAAAATCAAGCAAATCTGAAAAAGTTCCCACCTGACACCCCCAGGAATCAGCTCATTTTTAAGTCCAATAACTTTAATATTGTTAATAAAGCTGTGCACAATTTTAACTATCCAGCTATCCTATATTGTGAAATGACCCTTTAAAGGTTACCCAAAATACACTTTATAAAGGTTTCTCTGAATTATTAGAAAATATATGATGCATTCAGGGTGCTGATGCTTGTTTCGATTACTTATACACATTCAACTGGTGCACTTTTGCTATTAAAACTATGATATCGTGTTGTAGAAGATACTAGCATTAGATTATGACCTATGATGATTCCCGTCATTTTCATACCATTTGGTTACAACGTGCCATATGGACGGGGGCATTATCATCGTGGAGGAGACCACTCTCATCAGGACCGAAATAATTCATCATTGGAGTCACTCCATCACAGTCAACCAAATCTAAAAAAAAAAAAAGTCCCCACATGACCCTCACAATAGCTTTAGTATATCTAATGAAGTCATGCAATATTTTACCTTCATACTATGAATATTTTCCTAGTTATAGGCCTTGAAAACCCTACATATTTATGCTTTTCAATTCTAACTAGAAAACTGTTTTGGCACAGAAGGAATTGTGGCTAGAAGATAAGCCTGGTATCAAAATGTTAAAACTTTCATTTGCTGTACTCTGTATTGACCAACCACCCGTCCTACAAGGTGGTATGACTTTGAAAGTTGACCAAAAACATAGTATTTAAAGTTTTCTCACAGTGAAAAATAGAGCTGAATGTTAAAAATAAAGTTCAGTGTGTAAAGTCCTCAGAAGATAAGTCTCCTACAGCATTATTGCAGTGGGCAGGAATAACTTCATGTAGCGGTTCTTACTGCAGGGGAGTTGAACAAGCCTCCAACTCAAATCAGTCCCAGTGGTAGTAGGTCCTGCTGGGGTGTGAAGTTCTGTCTATTACGTTGCACAGCAAAAAATTGATGCTCAAAGTTGGTTATGGTATAAAATGGTGTCAAACACAAACAAAATTTTGACTTTAGATTGTGACTCCTGGAGTGAATGGGAAATGGATTTGGTTGCAGTTTTTAACAGAGCTCAAATTTTATGTGGCTAACTCACTCTTATGTGGCTCAAAAGTGCTACCCACCTCTATGTACTTCAAGGACCGGTAACTCAGATAACATGTAGTGCATGAAGGTAAAGGTTTAGCATTACCTCAATGAATATACAAACCTTAAAAGGTGCATTTTTGGTAAAATGTCAAGGGTCATAGCACCATGTGGGATAGTCGGTTGGTCAAAATTTTAAACAGCTTTACTAAATATACTAAGAACAATTTATTCTTAAACAAAATGAGGGTGTGAGGCGGGAGGCACTGATTGATTTTTCGTGGCATAACTGTGAAGCACAGGGTCAAACTTTGGGTTAAGTTTGCTGTTCAAGTCTGTTGGACTGGAGAGGTGAAGTTTAGTCAAGTTAGCAAGTAGGAAGCAATGCAGCACTGACACATTCAAAATAAAAGCAGGAAATGTGTCAGTTGAAATTAGAACACTTTGTCAGTAAATATATTGACCTGTTGAATAATTAGTTATTTATAAATAAGCCAATTACTTGTTTTAAATATTGGCTTTTATTTGTCACCTGCTCGAGAAAAACCAAGCATCCGGATTAATGGGATTATACTTGTTTTATTCTGTAAACCCAGTCGGAAGCTAGTCTTGAGTGACGCTAGCTGTACAGTTCAGATGCCAAAGTCGTTAGTTAGCCAAGAGGGACGGGAGAGTCCGGGTTGGTGTGAAAGGGGGCAGAATGTAGTTCCACTCAGACCGTGTTCCCTTCGGTATTTACACCTCACTGTTTCGCCAAACTACTTTGTTCCCCTGGAAGCGGTTTTCAACATCCAGCCGACATCATGTTCCTGCGCGGCTCTAAGAAGCGACGGTCGAACCGCTCGGTAAGTCCTTTCTTTTGGCCAACATTTATCCTTTACGAGTCTGAAAACAGTGTCGAGAACAACCTGTTTTAACACAGAGTCCACTTTGGCAGCATTTTAAACACTGTTTTCAAGCTTATGGAAGCCTTGAAGTGAACTTGTTGGGTCTCCAGCACAGAAAACAGCCGGGCTTGGTCCCACCTCCACCTGGCTTTTGTTTCGGTGATTTTTTTTTTTTTTCCCCAGTGAAAAATGCCACTTGTTTTTCTAAAAATAAACAAGGTTCGGTCATTTTGTTATGCCGTGTGTCATAAAGTCCGACATTCTTTGTTTCTTGAGTCATGTCGGGCGCCTCAGGTACAGTCAGGAGGGGTCAGCTACGTCACATGTGTACCTGAGCAGGTTGGATGTGGAGCTGAAACCTGAACATGTTCCACACCGGGGCCAGGCTTTCAGGATAACAAAAACTGCTCTAAATGATCCTACACTTGGAGTTTCCCCCTAGAAAAAACAACAACTTGTACTCTCAAATTAGCCAGGTTAATCTCCATAATTATTGGTCTCAGCTTCAGTATGTGTTACAGTCAAGTAAAGTAGGATTTTTAATCATTACTATGTGATATACTCAGGAACATAGAAACAGATTACAGCCTTTAACAATGGTTGGATGTAGTTAAAGGACTATTTACGATGGAAAAGATGATTTTCTCTCTAAGAAATAGAACTGATCTTTTCAAAAAAGGGGGGGAAATGGATTGCTTTTACTTCAGTGGAAGAGGATGCTACCTCCCTGAGATTATGCAACTGTGGACAATCAATTTAATTTAATTTCATATAAATACAAGTGTAACCTTGCTATGTTCTGTTTGTTCTATATAATGTCAAAAATGTGTTATTAAAAACAAAGAGTTTAAAAAGAAAAAGAAACAGACAACATCTCCAGTGAAGCAGAGTCTGTTTCTATTTCTCTCATGTCAGTAACATTAAGGTAATGCAGTTATGCAATTACAACTAGAGTTGAATTGGTTGTAGAAAAAGTTTGTGCTGAACAAAAATTAACCTGTTGTGGTTACATTTTTTTCTCTCCCCTCAAAACACAACTCTAAAAAGTACTTCAAGGGACCTATTTCACTTTATTAAATGCATAATCGGAAGATAAAAGCCCTAATTGACTCATAAACCTTTTTCGGTGTAAATATTTTTGATGGTTTGGGTTGATAAAATATTGTTTGTAATTACATCAGTTTATTTTTGTGTATAATTCAAACTCAAATTTGTGCATTAGTTGATTTAAGACTAAATTCAAATGTTCTTCACTTTGAGGTCAGAATTTCAAGTCCCTTTTCCTACATAGGTAACATTGGAGCAACTTGATTTTGAAATATGCCAACTTAAAAACTTGTGTTCATAATCATGATAATGAGGTACATAACACTTAAAAACTTTGGACAATAACAAGGACTAATTTGTATTAGTAATAAACTCATGTGTTTGTTTTGATGCTTACAAGCATTAGGTGAGTGGTAATTTATAATATCTTTAAGATTGTAGTGGAACAGTTAATTCTCCTAACTCAGTGTAGTTTGTTGGTTGAACTTAATTTTATTAGAGGTTGTCATAATTAAAACAGATTGATTCAAGCTGTGTTCATTTATTCATTAGTGTTTTGTTGAGCCACAAAAAAAAAGTTATTTAGAGTGTAGAATGCCGGGTTAGTGACCAAGCTGTGTGATCATAAAACATCTGTTTCTGCCACTCACCTGGACTATGGCCAATGACTATGACTCAAACTACCACTAAACTAGACTACTTAATGTTAAATTGACTTGCAAAGTGCACTCGTCTGATAGCAAATCAGACTATATTAGCTTAGTCAGAACTCTCTTAACTTTGTGCTGCTGTTTAGATATAAAATCGTTTGTATTGAATATATAACGTGTGTAATTGCTTTAACAGCTCTTTAACACTCGGGACACCTGTTCCCACCTCACACATAGAATAACTACACTCAAATATTAATGAATATCATCAATATTTGATGCAACACTCCCATTACATCAGCAATAGTCAAGTGGGATTTGAACCATCTTACAACACTGATGTTCGAAGTGTATCATAAACATTTCTCTGAACTGCATAAATATCGATTGGGATTTAAAATATTTTAAAACTGTTCCTTTTCCCAACAGCAGAATAGCAATAAGTGATCAACTGTATAGATTTAATTGTGGAAGCCAAGTTAAATAAGCAACAAATTCCTTGACATAGCCAAATAGTTGTACTCAAATGATATATATAATTTGTTTTTAGTTATTTACAGATTTCCTAATGTAAATACACAAAATGTGACTAGGCTTTATGTGGTATTTGTTCCACCACAGTACATTTATTACAATAATGAACACTAATTTAATTTATGTAGCAAAAAGTTGCTTTATAAATGAAATTACTATTTATTATTTGAGAATAGAGGCCATGTATGCAATTAGGACCAGGACTCAATATGAAGCTCATGATTTTGTCTCTTTCAAGTCCATGCCTGTTTCACAACCTCTAATGTACAATGGCACTGTTACACAGTAATTGTTGCGCCTCATTAGCTTCATGAGATTCAAATATTCACCATGTGAGCAGTAAATAGATGCACAGGTGTAAAGAATGCAAAAATGAGTTTGGTTCAAGATGCCGAAACTTTACTGATGATAAGGTTTGCTCTCTCTCTTTGGAGATGCTCGTATGGATCCTGCTGCTGTCTGACGCTGCAGGTATTTAATAAACTCAAAGTATAGACTCCTTTAAATAGCTGGAAGCAACAAAGGAAAAGGTGACTGTGCGTGACAGCTCACCTGTCTGATGTCAAGTAAAGTACATCGTGTGACTTGCCGTAGATCTTGCTCCCGGCTCTATCCTGTCTCCATGTCACAGGTAATTTGTAATAACAAGACATTAATGAAGTTACCGGAGCTCTGTCCACGTGTGCAAATGTGTGCGTCTTTCTTGTTTTGGAGACCCTCACGTATGTTCTGCTGCTGTCTGATGCTGCGGGTGTTTATTAAACTCGGATGTAAGACTCTCAATGTGTGTTTTTGGACAAATATTGGTGCTGAAAAGTGGAAAATCCATCTCTTAATTAGTTCACACAACTTGAGTGCCGTTGCTTGTGTGTGCCTGCCCGGTAATGTCACAGTTCATATTTGTGACGTGTTAAAAGTGATATAGAAATGGTACTATGTCTGATGCCGTGAGATTGTCATCGTGCTTTTTTGGAAAAGTGACCAGAATGTGCACTGAGACCTAAGGCGAGCACATTTAGTGTCTCTTAGATTACAAGGAAGTAGTACATGTCTGAAAGGAGCCTTAACTAGTATCCAGTGGTCTATTTCTGGATGAATATTGAGTTTGCCTATGTTTTTCTTGCAGTAAAGGCCTTTCAAATATCTAGCAATGGGCCTTTTTATTTTAAGGCACTTTGAAATGTGACAGTAGAAAAAGGGAACTTATGAGTATTAAAATTCATGAAAGCTGAATTCAGTTTAGCTGCTTTGGTCTCATGCTGGCTAATATTAAATAACAACTGTCATTGTATCTCAGTTTCAGTTTATTTACTTTAACATTAATCAATATTTAATTAAATGTGAATCTACACCAGTTAGCGAAAATGGCAAGCTTTCATCAGCAGTTCCTTTGCCTGATATTGTTTGGTATCTGTGAGAATTTGAACTCATCCTATAGTATTGATGTTACTATTAACAGTTGTGCTTTTTCTGCCATGACAAGTGATCTATGCTGCTGCATATAGTCTCCACTCACGACAGTGAAGGCACAGATGGTATTTTTGTTTGACACTAGTACATGTTGAACTCATCCAGCTGTTAAATATTGTTGCTTGAGTTGATCTTAGTAGCAGGAAGTAGTAATTCATAAACCACAAGAGCAACAAGAAGTGTTGTGCCTTGGGGTTGGGGGTGTGGAGACGGACAATCCTGTTCAATGAAGAAAGGAGAATCTACCTGGCATGCCAAGACACCAAAGGCCTCCACCTCTGACCTTTCATGTTAACGTTTAATCCATCCAACACTGCTGCTTTCAGGACCTAATTCATTCTCTTAAGTGGGTAATGAGCTCTTTAAGAGGGCTTTTCTCCCACCTGAGGAGTCCCACTCTCTTAGCATTTAGTACAGGATTCAAATGCCATAAATTAAGTGTAATAATTACTCTTTCCCCCTGTACTATTCTAAGTTATCCCTGTCTTAGCCAGTATTGTGGCATGCTGATGTCAGATAACAAAGCTGGCAGCGTTTCAGTTTGTCCATTACCTGGTTACACCGTTACTTGGTAGCAAGAAAAAGCTTGAGCAAACCAAGGCAGTGACACGTGATAAAACCTTATACCCACTTAGTGAAAACAAAGGCGCTGATATGAAAAGTCTGATGCTGGTCAGTGTGAGCATGTGAGCTGACTTGAACTCGTGAATGTATTATTTACTTTACCCATACTTTGTTTAGAAGAAACTTCCTTCCACCACTCCCATCACATCCTTCATTCACAACACAAAAGGAAAACGTCATTGTCAGGACACAAACTTGACGCATTATCTTTCGTGGAAAACAAAGTAAACTCATAAGAAATCCTCTAGTCTCTGTGTACATGTGCGACATACAGGACACTGCCATCATGATAAGGAAATGTTGAACTTGCTGGCATTGGCTAATGTTCAAGGCCATATGATTGTCCTTGTTTCTTTTATTAAAACTCTTGGTAAGGAGTAAATTGTATGTTATAAATGCTATAATTTTTTTTCCACCTCATAATCTAGTTTGATTTTGTGATCACATGCAAAGTTAATTAGAACCAAGCTGACGCAGTTAATGCATGTTTGGATATGTTTACAGATAAGGCCATCTGTCAGTTATTAGCCTAATATGCGTATGAAATTGTCAAACTCGTGCTGAATGATGTCATAAACTACCTAGGGTGTTTTTCTGTTGTCTCTTAGCACACGATGGCACTAAATATTTCAAGTAAATTTAAGGCTTTTCTCAGGATTTCTAATCCTCCTTCCATCATTATGTCACAATTGAACCCGTCTTAGCTTTTAATTACCATCTGCCCTCCACTGGTGCTATAATGTTGAACCCCTAATCTCTTTTATGTCACACATTTTCAGAATTAGTCTAAATCATTATGCTGAGATTAATTGTGTGTAGGCAGACCTTCATCTCATCAACCAGGCGAAGCACCAGAGACACAGTTGTCTGACATGCTGCATTAAAGAAATAGTGTCAGTGGAATTCAGGAAATCAGGATGTCCAAAGGCCTACCCCTAGTTTTTGAAAAAAAATTAAAAAATTTGCTGGCCTTGAGAGAGATTACTCTCACCTACTGCAAACCCTTATTCAGTTTCAACCTGAAATGACACTGTAACTTTTGAAAGAAAGGAAAAACATCTCTTACAAATGAAAAGTTGCATTTATAAGCAATAAAATTGATTTTTGCTCACTGCTGGGTTTTTCTGCTGCTTAGTGAGAAGCTTGTTGTGGATTATTGTTAACGTAAGCAACTTTTAGATAGATATTGCTGTGTAACAACATTATTTAGTTCGTTCACTGACTGTGTTTCTTATTTTTCTGTGCTGTGTTGTGCCCATATTGTGCCCACAACAGATGTTGTTCACAAGTTACACAATCACCTGGTTGCATTTATTTAAGATGATTGTGATTATTTTGCATAATTGTAAAAAACATTTTTATTCATCTGTTTAAAACAGCTGAATGAAACCAAAACAAATGTTGTATTTCAGTGATAATTGCCACATTATTTTACACAATTTACACCTTCTTCTTATGCATGGTTTAATGGAGACAGCTGTTTATCTCCAGGCACTTAACATCTAATATTCAACCAAATACATTTCAGTGAATGTCTGTTTACATTAAAATTGCGCATTTAGTTGCAAAACACAGCTTTAGGTACATTTTGATTTTAGACCAAATAAAATAATATTGCTCAATAACTTGAATGAGGTGATTGGTCGGGTTTGCAGCATAAATGTGGCAGTCAAAGGTGGTAATACAGCTTGTTGAAAACCAATACTGGCATAAAATGAACTGAAAAAGGTAATTCAATTGTTAATTGCAATTATTTGGATGGCAGTCATCAACTGAAATGTAACGACCATGACAGACATAAACACAGGCTTGTAGACCACAACTGTAGTTGCCCAAAACTGTGGCATTGCCTCTTCACACCTGTGAATTGTACCTAGTGGGGTTGAGATATTTCAGGGATTGTTGCACTTCCAACAAGCTTTCAGCGTCAGTTGCCATCTCATCTGGCAATAAAAGTGAAAACCAGGGAGCAGAATGAAATTATTGTTTGTCATGTTAAGAAGTTAGAGCTGATCCCACTCCACAAAAATGTCAAGTCAAGCAGTTGTGATCTGCTATTTGAATTTTGTGCACTGCCACACAAACTAAAGTTGTGCTTTACTTCAAAAATCAGGTCAAAAAGTGGAGAAAAGTGACAATGAAAGCATGAACATATTAAGTGTCATTTCACGTCTTTGCTCTATGAATGGAAAGACAGTAACACCCTGTAGTATCCTGAAGTGTAATCAACCGAGGTCGGCTACAGTTTCCAAAAGTGCTACTGTCCTGCAGCTATTAACTTTCATTCTCTGTAACCTTAATAAATGTAAAATGTAGAAGTGTAGCTGTACACTGGTGTTAAATGTACAGACATTCTGTAGTGTGTCCCTCCTGGGCCCAGTCACCATGTCAGTGTGACAACTCAGGAGCTCCTTCCAAAGGAAATTACAACTGAAAGGTCCAGTCACCCAGAAATCATCCGTCCGCTTCATTTAATCCGTCTTGTTACCTTTCATACCTGGCTTTGTTAACGACAACTGAAGTGAAAATCAAAGAGATGATTAATAAGGCAGCCTGGAAACCGACTGGTCCAAGTGTGTGTCTGTGTGCTGTCCGATGTGGCAGACGGTGAGGCGTTTAAAAGAGGCATGTATATTGTTTGTGTTCCTTTAAACGGTCATCAGTGTAAATAACCAAACACATCAACCCTGGAATAAGTTTACGCCTGACAATTTCTCACTGAAAATACACATGTATTTGTGGTTTCTGAGTTTAACAGTAATTCACTTTAAACCCAAACAACAACCCTCAGAGATCAGTGAGATAAGCAAAGCAAACTCAGTGTTGCAGTAATCAGCGTAATGCATATCAGCACTTGAAAATGTTCGTGAAAATCTCAGCTTGGGAAAACAGGCTTGGCATGAATACTTATGGTTTAGTGGTTAGCGTGGTTTGAAAGAGAGAGACAGGTGAACAGGTATGCACAGGTAGCTTGCTGTATCACATATTTGTATTTTATTGCTTTGCTCGTTAAACAGCAACAGTTCAGGGTTATTCTGTGTTTATGTGCAAAGTGCATACACAGTCCTTCTGTTTTTGAAATAGTGAAGTGGAAAACAACCAGAAGGAAAAAATACCAAGATAACATTATGTGGCTGCAGCTCTTCACACAGAGGGTAGCTGAGTTGAGGCGTCAGTGAAAAAGAAAGTAGAGACGGAGCGACTGCATAGAGAGGGAAAAGGGTGCAGCTCTCATCCTGTATCTGCTTCCTTCCTCTCATCTCTAAAAAGAGGCCCGTGTCTGGTGCAGGGCTGCAGGAATAGAAGTGAGATATGAGGTAGTTGGTTTAGTGCTAAGCTGTGGAGTTGCCTTTGGCCAAGTACAGTGCACTGCTCAGCACTTTTGGCAAGAGGAATTTGGTGGTTTTTACTTTCTATATCACGTAAAAACACACAATATAGCATTCCTCAAAGTCGGTGTTGAATTTAAAAGCGTGACTGAACTGACTGGTCTCATACAAACAGGTTTACTTCGAAGATAATCATGTTAAATTCAGGATATCACAGTGATTCCTGGTCATTCTTTGTTGCACTGATTAGTGATCACCTAACAGAGGCTTTAAAAAAACTGTCACGTCATAAGCATGAAAACGCATTTTAGTATTCAGACTAATTATCAGTGCTGTGATTTCATATGCTGCTATTCACAAGCTGTGTCAAATAAAACATATCTACACAAACATGCATGTTATGTCCATCCCTGCCAGTTGAAACTCACATCCAATACAATAGGGGGATATTCATTTGCACGTGACGTCATTAAGTAATACATAGAAAGCCCACACTCCACCACAAATGCTGCTAAACTAAAGGCTGAAGCGATTGAGTCTAAGTGCATTCTGCTTGTGGCTTAAGTGGAAACTCGACTCACTCATTCGATATGATGCTGATGTTTCTCCAACCATGTTTAGCAAGCACTGTATGTGTGAACACTATTGTTTTACACTAAGTGTATGAACAGCACTCCTATCAGAAGGTCTGTGAGTTGAAGTGTCTTTGTGTTGTGTTTCCAGCAGGAGGAAGAGGACCCAGACAGAGGCCAGCCCTGTATGCGCTGTGGAGACCAGTGCCCCGGCTTCCGTGTTCATGGCTGGAGGTATGAGCTACAGGAATCTTAAACGTGGCCAGCGCTGCCTGTGAACTTTGCAGGAAATGTTTGTTTCGTGCTTTGGTGCTTTAGTCAACGGTTTCTCCTGCTGCTTTCTGGATAATGACTTCAAAGCAAGGTCTAAGAGTTTTAAGGTTATCTATAAAAACATCCTGCTGCTTGAGCTAAAAGGCTACTTGACTAAATTTTTTTAAATTGCATGTATTGTGTGTCTAAGGCCAGTTATATCCAGACAGTAGACAAACAGGAGCGACAGTCTGACAAAAACGCTACAGCTTTGTGTGCAGAAGCAAAGTTAGCACAGTCTGCAGCATTTTTGATACCAATGAGTTTTGATTTTATGTCATTGTCAAACAGATTTTTACTGTGCATGCGTGCGTGCGTGCGTGCGTGCGTGTGTGTCATGTTCTACAGGACAGCAACATTTCTACCAATGGAAATCAGCTTAGCTTTGATCTGTGTACATGGTGAGGGCAGATATACATTAGAAGACAACAAACATGACCCAGTCAGGGCACCACATGATACTCACGGAGCAGATCAGTGCCACTGATTCTGGCCATAAAGAATCAGCTGTATAGACTAATGAGTGCCATTAAGCCCTGACATCCACAACAACAGCAGCTGCATTTAGTTTGGCTTGACATTATCTGCATGGTGAAACAGAAGCACAGCAGAGCACCAGGATTACCACTAGTCATCCTGCAACATGTGCTGTATGTCCGAGCTGCAGTGATTTCAGCCTAAGACCACTTTCTCTGCCGTGTTTATCATTTATCGTGCTGAAAATAGAATCATATGGTGTATTTGCTCACCCAGCAGCTTATAAGGTGAAAAATTATTTTCTTTAGTGAAGATCAACTCCGTGGTCATCTGGAACAAGTTTTTTATGGGCACAAGGCAAGGTTTACTCAGCAGAATGTTTTTGTACGATGCCCATGTTGTGTTTGAAAGTTTATGTAACTGTAAGAGTCTCTTTCTTGTAATTCCTGCTTCTTAAATTTAGGTGCTTGCTGCATACCTCTTACGTCTATTTATTCAAGAGTTGTTAAACACTGTCAGAGTCTTTCCTCACTAACATTCTCGTCTGCTAAGCCAGTTTTCGTAAGCTTTTCTTTGAGCCCCCCTTTTCTTTTCCCTCTCTCCTTTAGTCCTCCAGTGTATATCCAGCTGGTTGGGTCTCTTGGTTAGTCTAATCCTGTCAATCACGCTAATAAGATTAGTCTTTACTGCTGTGATAGTAACCCTCTTGACCACTTCATACCCCCCTCTGTCTCCCCCTTTCTGCTTTTCAATGCAGCTTTCCCTTTCAGATGTGACTTTTGGGTTTTGTTAAGTTTAAGTGTAGAAGTTTCACTTCTCTCTCATTGTGTGACTTTCAGTGCGTGTAAACCCTTGAATTGTAGAGGACAGCCACCAGGTTTGACAGAAAGCTAAATGAATCAAGAGAGATAGAAGGAGGATTTATTCCTGGTTTTGAAGGCTGAATTCCCACATGGGCACTGCATGGCTAGAACCAGTTGCAGCTTGGTGATGGAGAGAATAAAACAAAGGGTACAGGAATGCGTAATTCATGTAACCAAAAGACTGTAATTGTATCTTTTAGGGCTTTTTTTTCCAGTTCTCATTCCCTCTATTCAGGTCAACACAAAAGCTTAGAAGTTGGGATGTAATTTAAAACACGTGTGCTGCTCTTTACCTCTGGCCACTGTACACATCGATCTGTTTACAGTATGTTTAATCTGTGTAGCATTAACATAACGCTGCGGTTTCTTGTTTTAGGATTTATGTGGCAATCAGATCAAATGTGACTTTGGCTGAGATGACAAGGGCAAATGTCTTGTTTAGAGGTTTCAAGTCTCTTGGCTGATTCAGGAGAAAGGCGAACATGAAAGTGATTAAATGACTGAGATTTATAGGGGTCAGTTCTTAGGACCTCAGAGTCTGGTGCTAATTGCATCTTCCTTAATAACCAATTTAGCGTCACACCTTCGCTAATGGAGAAGATCATCTAAGTGACCACAGGCTCAGCTGCTGATGCTCGCTGAGAGGGAAGTGATCCATCTTCATCCTGAGCTTTTTCAGACAGAGCTTAAACTAAGGTGGGGGGGCAGATGGTGCTTCCGCTGTCCAGCAGCGATCGAATTGAGTTACTTTTGACCCACAGGTCCCCGCCACGCTTCAAAAGTGTTCAAAGTCGCCATTGCTATTTGTCTGGGTGACCATGCGGCAATTACTCAGTCACTAATTAGTGGCAGAGAGTTATGGGACAAGGCCCATCTGTTTCTCAGAACTAGATCTAAGGGAGGTTCCCTGATCCCCGCTGCAGTTGTCCACAGCTATAGATTATCACACCAACACGTCGATATAAAGCAGAAACTCATCATATGGCTGCTACACTGGAGGCTCCATCAGGTTTAGTCTATATACTGACCTGCAATAAACCTGTAGGCCCAAAGAGTAGTCTAGATTGGCAGCTCAGAAGTTAGTCATATTTACTTTCAAGTTAAAGCTGGATACGGTCGTTATTTATGTTTAAGAATGTGGAATGCATTTTTTGTTTGTCACTTATGCTAAAAAAAAAACAAAAAAAAGAAAAAGAAAAGAGAGGGATAGTTACAGATAGTTACAGTCACAGTAGAAATGGACTTTTTGTTGAACCTCCACATTGCAGCAGTCAGAGCTAAGCAGCACTGGTGACGTTATTGCTGAAGTTGCAAAATTGTTAGTTTTTATCGCTTTTGGGATAAAAGCAAAAGAAAACGAATAAATAGTGATGAAAGAACATGAGTAATGAGGTGTCAGGGCATGCTGGGTCTTTTCCAGTAGACATGTCTTTACTGATATTCCTCCTCGGAGAGTGACCAAAGTCAGATGAGCTGCTATGAATTCAAAGATGTGTCATGACTTCACAAAGACTGAAAGTCATGCTGTCTCTTTGATATTTCAACCAGAGACACTTTGTTGTCACGCACGACCATCTTGATCACATAATATGACAAATGGTGCACAGCTCAGCATTGCTCATAGGCTCAAAATCTGCTCCACTTACTTCTATGATTAATAACTGCATCAAAGCTACGATCGACCATCTGTTGTGAATCAGTTACAGCAGGCTGGTCAGAGAAAGACGCAGTGAGTTTACTCTTCGTGATTGTCACTCGCACTCTGATGTTTCATATCTTCAAAGGCAGCGTGAGTAAATTGTGAGGCCTAATTAAAATGTGTAGAAACACTTATCTTCGTGAGTAAATTTAGAAATTGCATGAGCTTGTGTACTTTGAGATCTGTGCTTGTACTTTGTGTGGTGTGTGGTTGCATACAGTGCAGTGAAGCCTTTTGTTTTAGCCCACTATCGGGGCGGAGGAGGGTGGGAGTCGAGGGTGGCGGGGACATTGAAAAGGGCTGCGCACAGAGAAACTATCACATGGAGAGAAGCTGCCACAGAATATCCTGCTCTTAGTGACAGACAGATTGCTAAGAGGACCCTAGTGGATGCAGACCTTTACAGCTTCGGAGGAACAAGAGTCTGGATGGGATAGCGTCAACAGGCCAACCAATTTGTCATGATTACAACAGGTAACGAAGAAACTATATTTAAGTGGCTGACAGGATTACCGGGACTTCAAACTCAAACAGTAATTAAGTTGGGAGATTTGGGAAGACTGAAGGGATTTTTTTTGTGTGTGTTTTGAAGATGATTGTTCTTGTGTGCCATAACCTGACTTTATACTGTTTTATACATAAAAGAAATATCTGAATGGGCTTTAGTTGCAGAATATGACATTATGTGTCGGTAGCGCTGCTGTTCAACTCTCCTTGAGCATCTTATAATGTATCTTACCATTGTAAGCTATGGTAGCTTAATGAACATCTGTATTCAACAAAATGTTAATGATTTAGGCTGTTGGAAACCAAGTGAGTTTATATCAGATCCATGTAGTGTCAATATTTGGTTTCTATTTACCTTTCCATTTAAAAAAATACTCTTTATCTAAATGTCCTCAGTCAGTCTGCTTTATTATTTCAATTTTGTTTTTATTATTTCGTTACCGTAGCCAGGGGCAAAAGATGCAGCACTGATAACAGTAACAGCACCAGCTGCAGTAGCAGTCTCAGTAACAATGTTTTGACCCAGCAAAGCAAATTTAGAGGCAGATTCCTGCCTAAAGCAGCATCTGCCATGTTCACTTGTAATGAGACACATGGCTGGTGGTGTACTCAGTGCAGCCCAGTTGTCTTGTATTAGAAGCACCCTGACGTCTGATATGCACACAGAAACAGCAATGCAGTATTTAATTCTGTTAGTCTGAGTACTTTTTAAAAAAACGTTTTAACATATGTGTATTGTGGTGCAATGAAGTTTGGGGAAACACAATTTATTCTTTCTTTTAAGTAACCATCCGTTTTAGCTGTTAAGTATACGAGGTCAAAATCACTGTCACCCTTTCCCATGGCTAAAGGACGAGTTTTGTGTCTTCATTATCTGAAGCTGGAATCAGCAATCCCTTGACCTAGAATGACTGAAAGATAACTTAAACGATCAGTCTGTTGTCAGTATAGCTGCAGGTTGGTTTTCTGTCTGTGAATTAAATGATTATGTTATGTTGACAGCAGTTTGGTGAATTATACATTTTGCCATTTACAAAATTAGAAGTATGAACTACAATTACAATTTAAAGTAATTATCTGTTTTCAGGTCGTCACATTTGTTCTTGCTGGGCTCAGTCAACTGCAGTGCTGCGATACTTTTCAAAGATGTTGTGGTTTTAAGTTTAGTGAAATCAAGATTAAACCACCAGCTGCAAAAGAGAAATTAAATGGGTATGATTTGGAAAAGTCTTGTCAGGGACTATACCATAAATTACACCGCAAAGTTAAAATCACCTGTCTAATATTTTGTTGTGCCACCAAAACAGCTCTGACAACTCGAACCAAAGATGCAGAACCTCTATGGTGTCTGAGGGGCGTTGGCAGCAGACTTTGGGTCCTGTAGGTTTGTTAAGTGGAACAACAATGAAACAAGCTTGTTCCCGTGCATCTCGCAAAAGCTTGATCTGGCTGATATCTGGAGAGTGTGGAGGCCAGATTAATACCTTGGGCTCTTTGTCGTGATCCTCAAGCCATACCTGAAGAGATTTTGCAGTGTGGCAGAGCACATTGTCCACATGGTGTGGTGGGGGTGCTTGGTCTGCAATAGTGTTTGCATGGGTGGTATATGTCAAGTAACATCCACATGAATGCTAGGACCCAGGGTTTCTCAGCACAACATTGCATTGTAACAAGATACTCAGTTGGTTGATCTGTGTCAAATCAGATTTCAGGAAATATGTTGCTACACTGTCTCAGATTTTGTTCAGTGTTTACTTTTTTTTTATTTGGAACCCAAAACTAAGTTCTGTCTTCTCTGCTGGTGCCATTTAAACATTTGGATCTGCTGGAAACAATTTTGTCTTTTAAATTTAAGATTTAAATTCCAGGAGAAATTAAACTCTGAAAATAATGAAAAACATATGAAATTCTCAAAATTCTGCCAAAATATTTAACAGACGTTTTGCTTAGTTTTGGGTCCCAAAAAACAAACAGGTAAACTCAAAAACATTGCATTTGAAATGGCACAGACTGACTCTAATGATATTACTTTCACCTGTGTGGTTTTAATGTTGTGGCTCCTCAGTGTATGTACCCCTATACTGGGGTTGCTTCATATAACTTTTGTTGTTGTATATGTAGGGAGTTTGTACTACTTATATAGACGAAGTAGTATTTAAATGTTTTCTCAAGCACACAAGCAGACTTTGGTCAAACTCAGCCCTATTGGCAAGACATCTGCAGATAAATCTGCACTTAGAGAGACATGATTTGAGACTTTGTTGCATTCTTTCAAACCCCAAATTCTTTCAAATTGGCACTTCTCTCATTTACTCTAGACTGCCTGCAAGGGTTGGCACCTGCTGGCAATTAAAGCCCTTACGAATGCTTTCATCATGTGGAGGCTGGTACTGGTGGGGTGATTGGGTAAGACGTGGTGCATCTGCCATCTGTCCCGTCATGCCGAGTCTCTGGCTGTGTCCTCCTACCCACTTGCACAGGCGTCGTGGCCCCCCTCCTCTTTTGTTAACACAGGCACACATACAAATACAGCTGGGACCAGATTTGTGCCAATATGGCTTAACCTAAGCCCACTTGCTGTGTTTACTATTATTTATACTGGTACTACCTGCTTGGCAAGCATGGGCATATAAGGTACCAACTCAAGACAGCTGCATATTAAAAGCATATGTTTTGGTCCTGAGAAAAGAAATCCCATAGTTGTGTTTCTGTTTTGTCAACTCTTCAACAATTGCCTTGTGTTGGGTAAAAAGAGATGAGCACATTCGCACTGACATGCAGTGATTACCGGTTGTCTCATTTCAAAGAAGGACGTATTTTTATGAGGTGATTGATTAGAGGAGTAGTACTCCTGCAGTTCACAAGCAGCTGTGTGTGTTGGTCTGCTAGCTTTTTGGTTGTGTGGGGGTTGGGTGCTGGAATAAAGCAGCTTTGTGCCTTGTGAACTTGAGCCACAAGTGCCAGCTGGCAGACCGTTATGCAATCACAACAGAGATGTACACATGCACTACATGCCGCATATGGACACATTGTCGCATCCACTCAAATACATGACACCCACACCTCACTGACAGCCTGGGGCACTTTGTTCTGACTCCACCAGTCCCACACTCAGGCACACCCACCACCACACTCAATGTGGTGGAGAGTCTGGGAACAAGATGGGTTGTAATTCGAGGCTGAGAGAGATTATTGCTCCCATCTTCACCTCCCTCTCTTAACTGCCCTGGATTGACAGCCAGGCTTATGTCAGTGACCTCATTTCCTGCTTGTTTGGTAGAAAAATAGTTGGGATGTGCTGGTCCTGATGCAGACCCTGTGAGGAGGAGATTGATGAGGGCATGAAGTGGTCTGACATTTATTTTAAAGACTCTTCCCAGTAAAAATCCAGTTTTTACTTTGTTAGCATGTCCATGTGGTGTGTTTTATATACTTAAGGACATATTTTGAGCAAACTAGGCAGTCAGCGCGGAGGCTGAACATTTCCGTTTTAAAATTGCACTGTCTCAAAAGTGTGAATCTAGACTTCATGGTTTCATACGTAGCAAACCTATAGAACCAGTTCTGTTGTCTTGTAGGGTGGGGCTTTCTGTATCATTATTCTTCTTCAGTATCGGCTTTCTGTTCAAGCATGTATGGCTGAAATACTCCATCATTACAACTTTCCATTCTGTAGCATACAATAGTTTTATAGTGTCTGAGCAGAGTTGAAGGTGAACTGGTGTGTTTGAGCTGCCAGGTGGAGAGAATCTGAGTTTTCAGTGTCACAAAGGTTTCTTTTTTAACCTACTAGATCACCATGGCAGAGCTAACCTGGTCCTGTACAGGTTCTGTTCAGAGTTTGGGATTTACTTGATCTGGAAGTTGCGTCACTCTTTTACCAATTATTTTCCTTTTGATCCTCTGTGAGCGATACAGATTTCCCAGCTGAGCTACATGTTATATCTGTAAACCTGGTGAACTACATCTTAGTCATCCCACTGAACCAAACCGTGCAGTTACAGTATCACAAACTGTATGTGTTGTGTTTCTGTGGGAAAATAGATTGGCAATAAAGAAAATGCATATGGATGTTTTTATTTTTGGTCCTGATTTACTGAGTGGCAAAATAAATATATTAACTCTCACAATTAACAGTTTTCTACCAGCATTCCTTTTTTGCATGATTTACAGTAACATCGCTTTTTACCGTAATCATTTTTTTAATGTTCTTTGTAGGTCTCCATTATAACAACCTGTTCTTCTTAACTGAAGTAGGCAGCAAACAATCAGGCCATTTTGTGTTGAGGAACAGTCAAATGGCGCATTAAACACCTCTCTTTATGTGAACGTGCACAGAGCCTGAAGAGGAAAACCTGGTTAACAAAGAGAGCTGATAACCACCTTCATGACACCTGTTTTCTCTGATTAAGATCAAGCCGGATTATACAAAGAAAGCCTGGCTATTTTAAATTTGCTTTATAGTACACCCCCATGAGAGAGGCTTTCAATGAGCCTCCAGATTGTGTTTTTGTGTTGTTCCTTATCAGATCACGTCAATTGTTGTATTTGTAATTATGGACTGCCGGGAGTCTAGTTGAGTCAAGCTCAAGAATGTGTGTGGGCTGGTTTGTTACATCATGTCAACACAAAGTGTGTTCATAAATAATATGTTTACAAGCTGAGGGAGTGCCTGTATCAATGTGGTGAAAACTAGAATGATTACTCACAGTCCTACTGTTTGGGTTTGTTGTTTGTGATGGTCTTACTACATTATATAATAGGAGTCTTAATTGTAAGATCATTTGCAAACAAATTTTCACTTGTAATATATGTTCTGTATATTTCAGCTTTGTCAGGAAAAGAATGATGTATCTCATGCAGTGTATTTTTTTACCTAAGTACCTGAAGCACCAGGAGAGCCTACCTGTGATATTTACTTAAATATGTGAAGTCTTTCAGTTTTGGCGTGTGTTGTAAATCAGTTGTAAAGTCCCCAGGGATGACGCCGTCTCTGTCTTCACAGGAAGATCTGTGTACATTGCAAGTGTGTGCGAGAGGAGCATGCTGTGCGCTCAGTGCCGGGGCAGCTGGAAAAGATGATGACAAAGCTGGTATCAGACTTCCAGAGGCACTCCATCTCCGATGACGACTCAGGCTGCGCCTCCGAGGAGTACGCATGGGTCCCACCTGGGCTCAAGCCCGAACAGGTAAAACCAGGGTGCCGAGCAGACGCAGAGTCAAGACATAAATTACTGCCACACAGGCACACACGATGCTGGCTTTCACGTGGACATGTTCATGCATAGACTCAATGTGATAACTTGCAGGTTGGTGGGAAAATATTTAGTTTTTGATTTATGTCAGCAGTTGAATGAATTACTCTATAATTGGATAAATTGCTGCCTGTATTCTATCATTTATGCCATTATGTCAACATACTTGATCTCATCATACAGGTGTACCAGTATTTTAGCTGCTTACCAGAGGACCGGGTGCCTTATGTGAACAGTCCAGGAGAGAGATACCGAATCAAGCAGCTGCTGCACCAACTTCCGGCCCACGACAGCGAGGTAACATCACTGCCAGCCTGGCTTTGAATGCTTCAGGCTTTAAAACTGATGACATGCCACAACATCCCAACTAGACCCAATACAAGTACCTCAATAAACAATGGCTCAATCAACAGAAAAATAATCAGCATCTATCATGATAACCATCCATCCATCCATTATCTATACACCGCTTAATCCTCACGAGGGTCGCGGGGGGGCTGGAGCCTATCCCAGCTGACTTAGGGCGAAGGCTCATGATAACCAGTTAAGTTTTAAAGTTTTTTTTTGTTTTTTTTTAAACAAAAATGCAAAACCTTCTTGATACTGATGATTTCCTGCTTTACCTTCTATTAAGTTTTGTTTAAAAGTTAATAAAAACCAGAAGATGAGGTAAAAATCTTTGCTACCAGATGGTAACACATAAAATCTGGAACACAGAGGATACTGAAAGCATGTGACAGCGTTTCCTCCCCTACAATTGTGAAATGTGAAGAGATTAATGTTAAATGTCAAACAGATATGGTTGAAAGGATAATGTCAGTACACCATTTAAAGGAATATAGTCTCAGATATCAAACAGATAAGAATAAAAATATATAAATACATTAAAAATACACAAGACATGTTTGTTAATTATAAACTTAATATATTTAGCAGTTTGATGGGCCTTTTTTTATTTTTTTGACATTTTCTAATGATTAGTATAATTGGGATATTAGTTGCTAATGATAATCATCATCCGCTGCAGCCCTGATACCACCCACATGTAGTACTTAGATCTAGTTAGCGGCATGCTGATAAGAATGTCTATGTGTTTCCTGCAGCCCCAGTACTGCAACTCTCTGGACGAGGAGGAGAAAAAGGAACTGCGTCTGTTCAGTCAACAAAGAAAAAGAGAAAACTTGGGCCGAGGCATCGTCAGACTTTTCCCAGTAACCATGACTGGAGCCATCTGCCTGCAGGTGCAGAAGAATTTTTATTTCCAAATTAGAAAATGCAGCAGATTAATTCATGAGGCCAGTATATACCAGTATAAAACAGCAATATCTCTTTACGTAACACTGATGCATGGATGTGAAAGCCTAGTAAAATACACTGGAGTCCTGTATACCGGAGAAAGTTAAGGTGCAAGTAGGTGCAAGCATCGCTCCCGGGCCACAGCACACTGAGATTTAATGATTACAGGACTGTAAAAGTAGATTGCTGTGCATCCTGGAGCATTCACCATTTGATAAAGGATAAACCACCTGACTTCCTTCCCTTTGCACCACACCCCCCACTCAACCACATCTATTTTTCCAGTGCGGCAGACAAATCTGCGGTGGAGATATTGCAGTGTTTGCCAGTCGGGCAGGACACAGCAGCTGTTGGCACCCTCAGTGTTTCCAGTGTGCCTCCTGCAGTGAGCTGCTGGTTGATCTCATCTACTTCTACCAGGACGGGCAGATATATTGTGGCCGGCACCACGCTGAGAGGCTCAAGCCCCGCTGCCAGGCCTGCGATGAGGTACTTATCTAACAAAGATGATGTTTTACTCTCATCAACAACAGTGTTTTTGCAGAAACTCTCTACAAGCAAAGTGTAGTGGAAGTCTGAACTGAAGAAACAGTATCCCACTTTTCACATTTCTCTGCAGCAATTCTATGAAATATCATAAGAACACTATATAAGAACCATTGTAAGTCTCTTTTGTAAGCGGTGATAATAACCTCTATGGAAACATTCTTCACTTAAAGTTTTAATTAATCATCAATGTATTGACTGTGTACTATTTGTAGATTTTTCTGTCAGTCTCTTTTTGATTTGAATGGCCTCTCACTGTGACTTAAGGGATTAGCTGAGATAGTTGACTAATGGATCTGCCAGGACTGACATACAAGAGTTCTTTAGGCCCAGAGGATGGCTAAGCCTGCAGCAGGGCACCGATAGCATCATTTTTCTCTATTTCTGTTAACCCAAATCCTCAGTATTTTCACCACCGTAATTTGTTTACTTCTGTACCCGTGAAATGACCTCTCTTTCACTCTCTCCCTCTTTTACTCTCAATCCTAGATTATTCTAGCAGATGAATGTACAGAGGCAGAAGGAAGATACTGGCACATGAAGCACTTCTGCTGTTTTGAGTGTGAGGCCGCGCTGGGCGGTCAGCGTTACATCATGAGGGAGAGTCGACCGTACTGCTGCTCCTGCTACGAGTCCCTGTACGCAGAGTGCTGCGACACCTGTGGAGAACACATAGGTATTGGATTCACTCTAAACAAACAGATTTTCCTGGGGTTTTAGGAAAGCTGATGGGTCATATAAGAAAGTATACATTACTATTTCTATACAGAATGCAAACAATCAATAAACATACCAATGTGTATATGCAATATTAGCAGTTGTATGGGCTTTTTACGGTTTTTCATGTGCAGTACTTGTCTACATTTAGAGCCTCTTTTGAAAACATATTTTACAATATTACCCCCACAGGAGGACTTAAGCCTCCATTACACACAGGCGCCCACAAACATGTTGTTATTATTACATGAGCACTGATTTCAAATTTCAAAATGCCTTACAAGGTATCAGTGACCTGAAATTGAATTTAGAAGTCATGTTTGAAGAGCTTTCTCCTGCCTGCTCGAGGCATTAATGGTAGTTGTAAAATGTTTTTGAATCAGATTACAGGCTGTTGGGAGGCTTTCCATACCAGTAAGCTACAAGTGAGATTAAACTGCATTCTATCAGGTATTAAAAAGTTTTTGGAAAGTCTTAATTTTAATGTGCAGAACCCATGAATGAACTTCACGAATGTGAACTGTGTGCTGTTATAGATGACTTTATTGTGATTTTGTTTGTAAAAAAGGAAAGAAAAGAAAAGCAATTTAATAACATGTCAGCAGTGCAAATTAGCCCATTTTAAGGTCAGAACACTATGAAAATGACTTTATCATTAATAATATTCCAACCAGCCGCCTTGTATTTTACATTTTCTTTCATGCCAGCTAAAGGGATGAAATTATGAATATCCAACAAAACTCCTCAGATGTAGCCTATAAGTAGATATTCCTCTGATCTCATAGGCAGAATTAATCAAATATATGGTGGGACTGATGAAAACACCGTGAACTGTGAGAATGCAGCAATATGGCATATTCTATGTCTGAAAGAGGTTTTAGAAACAGTACGTATTTCTCACATTAGAAGTTTCAAAAGGCAGCTAAACAGCGTGGTTTTAAGTGACATGTTAATATAACATGTTATACTAATGCACTGACATTTAAAGTAAATAGTAGGAAATCACAGTTATGTGTTACAGAAGTACTCTAGTTCAATTCAGGTTTATTTATATAGCACCAACTGACGACACATATCTTCTTAAGGCACTTCACATAGAAGTGAACCCTTACAAAATTATACATACAAATCTTCAGTTTACTTTGGATTCTGTTTGAGCAAATATGACTGAGCAGCAGAATCATTAATATGTGTACTAGAAAACACATACAGATGATGAAGACAGATGTGCAGCTGACACAAATATGTCTAATGATGAAAATATTTCTTCTCAGGTATTGACCAGGGTCAGATGACATATGAGGGTCAGCACTGGCACGCTGTGGAGTCGTGTTTCTGTTGCGCCCGCTGTCGACTGCCACTGCTGGGGCGTCCCTTCCTCCCTCGCGGGGGGCTCATCTTCTGCTCCAGACCCTGCTCGCTGGGCGAGGACCCCAATAACTCAGACTCTTGCGACTCGGCTCTGCAGAGCAGAACGCCTCACAATAGACGAAGTGGAACAGAGAAACGCCAACAGCTCCAGTGTGGTTCTCCCCTGCAGCCACTAGAGGGCATCAACCCCACTGTAACGACTGCAAAAGACTGCATTCATACTGCAGTGGAGAACAGAGGTGATTATGAGACATTGGTTATTGCAATATGTGGTACTGTGTGGGTCCTAGGGATACTATATGCTCTTATTTTTTCTTTATGAAAACACATCTCTGTTTCTCTCAGGTGTCCACTGTACTGCTCCAGTTCAAAATGGACTTCCTTCACCCAGCGGTCATCCTCATCCAAGAGGCTCCTACTCTCCTCTGCCCCACATTCATCTAGGAAATGGCTTAGGTCCATCCTGGCCCAGTGACATCCCACATTACAGTTTATTGCCGGAGGACTGTGGTGTCAAACCTTCAGTCAGTGGTCTTCAGTTGCAGGGAGAGCTCAATGGAAATACTGGACTAATTGGTCTGAATTTAAGAGGAACTTCTGCTGATAAAGACTGTAGGAATTGGGTGGAAAAGACCAATCAAGTAATGCAAGGTATTAGAAACCACTGATACTCAACACACTTGAAGTAGATACAAAAATTGGTGTCAGTATTATGTAACTCTAGGAATCTCATCTCTCTGGCTCTTAACTACATTGTGTCACCTGATTTTCTCTCTTCAGCGTTTCCTCCTAAGAAAAACTCACACATGAACCAGCTCATTTCCCCCGACTCGCCTCCTCTCCCACCAAACAACCCCTCCACCCTCCCACCTCCTCTGCCCCTAAAGTCTCGTGACGTGATTCCCAGAGATTCACCTCCTCCGAACCCCCCGCAGCCAGAGGACGGACCCGACGATTCTCCACCCCCGCTGACTCGCAGCAGCACAGCCAGAGTCAGCTTCAGAGAACCAATCAGCAGCAGCTACTCTGTTGAGGAGGATGAAGATGAGAATCAGGAGGGGCACCAAGTAGAAAACCAGCAAGATGAAGATGAGGAGGAAGAGGAGGAGGAGGAGGAGGGAGGTTTTGGAAGCAGGTTGCATCTGCAGAAAGGCATCCCACCACAGATGGACCTACTGGGTAAGAAGAGTTCTCAACCAGATAGAGGAGTTGAACATGATATTAATAGTAAACTGTATTTATGTAGCACCTTTCAAAAACAACACACAATAAAAACATCCAATAACAAGGTAAAATAATTTAGATAATAGCAACAATTGCCTTATATTATGAAAATGACTAATAAAGGTGAGTTTTAAGAAGAGATTTTAAAGATGATGCTGAGTTTGCCTGTCTGAGATCCTCTACCAGAGAGTTCTGCAGCTGAGGGGCTCGGACAGAAAAAGGCCAGTCGCCTTTGATGACGAGATGAAAATTAGGAATCGTTAGTAGGGCAGTGCCAGAAGATCTCAAGCAATGATCAGGCTCATAGGGATTTCACAGATCAGAGATACAGACAGGAGCCTGAACATTTAAGGCTTTAAAAACTTGCAATAAAATCTTCAAAACAATTCTAAAACTCTTTGTCTTTGGAAGCTGCACCTGCTGGTACCACAGAACAGTGCAATGCAGTAGTCTGGGAACGTTGAAAGCATGAACGACCTTTTCTAATTCTGCAGAAAAACGGAACAACCTGACCTTGTTTAGCTGCCTCAGTTGTGCAAAGCAGGACTGCACTGCTTTGGTCACCTGAGCACCGAAGGACAGATCAGAGTCAAATATAACTTCTACCCTGGAAAGAAAAATCCCAAACACAAACTGGAAATCTGTCAGCATGGGTGCTAGGAATTTTTTTATGATAAAAAAAATAAAAAATAAAAAATAAATAATAATAATAATTATTATTATTATTATTATTATTATTATTATTATGGTCAGGGGGGGATAAATATAATTTCCTCTGATTTGGAGTTATTTAGTTGAAGACATTTTTGGACATCCAGTTTTTAATCTCAGAAAAGCTGAATGTTTTACATTATACATCTGTGTTGCCAGGATTCATTGAGACACTCAGTAAAGTTAATGGTGTTTTACTCACAGTTTCTTTTTTCTGGTCAGATGGGTCTTCGTATCAGCAGCGCAGTCTGAGGCGGGGGTGGAGTCGCTGCCGCATTCCTTCAGACCCTGCTCTCCATCCGGGTTCAGAGCGGCGCTCTCGACGCTTGAGGCCTGACCGGCCTCACCTGGACACCCTGGACTGGAGATGCGAGAAAGAGAGAGACATCTGGGGCTCTTCCAACAGCTCCTCCTTAACTCTCCAGCCGGGCCACTACAAGCACGAGGACTGTTCTACCTGCTCCTCATCCTCAGACTCTGAGGAGGAGGGCTTCTTCCTTGGAAAGCCCATTCCTGTTCCCCCGCAACTTCGAAAGCAGGAGCCTGGGGAGGGCAAAGACCGGGAGGCAGAAGAGGTGAAGGAGGTGCAGAGGGACAAGGGACTGAGAGGCAGCATAAGACGGAGAAGAGCTCACAGTCTGGGTGCAAAGGACAAAGATAAAAACTGTGTTGTCTCCTAACCCCCAGCAGCTAGCAGCATTAAAACATAGCGTGTTATTTTTTAAATTATGGTGCACGAGAAGAACTAATGACCACCATCAATCTGGTGTTTACCAGGTTTCTGATGCTGACGTAATGTTAGATCTAACACTCACATGCAGACTTTTCCAAAGCTGAACCGCAGCCATTGTTCCTGACACACCACTCAGCAAAGGGAAGGGAAATAAACCTCAAGTGTCTGCCTTGTGTTTAAGGTATTGACTTCTCGTTGTTTGACTTTGAGGTGTTGCAGTATAAAAAATAGTGTACTCGGCGTATGAATCATGTCAGTTGTGATGAATGTGGAGTGAGTATTTGTCACAAAGACTGTTTTTGCAGTCAATTTGAACTGTTGTTACCTGGCAGTAAAATGCTATTATCATCAACTATATGCAAACTTGCAGGAGCACGTATGACCCGGGGCCAATTTCACAGAGGAAGGCTTTCACCATGACTTAAACATAATTCAGACAGTTTGAACTGTTCCACTGTGTACAAAGCTATCAAAGTAGGGGGATTTTCTGTTTAAATTTGGACTTTTTTCCACACTACAAACTGTAGCTGACTAAGCAACCATCTCAAACAGCTCAACTCCCTGCAGAGGTAAAGTTTTAATAGAAACAGAGACATTTAAATGGTAAAAACTCTTCTGTTAATTCCACAGTCGAGTTCAAAGTGAAAATAGTCTCACCATTGCTGTTTATTTCCAACACCTTACTGCACTTTCTAAAAACTTCTCACATTGCATCTCAAAACATGTTAAAAACTGCAAATTATGAGCCACGTTTTCCTTTTTTTTATCATGTGGGAACACTGGTCAGCAGGTGTCTTTAGTTGTTACCATGGAAACATGGGCGACAAATTATAGGGGAAAACCTGAATCCTCCTTACTCTTACAGTGAGGGCTTTCCAGTGGCTCTCATGCTGTGGGGACATTTTGTGGTTGTGTCCCTTGAGAGGAAAGTCACTGCAAAGTTGTTCTGAATGACCAACTTCATCCGATTAGTCATTGCATGAAAAAACAATCAGTGCCTCCCAGTGATCCCTCAGAATCAGCAGATTTTTTTTTTTTTTTTACAATAACTTCAGTGTATTTAACATAACCATGCAGTTTTTCCCTTCATGCTATGAATCTTATCCAAGTTCCAGACCTTGAAGCACATGGGGATGGGCAGTCTTCTTTTTTCAGCAATTTGGAGCCCTCAAAACTTTATAAGTACAGCAGACAACTACTTTAAGTTTTTAGGATTGAAAACCACTTTTGAGCTCCGTTCAGTACTGCAACCAAATCAATTTTACATCCACTCCAGGTGCAACAATCTAAGGCTAAAATCTTATTTTTGTTCAGCCCAATAAGTTGTAATTAACTTTGAGCATTGATATATATATATATATATATATCTTGCAATTTTTAAAAAATGGATATTTCTTTGCATCATAGCCTTTTGCTTCTGTAACACTGCAAATTCCCCAGCTCCCCCTTTTATTTATTACTATTACACATTTTCAACAGGTGAACTACACCAGTTGAATGTCTATGATGTTCAATGTCACCTGGATGTGTTTTGTGTTTTCTGATAATTGGCTGTAGTGAAACATGCATTTTAGATTAACTTTTAAGGATCATGTCATCGTGTGGGATAAGTTGTTGGCCAAAGCAAGTTATAGGTTTTTTTTTTATATATAGATATGAAAGGTTTTTTTTTTAGGCCATGGTTCCTTCTGTGCCAAAGCTGTTTTCTGAAACAATGCGAAATTTCCTTCTAGCCCATAACACTAAAATCACCTGCAACTTATATATAAATATTCATAGTATGAAGGTAACATTTTTGCTTCATCAAATGCAATAATTGTTCTAGAAAATCTGCTGATTCTGAGGAGTCAGATACGTTTTTGGGGTTTTTTTGTTTTTTTTTTCAGATTAGATCATTTTTTAAGTGAATGAACCCTATGATGAAACATGTTTGATTGTAGTTGTCTGGACCATGATGATGATGCCCAAATCCACATGTTGTTATTGAATTTTGGATGAGTTTGAATGATGTGATTGATATACTACGGCCTTTAACAGCACCTACGAGAGATTTTGAACTAACCATCCAAACACCAACATCTTTTGGAGAAATAATATTCATCCCTCCAGCGGAGATTTGGAGCACATGGTGACCTTACACCTCACTAATATACTTTATGTTAATTTTTCCCTTTAATTTCATCTGTAACTTTGAGTCACCCTGCAGGTAGCTACACTAACTTATTAGGTCAGATGTTTGTGGAAATAAATTGCATTAAACTGACTAAAGATGAAGATGTAATCTGACCTAAGACTACAAACCATTAAACCTACAACATCTCTATTAAACCGGCCTCAGCACATTCCTGCATCGTGGTTTGTAAAAATAATAGATTTTATTTCCAGCTCTACTGTAACCACTTTTCTGTGCTATGATGTGCAATCTTTGTTTGGCTGTAACATTTTACAGTTATTGATACTAAATGGCCAAATATTGTGGGAGTATGGAGTGTGATGACACAAAGTATAAGTTGGGTGAGGTTTTGTGTCCAAATGAAATTCTGCAAAGCCTGTACACATTCTTCACGTCTGTAGTCACGCCTGATTTAAAGGTCATCTATTTTTGTATACTTGGTGTAGGTCACTGTTCAGTCGTGTTTTATTTGGGGTAAAAGAAAGAGATTGTAAAGCCTTGTGTTTCTCTGATCACATGATGTACATGAGTAAAATTGTCCAACTGGTTTATCTAAATGTGTGTTGTTTTTCACACTTTACGCACACTCGGCGTGGACCTTTTGAAGAGCAGAAGCTGTGTCAGCGTGTAGTATTGAGGACCTATGATCTCAGCAGCGGTTGAATGAAGCAACGTACACGACAGAAAATTCAACCATTTGTAAACAGGGTGGACCATATTGGATTTTTGCCAGAACCCGAGATGGAAATATTTTCCAACTCATTCTGGCCAATTGCAAATATATGCACACATTTTTTCCAACTAATTGCAGAGAACATCGTCTCTCTCTCCTGTACTGGAATTAACATAATCTAATGCCCACTCTCATCCTGATGAATTACTGGCAGGTGCAGATGCACACATTCACCTGGCAAAAGGAGGAAATTATACCATTTTTATCTGTATGTCACATTTTAAAAGAAAACTGTAAACTTTTAGCCTGACAGATGTAATCTGTTTGTTTTAAGTTGATGAATAATAATTCATAAGAAACCATTTATCACTGATACTGATGTTGATGCCATTTTGCAGTTTGGACAAAAGCAAAAAAAACTTGTAAAGCCGTCACGTTGTGTTATGACGACTTGTGGCAGGCAATTTTCATTATTTTACGGATTTTTACACACCACATATCAATAAATTAAATGAGAAAATAATCACTGCTTGTCTAATTCAGACTCCTGCATTGTTTAAATGAGCTCCATTGCAACCAGCTACAAAAGTAAAAAAACAAAAGAAAGAAATAATTAAATAAAGGAGCATCTTAAATTATTTGCTTCAAATGGCAACATGCAATTGTATTAAGTTTATCTAAATTAAACTATCGCGTAAGATAAATGCCACTGGTTTAAGTTAGATCTACTTAAGCCACTCAATTCCTCTTAAATTAGCATTGGTGCTACTCAAATTTTAAGGCAAGTCAACCTGAAGTTTCTATTTTTTCCATTTGCTTTATCCAAATGTATAATGTAGAACATGTTTTTTCCTTGTATTTGCTCAGTCGTGCTACTCAAAGAAAACACAGCTGGGTTGCAGCACAAAAATGTCAACAATTGTTAAACACAGAATGCTAAACTAGCATAATTGTTTGCCAAAATTAGAAGAAAAAAAAAACAGCTTGAAGAGACAAAGTGTAATTTCAAATTGATAGAATCTACTTAAGTAAAGCACCTTCATCAAAGCAGAGAGATAAGGAAGAATTTTTAAAGCAGTACTTCTACAGCTCATATACATAAAACTCTCACAGCACAGACTGCTTTTCTGATTAGACTTACATACTTTTATTAACATTTTAAATACCTGACTTTCTTTAAATTGATTTTTTAATTTTTTTTTTAGCACTGGAACACCTCTTCCAGGAAACAAAGTGCTTATCATCCAGCCAGCAGGATGAAACAATGGCAGGGTCATGTGACCACAGGAGTCAGTGTGTTTCCTTGTAGGTCACAGATTGGACCAATCGGGAGAAAGTGGGCGGGCCCAGGAGCAGCACACATGAGTTGTCAAACAGGTTTGTCTTGAGCTGTTAAGTGGTTTCCAACACACTCACGCTGACTCTCCTGGGCTGGACAGTGCCTTGTGTTCGCTGGGACGTAACCAGGAAAACCAAGAAGAGGCTCAGGAGCTCAACACCGACTATCAAGGTGAGTGTACTGTAGAAAAACTGAAAGAAAACCTGTTGTGATTAACCTACACCTTCATACAGGCAGACTTGAGCTTGTCAGGGCAGGACTAGAGCGTAGGCCTCGAGTCCAGAGTACATGTGGGTAGTCTTTGTTGTTTACCTGCCCTTTTGAGAGTCTGTGTCACTTCTGTTTGACTTCCTGCTTCGCTCCTTGTTTGTCTCTTACTCTGAGCAGAAGAACATGCCAGCACTTGACTCTCAAACATTAAATTAGTGGCTCTATTTTTGTTTGTGTGGCCCACCTCATTGCATTCCTCTTTGGTTTGTAACACCCTCACCCGCTATCTTAATGACACATTGTGCTGCTGCTTCTAATCAGATCGCTTTGTTTTGGTACACTGGCGCTGAGGCAGGTAAGACCGGCGGAACTGAAAGTTTCACAGCTCTGTCAGCAGGAGTTTGGCCCGGCTCAGACTGGAATGACAAATATGTAGAGAATTTGACTGGCAGATGCAGACTGTTCAAGCAACTCATTTCTGACACACACACAGGATCTGAAGTGTTATGAGTAGTGCAGAAAGACTGTCTGACCTTCACCGTTTGAAGGATTTAACTGTAAAATGTTGAGCCTCTTTATTGTTGTTTTTTGAGGGGGGGTTGGACTTCATTTAACCTACAGTGGCTTGTGGTTCAGGAAGTAGCCTGCACCAAACCCTGGCAACTGGCTGCTTTATTTAAAGATGAGGAGTCATTGTTCCCATAGCAGCTGTTGGTGTGTGTGATCTGCTCTGCATCGCCACCAGACAATAGCTTGTTGACAGCTGTCCTGATGCACCTCCCCATCACCCCTCACACTCGCACACACTCCTGCCTCTCTTTGTAACAATCCTTCTACTGACTGAAAATGAAGTGTCAGTTTTATTGTGCGTTTGTCTGCGGAGAGATGGATGACTGCAAGTGATTGTTCAAATCCGACGGCGCCGGCAGCCAATGAACTTGTGAGATGGAGTAGAACTGTGGAGAGTGATTGGCTGCAGTCATAAATGAATGGGAGGGTTTACGAGTGTGGAGTCATTGTGGAGTTTCAGAGCGTCTGAGAAAGAGATTCCTGTTTGTCTTTTAGGGTAAATGTTTGTATTGACTGCTCTTTATTGCATTTCCTTCAGAAAGCCCAAATGCCAGAGATCCAGCTGAGATGCAGAGGTTACATCTCTTCAAAGATGGCATGGAGATGATCATGAGAAGGCCACACAGAGGTGCAAATAAAGGATAACACTGAGGTACAAAGGGATTTTTGTTCCACGGTGTAAACCGAGAGTGGACAGTCGTTAGTTTACAGAATGCCTGTGGAGATGCTCCAAAGGCCAGTGAGGCAACCGGCGAGGACTGCTGCCGCTGCTTCGCCCCTACGCCTGCGACCCAAAGGGCCAGTGGATCCAGATTTCTACCGGCAGTGCTCACCAGCGACGGTCAGGCCAAAGCAGAGTGCCGTGGAGAGGCTGGAAGCAGACAAGGCTAAATATGTCAAAAGTCAGGTGGCCCTTTCCAAGCAGCAGCCGGTCCGGCCTCCTGAAGTGCGGAAGCCTCTGCTGAACCCTGGAGCTGCTCTGCGGCCCACCAGAAAGACCCCGACCCCAACCAAGGCGAAGCAGGAGGGAGTCCAGCTCAACTTGGAGCACCTCAGTAACCTCATTAGCGATGTGAGTGATGTACCTCAGTCCAGTGCAAGGTCAGAGGACAGTTCACCTCCAGACAGTGCTACCACTGCTGCACACGACTCTCCCTGTCCAGCTCCTCAACAGAAGAAGGAGCGGCCATGCATACCTCCACGTCCTGACTGGTCCACTCCAGCTAAAGTGAGATTAAAAGCATCCGGTCCAGCCAGGGTTGAGAGTCCAGGCTCTCCTGGCTCTCCAGCTGCAGGGACCGTACGCCGGGTTGACGTCATGCCTCAGGCCTCTGCTGTGAGGACGGCCTGCAGACCACCTCAGTTTATCCGGCAGCCTCTTCAGCCCGTCCCTCTACACTCCCAGTTTCTACTCCGCCCGGCTGCTGCTCACCTCTTCCACACCAGGAAACCTCCTGTTCCGACTCCTCTGAAACCAGTTGTTGCACCATCAAAGCCTGACAACTGTCCCTCCTCTCCAGCTGCAGCCCCTGTCCCTGCTCTACCTCCCCCCAGCCTCCCTGTTTTTCCTCCTCCCTCCCCTGCATTTACCCGTTTGTCTTCCTCCAGCTCCAGAAAACGTCCCTCTCTGACCCGGTCCAAGTCGGACATGAGCGACCGGTACTCCCGAGCCGGGACGGAGCTCGAGCGCTTCTTTAACCTGTGTGGTTTGGACCCTGCAGACCTGCAGGACCTGACTGGGTCCAGTTCTGATGTTCTGTCGCTCGCTCGTTTCCGCAGCGTGAGCGCTCCTGGTTCTGAGTGTGCAGGGTCCAACAGACAAGACGAAGATGATGACGAGGAGGAGGACGCTGGCAAAGCTGCGGATCGTGTTCCTTATGGTGTTTCTGTCATTGAGAGGAACGCAAGAGTGATCAAATGGCTCTATGGACTCAGGCAGGCCAAGGAAAATGCAGCCAAGAGCACCAATTTATAGGATGTTGTTAATAGTTTATAAGCTTTAAATTAAAAGTGAAAGCTTTACCTTCACTCTGAGCTATGTGGTTATGATGGATGAAATTTGTTTGCCAGTTAGTTTACTGAGTTTACTTCCATTGTGTCCAATCCCTTTCTTCTGTTTTGTTTTGCAAATTTAGAAAATTGGTGATACTTTCTTTGCTTGTTTTATTTTTCATTTTCAATTGTGGATATCTGTGTTTCCTAATGAGACGTCCATTGAAGTGACTTCAAAACTCAACAAATCAAAATCTGCTGTAAATGGATGGATGAATGGGATTAAAGATGAAATGATGCAAGCATCATGTTTTGGTCCTCTCTGTGATATATTTTAAAGATTCACACCAATAATATACTAGCTTTTTTAATTCATGTCTTATACAAACTTTTTTTTTTTTGCAGAGGCTATTAACTGAAATAGTGCCTACATAAAACTACTACTACATACTTTGACAACACAACAAGAAAAAAATTAGTTTTTTTTTTAATTACTATTTATTCAGCAAAAATATCATAGATATATTATTTTTCTATTTCAACTGATAAGCAAGGATTGCCTCCTTTCGGAAAAATAGCTTCTTGTAGGCGTTTTATAATTTCACAGACATCAGCTTAGTGACATGTTTGGGCACTCTTTTAGGTAGAACTCCTTCAGCTGCAAGATGTTCAAGGGTTTTCTTGCGTGTACAGCCAGTTTTAAATCCGAGGGATTTAAACGGTGTATAGAAAATGGATGGATGGATGGATCTATGGTGGATTTGCTAGTGTGCTTATAGAATCATTATCATGTTGGAAGGACCTCCAGACAGATCGGATGACCTACAAGAACTCCTTTCTATGGTGCAGAATTTGTAGCTAAATCAATGACTGTGAGCTGATCAGTCTCTGAGGCACTGAATCAACCCCAAACTATAACTTTTCCACCACCATTTTCATACCTGGTATGAAGTCCTTCTCCTGAAAAGCTGTTTTTGGTCTGCACCCAACATGTTTGCTGCTGCTGTGACCAAACAACTCTGTCTCTGATTTATGTCCAGAGCACATTATTCCAGAAGTCGTTCTTTTTACCTTCCCATATATTTGCAAAGTGTAGTTTTTCTTTAAAAGTTAAAACAAAAGGTTGACTCCTGGCATATACCCCATGCAATTTGTGCCAACTCTTTCTGGTGGAGACTTTGACACCATCAGCTGCAAGAGTAACCAGCAGATCCTAGGTAATATATATGTATATATATTAGATTTCTTTTTGCATCAAACACTCTGCTCTTGGGCTGAATTTGTTGGAAGGACAAACAGAAGTGCTAGACAAAGTGGCAGTCATTTGAAGTCTACACAGCTTTTACATAGACCTAGAGACATACACAATCCTTTTCCTTTCTTCTCTGAAGGCGTCAGAGAGCTCTTTAGATCTTGGCATGTTGATATTGCACACTTCAGTAACAAAAACTACACCTGAATAAGACAGGTTCAACCCGTCACTCCTGAAATAGAGGTTATCATTGGCACCTAACCTGAAACATCTGATTCTAATTTGGATCTGAAGGTGCGATAAATGTAGAATGTGTATGAATTATGAAACTGATATGTGTCTTTTTTTTTGAGTGCATCTTCTTTATTTTCATTTACTTTAATAAGAACTGTTTCAAAGAGGATCTAATGTTGGCTTGTTATAATTAAAAAAAAGAAAAAAAAAAGGCAACATTGCACATCTGTTTTCACATGACTGTTTAATTCATCTGGCTGCAGTGATATATTTACTCAGTGGAATCAGAGCCTGAGGTCGCACTCTTCATTGTGTTTTTAGGAAATTGTAAGTAAATTTGTGATATTACTTAAAAAAAAAAACAAGAAAAAAAGTTTGCCATTTTGCAAATATTGGCCTGTAGAGAAAGAACATTGTGTTCATGAGGAGGAACAGGATCAACAGGCTTCATCTGATGGAGGAAAAACTTCACCGCTGTTCCACAAGAGGTCAGAGCAGTCTGTGCTGGAACGTTTTGTTCTGTTTGGCAAGAACTGTGTCCTCTTTTCTTGGTTTTACTGAAAAATTACCTGGCAAAGAGAAACAGCTAGTGAGGCAGGAGTCTGTGGAAATGTTGAGCTCTTTAAATCTGAATTCAAATCCTGAATATTTGTTGTGCACATCTGGAAATTTTCTCATGCTTATTTTAATTGCTTTCTAGATCTGCAACTCAATTAAAACAGAGCTGAAGTGACTTTAAATGAGTCTAAAATGAATCACAGTCATTAATGATTTATAAGCTTTGTTGTTGCCCTGAATAAGTCAAACCTCACTTTAAATACAAAAGAGTTGTTCAACCAGATTCCAGACAAGAGGGACTTACGTGAAACCGTGCATGTATGAGGAGCGCTATTGTTGTCTGATCCCCACAGCGGTGCACATGTGGCATTATTCTTTCTCACTTTAGACGATGAATTGTCTTAAGAATTTTACAAACCAGCTCCAGACATTAAAGAATCAGTTACTAAAGCAGCCTGCGGACAGGAACCCATGCAGCAACGGCCAGCAAATGGTAAGAAACTTTTCTATTTTTGCATTTGCATTCCAAATGTTTTGTTGGAATCATTAGTAATTTTTCAGCTAAAATGATTATTTAACGCGTTTCTCTGCAGGTTCAAGTAGACCTTATGTGTTTTGTTTTTAAAAAAAAAAACAAATTTAGCTTGTTTTAGTGCAATGCATGCTGGAGAAGTTTTTTTCTTCTCAAACTCAAACACAAAAAACTCTTCACTTAAGACAGAAGATGTGAAACAACCACTTCTTTCAACTTTCGTATCACAAGTTCAAAGCAGCAGTTATTTAGGAATTATTAATATCCAGATTATAGTCTCTTTCTTGTCATTTGCATGATTTATAGACTTTGAGCTGTGATTATTTTTTGTAAGATTCTTATTTGAGATAAAATGATTATTGATATGATTGAGGTTTTTTGTTGTGTGTTTTTTTTTTTTTTGCAACACTCCGATCGTGGATTTTTCTCAGTTTATATTCTGATGTACTGCAACACAGCTGTTTCACCTCTTTTTTTTTTTTTGCATCTATTTCCTGGATTAACTGTCCTGCAGCGTCCTCTTACATGGGTCATTCCATCGCCAATCATGGGGGGGTCTTCCACACAACCATCTCTGATTTGCTTGAAACTTTTTCCCAACATTCCCAAAGACATTATACAAACTACATGACAGGTCTCCTGCAAACCAAAGAAGTGTAGTCAGAAAAATGAAAAATTATTTCCTTAGTTATATTCCAAAAAACATTTTGTAGCTCCAGAATCCTCCTCCACTTGGATTAGACCATCTAGCAAATGTTTGTTTTTTTTATGGTACAACTATACCTGCTCAATCAGTTCTAAAAGTTTGTCTTTTTGTGATCAAGCATGTCATATAAAAAGCATTCAGTATGTTTTGTTTTGTATAATTGTGGCATGTAATGGTTCGTGATATGGTTCAGAGAGTATCACTGGTTGACTTGCATTATCAGATTTTTTTTTTTTTATTAATGTGTGCTCAAAGATGGGACTTCTCATATTTCAACTAATCTATAATAAGAGATTATATGATCTATTTGTCCAGTGTTTGTCCAATATTGCAGATTTTAAGTCAAATACATGATCAGAGACCACAGTGGAAATGTCAGGCTTTGATTTTTAATAGTTTCCAACATATTGTCGTTCAAACAGCCTCAAATTTCATATGCCAAAACTTAAACTAAAAGTAGGTGGACGGGCATGTGCAAATCAAAAGATTTACAAATATCTTTATAAATATCAGTATTTTATGCTATAAAATTTTCTGGCAAATCAGAGCTGGTCAATTAGAAATTGTTCTAAAAACGTGATGATTTCAGATGGAATGATTTTGTGCTGATCATTGAATCAACAGTTTTGTGCCTCTGCAGGGTTTCACACAGTAAAACACAGATTTCTCTGTTCCATGTGCTTTTAATGTGAAAACAGAATTCAAACCATTACAAGCACAGTTGGAGATTGTGTGCATCAAATAAGTGGAGAAAAACTGTCTAATATCTGAGCTGATGTTTTAGTGGACACCACATTCATCAGAAATGTTCTCCTCTCTGATGCTCACAGGGGTCGGGGGGGATTCCTCTTGCCAGGAAGTTGTGTTATGCTGCAGGTGGGGTTCCTTATCAGATCACCACAGTAGCTATTAGTATCTCCTTGCAGATTTTCCTTCTGGATGTTGTGCAGGTAAAAGTTCAAATTGTCCTTATGAACATGTGCTGCTGCTTTCAGTTTCTAGATAAAGTCTGTCAGCTTCTAATTTACCACAGATGGAGGCCTCCTACGTCTCCATGATTTTATTTGTGAGTCGGGCCTGGGATGCTGTGACGGACCCTCTGCTGGGATACCTGGTGAGCCGCAGTAACTGGACACCCATCGGCAAACTCACTCCATGGTCGGTTGGTGGAGCTACATGTTGAACACACACTGGATGTCCAATTTAGCAACAAATTCATCCATCCGCATTCAGAAGAGCCATCCATGTTTCTCTCACAGGCTGGTTCTTTCCACTCCATTTGGTGTTCTGTCCTATCTGCTGCTGTGGTTTGTGCCACGAGGCTCCACGTCTGAGGCCGTCAGCGTTCTGTGGTTCCTGGTAGCTGCTTGCCTGTTCGAGACCCTCATGAGTGTAAGTCGGTGTAAGTTTACAATGATAGGAAATAATGAACTGCAATTTTCAGGTACATTTCATTTTACGTTACTTTACTCTTCAAGTTTACATCAGAGGGAAATGTTTCAGCTTTTTTCCTGTGTGAAAATTAGGATTTCACATAAAAATGTATGATTAGCACATAAAATACCAAAGAAACCCATTACAAAAAGCAGTAGTGTCCATTTAAGGCCCCTTGTAAGAGACATTTATGTGATCCTACAAAGTATCCCCACTGATGATCATGATGTTGTGGAGCAAAAAATTCAAATTTTAGAAATATATTTCACAAAAAAAACAAAGTATTTGAAGAATCTCACATGTGTGAATCTGAACTTTGTTGTTTCTTTTAGTCTCTAGTTTTTTAACCCAAAACCCCTTAGATCTGTGTTGAAGGGGTCTAATCCTTCCTGTTATAAACCACTGGAATAAAGTGGCTACTATTTAAATTTAATTCAATCAAAATAACTTTATTTGTCCCCTGGGGGTATAATAGTAGTATAAGATAAGACAAAGTACGATAAGATCAACTTTTTTCATCCTGGAGGAAATTGTTCTTCCAGAATACAATACAATAAACAAAGGTTAGTAGTAAGTGTTTGTGTGAAGTGTGTAAAGTGTCTAAGTGGATGCCCCGGAATAGTGTATAAATAGTAAATAAATAAAATGGGGCTGCAAGGTGGATCGGTGGTTAGCACCGTTGCGTCGCAGCAAGAAGGACACTTGGATCTTTCTGCGTAGCGTTTGCATGTTCTCCCCGTGCAGCGTGGGTTCTCTCTGGGTTCTCCGGCTTCTTCCCACACAGTCCAAAAACATGTTGAGGTTAATTGGTGATTATAAATTGTCTGTAGGTGTGAATGTGAGTGTGCTTGGTTGTCTGTCTCTAAGTGTAGCCCTGTGATAGACTGGCGACCTGTCCAGGGTGTCCCCTGCCTTCACCCTAAGTCAGCTGGGATAGGCTCCAGCCCCCCATGACCCTAATGAGGATTAAGTGGTGTATAGATGATGGATGGATGGATAAACAAAATGCTGCTTTCACTGTTATGCAACATCAGTAACAATCTGAAAACGTCAGGTAGAAGAAAAACAAACCAAACACATTTACTTTACATACGTTACTCTTTCTGATAATACTTATGAGTCAAGGAAATTAGGTGCATTTAAGTGTTAAGTCAGGACTTGAAGTCATTGTTCCAACAGTGTTTTGTCATCTCTACCATCTTGTGTTTCAGTCTCCTCCTCCAAGTTTTTTCTCTTCATTTTTCTCATGTCGCCATGGTGACAGGATTTCATACGATTCTCATGTCACTGTTTGTGCTGCCATTTTGCTCTGAGCCACGTCACCATGGCTACCAAGTTTCACACCGCTCATGTGCTGTCACTTGGCGTCATGTTTTCCTCCTGTCATGTGCGAACAGTGCTACAACGTCCCCTACCTCTCTCTGAACATGTTCCTGGGGGGAGATCAGCGAGACAGAGACTCTGCCACCGCCTACAGTAAGAGAAACTACATCCATCGCAGGCGTCAGGCCAAACAAAATGTAGAAAACTCTGCGTTCCTGTCCTGCTTTGACCAGGAATGAGTGTGGAGGTGGTGGCGATGCTGCTGGCGTCGGTGATTCAGGGACAAGTCGTGTCCGTGTACAACTCAGAGAAGCAGGAGGCCTGTCAGCAGCTGGACCAAACACCTCAGAGCACATCTGCACCACAACCTGCTTCACTTCAGGAGACGGTACATACAGATATGCAGTTTAAATAAAAGTGGTCACTGTGACTGAGCTCATATTTCTGCAGCAGCCGAGCAGCACTGCTTTAGCATTGTGCTCACACGGTCCCAGGGATATTAAGTTACCCTGTAATTTACTGTTCTTAGCTTGACATTGTTGTGTTCGCCCATGTGTGCGCTTGTATCACTCATGTTGTGGGGACTTAAACATCTTTCTTCAGCCACATTGTGGACACCAGGCTCCCTTTTGGGGTTCAAATAAAACCCTGATAACATCAATTATTAGACTTTAATTTTAAGATTTAGGTCTCCAGTAAATGAATGTAATCTGCTCTTTTTTCATTTACCTTTACATCTAATTTAAACTTGGTCAAATCTTGGCATATAGTCAAGCTTAAAAACTCCACCATTAAAACACATTAAAGTTTTCTTAATTTGTACTAAACAGTTGCTTGTATGTTTTTGTTCTTACCAACTGTCTATCTCTAGCTCCTCCTTAATATCTTTGTACACAGTTGTATCAATCATCTTGCCGAAAAATGAGTGTTTCTTTCAAACGTGTGTTGAAGTGAAGCCGATAATCAAGCTAAAGTTAATTATAATGCCGCACAACCAAACTTTAAAGTGGAATAACTTCACACAAGTCATACATTTTAAGCAGGCAAGACAGAGCTTGTAGACAACATTGTGTGCTTTATTTATTTGTTAGTTTCATTGTGCATTTCGCCCCCAGGAAAAGGCCTTCCTGACCTCCGCTCTGGTCATGGGTGCCTTGTTTTTCCTCTGCAGTCTGGTTCTCTTCCTGGGAGTGAAGGAGCAGCGGGGTGAGTCATTTAGAGATGACACTATACTTAAGATTCGTCTTTGTTGTTGTTGTTGTTGTTGAAATAGATGTGGGTTGTGATTTATTTGTCAACAATATGAGTGTAAATTAAGAACACAGCATTTGTTTATAAATGGCAGATTGTAGGTTTCACTTTGTTCCTCTTTAGAGACTCTAAAGAATAAAAGCACTTTGTGATTTTATTCTGTGAAAGGTGCTGTATAAATAAAGTTCTTCTTCTTCTTCTTCTTCTCCTCTTTCGGTGGTGTGCTTTAGATTATCATGCTGGAATAGACCTTCTCCTGTCAGCCAATACTTTGCTATTTCTACAGGCATTCATGCTGCCAGGTGTAACTATCATCTCCCAACACCTTTTGCATTCATGCAGCCCCTAATCATCACACCCCCACGTCCATGCTCCACTGTGGTCGTCCTGGCCTTGTTCACAACAAACACTCTGGACCCCATTTGAGCCAAACAAATGAATCTTGGTCTCATCTCGCCAAAGAATGTGCTCCCAGCATTTATCAGATTTTCATGCATGTTCTTTAGCGATGTTTAATTTTGCATTTTTGTGCAGAAGAGTGAGCAAAGGTTGTTTTTCTGGATGCTCATCCATAGCGGTAGATGCTGTGCAATGTCATTCACACTCTCTGAGCCGTCATAGGAGCTGATTTCCCCTGATAGTCATTTCCCAGTTTTTTAATGCAAAATTGTGCAAGTGGTGCATTTTCTCTGGCACCATGTTAGGACGACCACTGTGACTCTGATTAGTGGTACTATGACTAGTTCTATACTTTCTGATTACTGCTGCAGCGGTGTGTCCACAGTTTTTTTTTATAAACTTAGTTACTGATCTTCCTGTATTCCTTTTAGTTTAAGGGATCATAGGTTTTTAAATCTGTTTTAGTGATTACAGGTACTATGTTTACTTTTTGCCTTGAGTTTCTATTTTGAGGGCTGTATTTTCAATAAAACCTACTGTTCAACTTAGAAACAATGTAATTACAATAAACCTGGTACTCTACTCTGTTTCCTATTTAAACCTAATTTTCATTTCATTTTTAGCCCCTCTCTGCTCTGATGACAAACTAAGACCATCCTATCTGACCTCACTAAAGATGCTCATATGCCACGTTCCTTACCAACGCCTGGTGCTCGGCTTTGTGTTCAGTGCATTTGCTTTTCAGGTACAGTTTGATTTGTGCTGCATTCCTCTGCACACTGGTTCTAATGAAAAACAGAGAAATTCATTATCTAAAAATCCCAATCATCAAGATTTTCTATTTGTGTGTGTGTGTGTGTGTGTGTGTGTGTTTGTTTTTTCTCAAAGTCATGTATGCATTTGTTAATGTGTGTTAACTTTTTCTTCTCCCTCTCAGATGTCTTTGGGTAATTTTGCACTTTTTTGCAGTCATGCCGCTGGGCTGGGAGCCCAGTTCCAGCACCTCCTGCTGGTTTTACTGGTAATATGCAACTAACTGACAAAAATCCATTACTATCTGCTTCACAGGACATTTATGAATGCAGGATTTCAGTAGCTTTTAAAGCATTTTAGATGCACTTTGCATTTCATCATCTCCACAGGCTTCTGCCTCAATAGCAGTACCTCTGTGGCAAATAGTTCTTCTGAGAATTGGAAAAAAGACCACAGTTTTCATCGGCTTATCTGTAAGAAATCAGAAATTCCTGTAGTTTCATGAAAAGAGTAGCTTTCCACACTTTGGATTTTCCTCTCACCTGTGCGGCCTTTTTATGCATTTCACAGCTCTTCATCCCAGCAGTGATTGTAGTTGCCTGTGTTCCCAGTAACCTGCCAGTCTTCATGAGTATGTGCATTTTGATGGGGTTCAGCGTGGCAACCATATTCTTGCTGCCCTGGTGAGTCACTTCCCAGCTTGGATACAGAGTTTGCAGTCCTTTCTAAGGCCACTGTCAGATCTAATCAGTGTTAGAAGTGAATGTGGTGCACATGAATCTTTCATCCACTTGACCCTGGCTACTGATGAATATTCAGAAACGATGTGTTCTGTTGACTGCTCAGAAATCTTCATTATAATTGACATGTGGTTTTGACATGTGATAAGTCAGCTTGTGCCGGATCTTCTACAGGTCAATGCTCCCAGATGTGGTGGATGACTTTGCTGTGAGCCATCCGTCCTGTAAAGACCTGGAGCCTCTGTTTTTCTCCTGCTATGCCTTCTGCAGTAAGCTGGCAGGCGGACTGTCTGTTGGACTCTCAACCATGACATTACAGTGAGTCACACTTCCGTACACTCACTGCTTGTGTTTGTTGTGTGCGTGCATCAGTTGGTCCGTCACATTTTGTGTTTTCTTTTCCACAGGTTTGTGGGCTACAAAGCAGGTGCGTGTAACCACGGTGACGGAGTGGTGGCGGCTCTGATTGTGCTGTTCTCACCAGTTCCCATCACACTTCTGCTGATAGGGATGCTGTTTTTTCGCTCCTACCCAATCAATGAGAGAAAGAACTTGCAGCTCCTGGAACAAAAACTCCAGTAAGAGGCTTTTTTGGTGATTTTTTTCCTTTTAACACATCACCAGTAGCTCCAGACGTGTTCATCTTTCAATCAGCTATGACAGACATTTTTTTGTTTAGTTCTTTTGGATAAAAATGCACCAAATTATAAAAAGGAAAAACAATCACACGTTAAGAAAAGGGTTTCTCGTATTGATTAACCAAATGTGAAGCTCCCTGTGGCTTTACAGCAAGTTTCAACAGATTATTCAACTGTAAGGCTTACAAATTTACAGTTTTGGTTCACTTTCACTGTTTTTGTGACAATGTTTTCAGCCACTGCTGTCCAATACAATCTGTACAATCTAAACAGCCAAGACTTTTTGTGCAAGAAGAGACACACATTTTGCTCAAAGACTTGGTAAAGACCAAAAACGCAGCTGAAGAGAGTGTGGGGATAGGTTTGCTAGCTAGTTAGCCAAATAAAAGTTGCTGAGTTAATGATGTCATTGTCATCGCCACAACTTGTTTCAGCTTCTCCCAAGTAGCCAACAAAAATAAAAATCTGTTACAACAAGTTTAAGTTCACAGTCACTGATTTAGCTGTCAAATATTAGCCATATCTGGTTGAGTAAATGATTCCAAAGCTATGAAACATTGTTTTGTTTGAATTTGTTAGCATTGTTACTGCGTTTTAAGTCTGTGGGATATTAAAGAAAAGACTCAACATTTTGCCAAATTTTCTTATTTAATTTCTTGCAGATAGAGTTGAGAAGATTATAACCAATCTTATGTCTGCACAGCAGATATGAAGCTTCAGCCAGGAACCAGTTAGATTAGCTTAGCACAACTTAGCATCAAGACCAGAAATAGAGAAACAGTTAGCCTGGCTCTGTTTAAAGCTCAAAAACATGTCTACCAGCACCTCTAAAGTTCACAAATATCTTATTATAGATATTATATCTCATTTGTTCAGTTCACACACTTGACGCAACATGTTAATTAGCGAGCTATGAATGTGTTGTTTGGCAAATTTGGTGGATTTGCTGGATGGAGCTAGCTGCTCATTTTTACATGCTTCCAGTCTTTAAAATATATTTACTTCCAGTTTTAGTTCCACAGTTAATACAAAGAAGAATGAATATGTGCAAAGGTTCAGTGTGTATTTAGAGATTAAGGAGGGTAGAAGAATTAAAATCAAAGAAAAGCCATGAAAAAAATCAAGGTCTAAGCACTCCACATGGATTCGAAAAGTAAGCTGCCTTTATTTCAGCGGGCTGGAGACACTAAAATTACACTGTAAAGATGTAAACACACATCAGGTGTTCAACGCTGAGTACCTGCATTATTCTCTCTCTGGCCTCTGGAGGCATCACACTACCAATACAGCACAAGAAATAAAATTATAAACAAAACAAACAAACAAACAAAACACAAAAAAACAAGGCCCTCTCACAGACTGGTAAAAAGAAAGAAAGAAAAAAAAAAAAACACTTTCCTAGTTAAAGAATGTGTGGACAAAGGAGGATAAACTCCACAACAGGAACCAAACACTTTGATAACATAAGTCAATAAAGTAAAACCACAAATGCAGATGCACTGAAGAAATAGCAATCAGTGGTATCTTTAGAGAGAAAAATCTGGTTGAACACATTTAAGGAACCTTTAAAAGGAAAAAAGTTTTAGGTTAGGTAATGAATATAAGTCGGGTGAAAAGTCAAACTCCTTGTTGAGCACAGGGTAACTAGCTGCCCTCATGGCACTGATCCAATATGCCTCTCCTTTGTTGAGGTGTTTGATTTCAGGCCAGACCTGCCATCAAAGCTAATGACTTCAATACCAAACATTCTTAGAGTTGAATCACTCCCATTTTGTGCTTCGATGTGGTGTTTGTCTATAGCATAATTCAAATTCCCAGTACAACCAACACCCTGCAGCACAGCTAACTCATAACAACAAACCACTTTTAAAACTGTGAGAAGAATAGCCATGGTAATTATGTTTGTTTTTGTTTGTTTGTTTGTATTCTTCTTCCAGCCAAGAAGCTACATCACCATCATCATCATCATCTGTCCCCAGAGAAAACACAGAGCAGCTAACAATCCTGCAGCAGCCTCATGTCGGAGTGACAACATCACCTTATGAGTCAAACACCAACGCAGTGCACAAGTCTGGTTCCTCACCACACTGCTGCAGTCAGGAAACAAAACGCTCAGTCAAGACATCCATCCGTTCAAATGTATCAAACAGCCGTTTGGAAAAAAGCAGACGGCTTAACTCACATTCCCAGTCAAATGTAAATCCTCAGTGTCATAAACACAGGCCTCACCGGCGCTCAGGAGACGCTACACTGGGCAGACATTTTCCTGCAAATAATTCTGGGTGTAGCGTGTCACATGGGAGATCCAAAGTGTCGTGGGTATAGAGAGGAACCTGATGTTTTGGGTCACTGTTGCTGAGAGATTGATCAGAAAACTGATATCACTCTCATGTCTGTACAGTAAATATGAAGCCACAGCTGCTTATTTGACCGGTGGAGGCTTCCAGAAGTCCCAGCCAAGAAATATCTGCAGAGCATTAACTCCTTGCAACACCACAGCTTGCCATCTTTACATTTCAGTTTGTGCACAGATTAAATACACAAAACACATTATAGCATGTTAATTTGTTAAATGTTGCAGATTTTTCGAAGTTGGTCCAGAGTTAGGCAGTAATAGTTTTGTAGTTTTTATTCCTTCTTTATTTTTATTTCATTTTTTATTTTTGTTTTCATTGTAGTTTTCGTTTAAGTTAGTTTCCAGCTAGTTTATTTTTATTGTTTTGTTTCAGTTTAGCTTCAGTATTAGTTTAAGTTTGTTTTCCTCTTGGGCTGCAAGATGGATCGGTGGTTAGCACTGTTGCCTCGCAGCAAGAAGGTCGCCGGTTTGCATCCAGGTGTGGACACTGGGATCTTTCTGCATGGAGTTTGCATGTTCTCTCCGTGCAGCGTGGGTTCTCTCCGGGTTCTCCAGCTTCCTCCCACACAGTCCAAAAACATGTTGAGGTGAATTGGTGATTCTAAATTGTCTGTAGGTGTGAATGTGAGTGTGCTTGATTGTCTGTCTCTCTAAGTGTAGCCCTGTGATAGACTGGTGACCTGTCCAGAGTGTCCCCTGCCTTCACTCTAAGTCAGCTGGGATAGACTCCAGCCCCCCGCGACCCTAGTGAGGATTAAGCGGTGTATAGATGATGGATGGATGGGTGGATGGACATAACAGCCACCAACTTTCTCATCTAACACTTGTGACATCCTGAGTGAACTCCTGCACACTGCAATACACTCCAGGCCAGTATAACTACCAAGTATCATATTTACACCTCTGTACTATTATTTAACCCTGTGTCAGAGAGATGCTAGTTCAGCTGTTGTTGCAGTAAGCATATGCAACTAAATCAATGCACATGTTTTATTTCCGTGGTATTTCTTGCAGGACGTTTATATTGCATTAGTATTTAATTCTCAGTGTAGCTGAAGGGCAGAGTTTCATGACTCTTTGCATGCACTGAAACTGCCCACGAGTGGGAAAAGCACTTATGACAGAGTAATTTGGTGGCGAAGCACTGAGTCATCTCTCAAAAGCGTTTTTTTTTCTCACTGTTATGACTCTTTCCTACATTTTTGTAAATTCTGGTGGATGGGAAGGAATCTTGCTTTTTGTTACAAATCAGAAACTTCACCCCGGAAAACAGCACTCATATTGCACATAGTGTGGAGTTTATGTGTCGGTTTACCCTAAGAACATATTTGGTATTGATGATTATATCGTGTTAAACGTAATATTTTAACAGATGTGGTGATAAAAATAAAAATTCCTTGTGGCATTTTGACTCTGGGAAGTGCAAGACATAAATCTTGATGTGTCACCTCTATCTGTTCTGTTTGATTTATTGATGTTGCTTGTTTCTACAGTGTGGTGTACGATGGGTGCTGGACCAGTTTTCTGATGTTTTGGAAACAGTTTACAGAGCATAAAAAACAGACCAGTCCACTGATGGACATTGTCTTTGCTTGCCATTCTTTTCAAAAGACTGTTTTTGAGCTAACAGAATCACAAGTGCAGCTACTTGTTCTCCAGGACAGAATGTGACAGGAGCCTATGTACTCTTGTTGCCAATGTTTGCTAGAAAATTGCCCAAAGTGCTCTATTTTTAATGCGCCCTGAGCCTACGTTTATGCTTTTCAGCAAATTTTCCTGCTCCTGTTTTGTGCTCCTTTTTCAGATAAATAGATTTTCTGAGTAGTCATTCATTGGTTCATTTTCAGTCATTAAATTAAAATGTTGTTTAGCTCAATAGATATGTCTGATATATATAACTTGCAAACAGTACAGACATGAGTGCTGTTATTATCTTTCCAAGGAAAGCTGGAAACAAAAATGTTGCTTTGCTCAATCAGATTGTTTGTTTTCACTTGAAGTGGATGATCACTCATATTTGTTCTTATTAGTAGAGTTTTATTAGATGGTGGAGACCAAAAACAGAGCTTAAAAAAAGAGTAAATATTAGAGTTACATTGAACAGGTAGACAGCAACACAACCTAAATGAATTATCTATAAATCACAACTTGTGGTTCCTACGAGATTAAAAAACATTCAGTTTTTGCATATTTAACAAAAGCAGTTATGCTCAAACCTAAAAGTAACATCGTTCATTTTAATAACTGCATCATTGCCAATAATATCAGCATATTATTCTTGTTTTTATTAAATCTTGCAGATGGAGTCAGTCTGTTGTAGCTTTCAGTGTTTTGTTGTCTTCATTATAAAACAAGGTCTATATGAGCACTGTTTTGTGGCTCTGCAACCGCCTACTTATAACACCGCAGCATGATGATATGATGCAGCGCTGATAAGAAGCCAGACAAGGTACGAAATGTGGGCAGTCAAGCCGTCCTTCAGGTTTTGAACAATGTTCGAATGTTTGGTTTTACCACCAGACAAACTGGCTTTCATAACCTGGTTAAACTGTCAGCTTGGATGCCAGCTGTCTGGCAGCCGACGATGCTTCAGCCATTAAATTTTCCTGTAATTATATTTTCGTGTTCCCAGATCTCAGCCAATACACTTGATAGAAACCCAACAGAAGAAATTACTTAAACTACACAAACACATCCTAAGTTATAATAAGTATTTGAGTGTCAGTGATGTCATCAGGCCTTTTTTGATTTTTACAAAAGCAAGACTCTTTCTTTAATGACCATATATCTATGTATCTGTTATTCTGCTCATTCTGCTCAAGCCTTCAGAAATAATATAATATAGTTGATCTTGGACTATTTAAGGTTGGTCACCCAAATTATTATTTAAAAAAAATATATGAAAATGAGTATTTCCAAGACACATCTTAACATATAATCCGAGCTGTGTAAATCATATGAATAAGACTTATTCCAAGGCACAGTGTGTGAACCACTGGTCCAGCTATCCCGCACTCTCTGTGATATCACTGTGTGTACATATATTAATATTAGTATGTGTTAAGAAAATAGGATGATCTTATTTTGCCTTGAGCCCAGTCTTATGTTATATTTTTATTTAACTCTGAAAGAACTTGAAAACGGTACACTTATCAGTTTAAAGTCTGAAGACTGCCTGACTGGGCTAAACTCCCAATGTTTCAAGATCCCAAACACACCTCTACTGTGAACATGGAGTCAATCATTTAAGAGAAGCTTAATTACAAAAAGCCACTGGGAGTCCCCCTGTAGTCATTTTTGGTTCTTTTTATGCATATTTCTCATAAGAAATGTTAACAGTCACTCCAAATATAGACTCTGGCCTTTCCATTAATCCCTCCATGGCAATAACAATAAAGTTGCTTTAAAATTCAATATCAGTCGTTTCGTTTTATGACTGTTTTAAGATCAATGCCCTTTTAATATACCCCTTTTAAAATTAAGAGCTGTGTCAGTTAATGAACTGTATAGTACTTTGACAATATTACCCCATGATTGACTTCAAATGCATTGATTTTCTTTCTTCCTCGGCACACAGGAGAAGAAGCCGAGCTGTCAGTGGTGTTGTTAGGCCTGTGCATTCCAGGCTAAAGGCCTGAATGTTTTATGAATAGGAAAAAAAAATCATTGAAGCTGACCTGTCTTCAATCCAGAACCTATACGTGTCCAGAGTTATTAAATGCTCTGATTCTTATTTGTTAGTTATTTGGGTGTTGTGTTATGGGACTTTATAGGGGAACTTTCCTCCTCAACAGCACCTGCATCTCTTCTCCTGGATTATTTAAAGGGTCTGTAACCCAGTTAAATCAAATTATTATTAGAATGTTTAGTAATTAGTATGCCTCGTGTCTTGTCTTTCTGAAAAACAAATCTTCCTCTAAGTCACAGTTCTCTTGCAGACGACATAGGGCTGTCCTCCAAGATATCCCTATACTAGACTACTACTACTGCATTCATTTTGCTCTCTACCTCTACAAGCCTTACAGGACCTGCTGCGGAGCAACACCCCCACATCATGATGCTGCCACCACCATGCTTCATAGCAGTGTTTGTGATGATGTGAATTATTGGTGCTTTGTTTTGGTCTCATCAGACCAAAGAACTTTCTTCCAGCTGATTTCAGAGTCTCACATGTCTTCTGGTGAACTGTAGTCGAGATTAAATGAGCTTCTGTCAGTGACGGTTTTTATTTGCCGCTCTCCCCTAAAGTTTCACTGGTGAAAAACAGATAACAATGGTCTCTCCCATCTCAGCCATTGAAGTAACTACTTCAGAGGAGTCATAGGTTTCTTGGTGACCTCCCTCACTAGTCTCTTTGTTGCATGGCCTGCTCTCAACAGATTTATACATATGTCACATTCTTTCCATTTCCTAATGCTGGATCAAACTGTACTCCAAGGGATGTTCAGTAACTTGGAAATGTTCTTGTACCCATCCAATGACTTATGCTATTAATAACCTTTTACAGAGTTGCTTGGAGTGTTCATTTGTCATCATGGTGTAGCTGTAGGCAGCAGTACTGATTCACCAGTGACTAGACCTTCCATACAGGTGTCTTAATACTACAGTTACGTGAGGCAAATTTACTGCACTCAGATGATCCCCATTTCACTAATGATGTGACTTTTAGCACCAGTTGGCTACACCTGTGTTAAAATTAGGTGACTCACTTTAAAGGAGGTGAATACTTATGCAATCACTCACTTTACATTTTATAATTTTAATTACTTGACATTACTTTGTAGTAGTTTGTTTTCATAGTGACATGAAAGAATCTTTTAAAATTATTATTGTTGTCATAAAGTGCCAAATTAACTTAACATTATTCAGTGTTTAGAAGATCTAAGAAGGGAAAACTTCCAAGGGGGGGGTGAATAATTTTTATAATCACTGTAGCTGTAAATCAACATAAATCAGATGAATTCCAAGGCACAGCACGAGAGACTTTTACATTTACATTCAGATGTTGCAGTGAAGAAACATCACTTAGATTTCAATTAATGAGCTTCAGATTGATGGTTCTCATACATATATACATTATGTTTGTTTTGACGCTGAACTTTTGGAATAAGGTATTTTTTTTTGTAGGAATATCACTGCATCGGTGGTCACTTGGTGCATTTCTCTCCATCCATGCCCACCCCCTCTCCAGCAGGCCGCCCCTGCCTCCTGCTTCCGCTCGTATTGAAGGGTGGTCGAGAGGACGGATACCACAGAGCGAAAATGGGAGTAGAGATTGAGACAATAACTCCGGGCGACGGTGGGAATACTATGCCTCGTTGAACAGCTCAATGCTCTATTTAATTCACAGAGTGTCTGGTTCATTATTACAGCGAGCTTTCTCTATTTTCTCCTCTTTTCAGGACGGACATTTCCGAAGAAGGGGCAGCGCGTCGTGGTGCACTATGTCGGTGAGTGCGGAGGCTTCTGAATGGAGCTCACTGAAACATGTTTTCCTCTTCTTTTCTTTTCTTCTTTTAAAACTACATGTTTCACGCAAGTTGTTGGCGATTCGGAAGGTTTGTGTGAAATGTGGGACCAAGTGGAAGCGGTTAGTTTGAGCTAAGGCTGCCCGCTGCTGCTGGTTAGCATTGTAGCTAGCGCTCATACGCTGTTTAACAAATTGGTTGTTGTGCCTGTTCGGCTAACATTAACTAATGTTGTGGTGAACGCGGCCACTTGCTTGCTGAGTTTGTCTCATTTTCGCAGTCATTTCAACTGAGCTGCCCTGTCTTTACTAGCAGGGCAGGGGGACGGTTGAGCTAACGGTTCCGTTGCTGCTGTCATCTTCCTAACCGACCCCATGATGCTAGCCGGCTAATGCTAGCTCTTGGCTCCCAGGCTGCCTGGCGCAGAAAAGTGGGACTCCTCATCGATAAGCCGAGCCGATTGTCGAGTGATACATCTCAAGATCGCTAATTAGCTTCCCGTCTCTTCTATTATTATTTTTTTTAAATCATCAGGCACACTGGCAGATGGCAAAGTGTTTGACTCCTCGAGGTCCCGGGGGAGGCCGTTCAAATTCAAAATTGGACACCAGGAGGTTATTCGTGGTTGGGAAGAAGGAGTAGCCCAGGTGAGGAAGAGCTCCTCCACTGAGGATGTCCCCTCTGAAGGGCTTGTCACAGTGCTGTACATCTTTACCAACATTTTGAGTGCACCTAGCTAAAATTACCATTACAACAGTCCTGCAAAAATTATACATTTCATGAAGGCTGTGGTGTTAAGCTGTCTGTGGTGTTGTCTCACTGTGATGGATGTACTCAGAGATGTTTGGTGTTTGTCATATTTTCACATATATCAAAAGACAAAGTAGCAGCAACACCTGTCAGCTACATTAATGGATTCTCTGTTAAATCATTGGCAAACTTCTCATCATTGGTTTAATTGATTTTTTTAAAACTTAAAAACTAGAAATTCTCTGATTCCAGCTTTTTGAATTTGAGTATTTTCTGATTTCTTTACTCTTCTGTCACAGTACACTGAACGTCTTCGGGTTGTGAGCAAAACAAGACCTTTAAAGATGTTATCCTGTCCTTTGGGAAACACTGATGGACTTTTTTCACTGTTTTGTGGCACCTTATAGACTAAAAAAGTAATCGAGATACACATTACATTTGAACAGCACCACAAGAACTGACCTCTACAGCCACCTTTATGACAGTAGGAGTTATTGCTAGACTGTTGTATCTGACTACATTTATTTAAGCCAGGTATATCTAATAATCTGATGGTCTAAATTGGAATATATTACTGCTCGGTGGTGTTTTATTTCAGTAGTAACAGCAATGTAAGTAATGTCTCCATTTCCTCCACAGATGAGTGTAGGTCAGCGGGCAAAGCTTGTTTGCTCACCAGACTTTGCGTACGGCAGCAAAGGTCACCCAGGGATCATCCCACCAAATGCCACTCTCACCTTTGACGTGGAGCTGCTTGGTCTGGAAGCCTGAAACTTGTGCACTCAACTTTGTTTAATTCCACTCAGATTATCAGGGTGAGGCGTTTTTCTATCACATGATGTGTGAGGGATGGCTGTGCTATGATTCATGACTCTGGGCTGTTTTTACATTCATATTTCCGACCTGTACGATCGTTTTGCCACATACCTATAGCGACCATACATTTAGCCTTTGTAATTTACCCGCTGATGTTTAGAGATTAAATGGTGTGGATTTAACAAGCTTTTGGTCTCAGTATCCTGTAATCCCCTCTTCCTTAATCACAGCACTAAGACCCTGTTTTTTCACTGCAGGTTGACTCCTATCTCGGGAACATGGAGGAAAAATGTGTAACAGATGATTCCTGCTCTTGATTCCTGCATAGGACCTATGTCTATAGCTTCACTAGTTCACTTCTCATTTAGATACAAATTGTGTTACGTCACTTGCTTTAAAACTTTATCCTTCATACTATACTTTAGACTCCATACAGTAATAAGTCATAGGCTATCCCATCCCATGTATTTTGTCATATTCTGCTATGTATTTTTATGGTGATTTTTATTTTTTTTTTGTTATTATTTGACTTAAAATTGACTCTATTTGACTTACAAAATGTGTCTGCCATCAGGACCACGTTTTAGATAAGTGTCACTGAATCAATCTCATTCCTGTGGCTCTGTGGCCTTTACAATAAAATTGTATTGATTGCGGGTAATGAATTGTCTTGCATTAAAGTAAGAATAAATTGTTGTTTGACACAATGATATTTCTCTGAATAACCTTTGTGATACTTGCTGTTGGAAAAAATTTAGATAAAGGTATGGAATACATTGAAACCAGGGATTCACAACTCAAGCACAACATTGCCATGAACAGCCTACAGCTCTCTGCAGATGTAAGATTTTTTTTGTCTATACTGCAGCGTCAGTTCGTAATTTATGACCAATATGACTCTTTTTGCTGTAAAGTTTACAACTGGATGATATTTGTCTTCTTGGCCAAAAGACAGTGTGGTGCAGAAAATGTTTGGTCTCTGATAAAGTGTTTGTAGGTTTTTTTGGTCTGTGGCTTATTCTAAATACAGTAAGAGTAATTGTAACAACAGTTTTACTTCCCTTGGGCGATTGTATCACTGCTTAGCCTTAGCATTTCCTATCATCACTGAGTTATGATCAATATTTAATGGTATCACAGCACACTACCAATAAAAGTAAATAAAAAAAGAAAACAGAAGCATCTTTTATTTTTTTAGAAGAGATTTGAAGTGTTCTGTTTCTTATGCGTTTATGGAAATCACTGGTGCATGAAGCAGTTACACGTTTTGTTTTTTTTTACAATGAAATGTTTTGGGGTTTTTTTTCAACCGAACTACTGATTATACAGTTAAACCTAATTGCAAAGATCCTCGAATGCTAAAACATCGTTCTGTTTGTATAGTAAGGCTGAAAACAGCAATTAAACAGCCTGTACTGTACATGGTAATTTGTCATTACAACTGACAACAGTCCCACTTGAAACACGAGCATCTACATGTTAGGAATAACGCTCTGTACAATGTACATTAGTTTTTTTTATTTAACTCTGTACAATGCAATGAAAGCAGTCTGGTCGCACACAAACAGTAACTTCACTTGCAGCTGTGCAGTCATCTTTTTTTTTCATGTAAAATCAGAAAATATATGACTTTTCTCTTCACAAATCCAGTAAACAAAGCTTCTCATCCAACTTGTTGATTTATTCTACAGTATATTGAATATTGAAAGTTCCTCCTTATCTCCTATAACCCTTGTATGAAATGTGTAGATACAGGACCAGACTGAAGCAGTGAAAGTCTGGTACAGTCGTCTGAAATTTATTCATACCCTCCCATTAAAGAAGGAAAAAAACATTCAACAGTTTCCCTGAGGTTTCCACCAAAGGGATCAATAAAGTTCTATTCTATTCTATCTGTCACAGAAATAAGTTGAAATTGACAAAACTAATAATAGAAATGTAATGAAAATCATGACATTGCTTTTGAATTGTGGTTCAACAGAAATATTAAAAACAAAAACAACAACAAGCAAACAAGCATGATGGGTCCTGTAAACTAATATTTTGTTGAACAACCTTTTGAGGCAATCACTGCAATCAAGGGTTTTCTGTAGCTCTGTATTTTGATGTTGGCCCACTGCTCATCAGTAAAGTGCTCTAATTTGTCCGGGACAGTTTTGTTTGTTTGTTTGTTTGCTTTTTAACTATTCTTTTCAAACACAATTCAAAAGCAATGTCGTATTTCACTAAATTATAATTTAGCAAATGTTTTATTTATTATTACTTTTTTTCAGTTTCTAGTTATTTCAGTGACTGTTGTGAATGTTGCCTTTTCTTTAATGGAAGGATATGAATACATTTGAGGACGACTGTACAAACACGCCCACCCTGGTCCAAAACAGCATCAGTACCATCCTGTTAAACAACTATACGCACAGTTCTGTTTTTCATTCTGGCAATTTTAAAATGTTTTAAATGATCTCCATAACATAAATGAAACTCTGTCATAACTCAAGATGTTTATTTTCAAGTCATTGATAAATTGTTGTGTTGGTGTGAAATTGTCCCAATACGATCAAAGAAATACAGCCCGTACAGTTTTCCATGGTTTGTTTAATGGAAAATAAATAAATCAAAAACCAATGATCTGTCTGTTCTGCACCTGAGCACAACATTCGATGCTTTTCTTTTCAGAAAGTCCCTCCAGCTTTAAAACACATTCAGTATATTCATGGGTGACTGAAAAACAAACATGAATGCCTTCTGCTTGTTGGTGCCCACGTCCACTGTGCTCTGTACGATCAATTGCTTCTAAACAAGCCAGGTCAGTGCTGACTGTGATCAGTTTTTCTGATTGTTGATCCCATAAGAAATTTTCATGACTCTCCCATTCTCTAAGAGCATCTTTTAAAATGATGAAAAATAAAAGAGCATTCGACATCAGACAATCATTTTGTGATTTGAACTGTAGATCTTTGCACTGAAGATGGCTCATCAAAATCCATGTCGGGGCTTTTTAATGCAAGCAGGAGAACCCAAACAAACTGCGGGTTACATGCAAATTGCAATAAAGAGAAAACCACTTAAACTGCAGGCAGGAGCAGTAAGGATATCCGAGTAATGGAAGTATTTAATGTACAACTAATCCTTTGTTCTCTAAGGCAAAGCATGATTACAGAGTCACAAGGGCGTTATGTAAAATCTAAAAACCTTATAAGAGGAGATATCCAACGCGCTGCTGTGACAAAAACGTAATAAAGCAAAGTCAGCGTTGTGCCTGCAGAGGTTTGGAGTTGTATTCCTAATTTCAAAGGGGGCTGAAAGTGTCAGATCGGTGTTGCTCCGTTCATGCTGGTAGGCCTGCGGCCCCGGCCTGCACCCTGCCGTCGAAGTGAGTGGAGGGCAACGGCACAGCAGCCTCTCAGCAGAGACCCAATATGATACACGGGCAGAACTTCTTGTGGCGCCCCTCGACACAGCCACGCCATGGTCGGGACCACCGGCACCGCCAAGGCCAGAAGATCTACAAGGAAGTACCGGCTCCAGTGGCACAGCTGAGGAGAATACCCGTCTTCATTTGCTCCCTCAGCCTCATCCTTATCGTCCTCGTCCACCTCCAGTGCTGTGGCCTCTTGCCTCACTGGGAGTGGTGCTATAGGGTGGGGCTGGCAGGTTTGGGGCTGAGTTGGCACCTTTGTCACCTCCTTGGGTTTGTCAGGTGGCAGTGGCTCTGCACTGTAAAGATGCTCAGCAGGGGACAGAGAAGGTAAAGTTGATGGAAATATCTGTGGTTCTGAGTGAGTAACGTCTGCTGCAGCTAAAGAAATAACGCTCAGCTCCTCAGCGGGGCTTTCCTCACACAGCCAGGTCATAGTGGGACTGCAGGCCTGGGAGCGCACTTCTGGTTTCTTCTCCGGTGCAGGGACAGGGACAGGGACAGGGACGGAGACGGGGACGGGGACTTGGATGGGGCTGGGTTCAGTAGCAGGAGTAGCAGCAGCAGTCACTGATGTTGCCGGGGCCTCCTCCTGAGGTAAGTGCAGGAACAAGTGATGATGAGGGAGGTAGGTGTGTCCACTGCACCTGCAGCTGCTACTGAGAGTGTGGCAGGAGTGTGAGACTGGCAGCACAGCTCCCCCAGTGCACAGCCTTTCATAGGTGGAAGAGCGTGGCACAGTTGGGGGGCCTCGGATGTGGCCCTGGGCTGGCAACTGTTCTGACAGGAGTGCTGCCTCCAGGAGCAGGTGGGTTTGTCCCGCTGGGCGAGACGCTCCAGTCGACTCGGGAGCGTTTGAGCTGCGCTCCAGCTGCAGAGCCTCGCTGCTCAGTCGGCTGTAGTTGGTGCCGCGGCTCAAAGTACTGGCTGGAGAACATCCACAGGAGCGAGACCTCCCCCCTGGCCGAGCTCCTTGCAACCCTGAGTATGGTTTGTTGTCGTGGGCGTCCTGTTCACGGACACCCATGTTGGACCTCACTGACTCGACCACCCCCTGGAGGTGCTGGATCTCCTTGCGGGCCTCTTTTAGGGCTAACTGGGCTTCCACACGGTGACATTCCTCTTCTATCCAGTCTTCTTGCATCCTATAGAGTTGAGTTCTCAACTCATCTATTTCACAGTCCCTGAAAATGCATAAAAGATAACTGGGAGACTGGCCTAACTGGCAGAGTCACTTATACAGAGACAAAGTGTTGTAGTTGAATGTCAAAAACAGATAAAATGTTGAACTTGATAGTGTGCAGCATCAGGGAAATGGAAATTCAGTCAATATAAGAAAGATACCCATCCACTGGAAGTTTTCTCCTTTCATTGTCTTTCAGTGTTGAATCATGCCTTCGCCCTAAGTCAGCTGCTATAGGCTCCTGTCTTATGCTTTTCAACAACCTTGTCACACAGTTGGTATGTTCTTTGATCTTCATGGTGTGCTTATATCTAGGAGTACTGATGTACCAGTGACTGGACCTTCCGGGTACAGGTGTCTTTATACTACAGTCACTAGAGACGCATTGATCGTACTGAGATGATCACAGTTTCATTCATTGTGCGACTTTTGACTTCTGAATTAGGTGATTTACTTCAGGGAGGGTAAATACTTGTGTCAATAAATTAACGTTACTACTTTGTTTTCACTTTGACGTGAACAAGCCTTTTTCTTTCTTTCTTTCTTTTTTTAAAATTCTTTTTTAAAAAGTCAAACTATATTGACCATGATTCAGTGTTAAAAAGCAATTAAAGGGTAAAACTTCTAAAGAGGGTGAATACATTTTAGGCAGTGTAGGAAAAAAATATTTAACCTCTTAAGACCCAAAGTCTTGTTTGATGTGCATTTTTTTATGTCCACACATATGGACGCCAGCTATTAAGAGGTTAAGGACTACAGCAAGAACTGACACATCAACAAGCAAGGCAACAGAGGAAGACTCACCTGTGTTGTAGTCTTTCCACGTTTTCCCTCAGCCGGGCTCGCAGATGTCGTATACACACCTCCTTCTGCTGCAGAGGTGTGAGGTACTGCTCCGGGGTCGGAGGCCTGATCCCATGGTTGTCACTGCAGGCTGTGTGCTTTGCCTGACGTCTGAATTAAGACACATGAATCACAAAATCTTTCACATTAAAAGAAAAACACTTTAACAGCCATGAAATAAAGCCTTGGTAAAGCTCATAAAAAAGTCAGCTATTCTTGACATTGTGTCAGCGGTTTGTTAATTCAACTCCACAGCTACTTTGAAGGTTGTTGGTGGTGTTAGCATTAAAATAACACTGCATTATACTGAAAAGTGGTCTAATAATATCTCAATTTGCATAAATAGAGTGAACAAGAGAAGCTGAAAGCTGCTGGAGTCTCAGCTGGTAAAAGTCCTGGAAGACCACACCAGTCCATCACAAGGATCACACACTAGACAGTCAGCTACGTTCATAGATGTTGGCAATTCAGAGTCTCCAGTGAATCCAATTAAACACAAAAAGAGCCAAAGTTGTTCTCTCTTACCTGGGTGTACTGGGATACGTCCGGGCTTGGGGGCTGCCCTCCGGTGCCCGAACCCGACCAGGGTAGGTGTGAGTACTGGATGAGTCACTGTGGCAATATCGCCCACTGCCACCGCTAGTTCCCACTGAGCGCCTTGCAGGGAGATGAAATGACACTCATTTACATCAAGATAGGAAGCAACAAAACTAGATGTGTGAGATAATTGCACCATATTTGAAGACATGAAAAGGTCAAAGAGCACAAAAGATTCACGAGTGCCAGAAAGTGCCCTCAAACGGAAGCACAGGGGTATTTGTGGGTGCTCTTTAAGGATGGATTTTTAAGGGAAAGCATCACAAAATCAGAACATACAGTATTATGAAGAAACTGACTTCATCAAAGGTTGGAATTACATAAAGAAACAGTACCTGCGCTGACCTGAGGAGGGCTTTCGACTCGGAGTGAGAGACATTGATGTGCAAAGGAACGTCCGACCTCCCCGCTGCTGTCTCTAGAGAGGGACACTAGGAGCCCTCACAGCTGCACTGCAATAACCGCCACAGATAGAAAAAAAAAAAACATCAGAGGAAAAACAAGAAAACGAGTGTATAACAATCTAAATCATAAATGACTGAAGCAAAATGAAGGCTGTTAGTAAAGAAAATGTCCAGAATGTCTCCTGTGTGTGGTCATTATGTGCTTCTTCACTGGATTCCAGTGACAAAAGTCTAACCCTAATAAGAAAAAATAGTCTAGGCCTGCAGCAAATAAAGCCTCCATTCTCTGTGGACACAAAGGGGACACAGTGAGTTCACAGTCAGTGCAGCTGCCTCTCTGAGCTCTGTCCTCCCCGTCTGCACAGCTATTTGTCATTACTGTCCATTAACAGAGCAGAGGTGGATTCATGTACGTGTCCTTTCAATAGTGGCTCTCTTAATATGATCCGATAAGACATAAATCATTTAGTTTGAAATACTTGAGTCATGAGTCCAAGTTACTGATATTACTATATTATCTGTTTTCCCAACATGAAGGTGCATGTTATCCCATTCTTTCCAAACTTAACTAAACTGTGTTATTTTTATTTTTATCTATTAAAATCTTTGCTGTATTATCCTCTGGAGTCCAGCTTCATTTGGTAATCTTTTGCTGACTTTAAGATAATCCTTTATTAATCCCACAGTGGGTAACTTTACAGTATTACAGCAGCAAAGGGGCTGAGCAAATATGTAGGAACATCAGTTGGAAAACAAATATAAACAAGCAATATACATAAGTACTGTAGATATATCGCACAGATTCCTTTATATGTAGAAATTCAAGGTATTATAGTAACATAATTCTGTCAATGCAGAAAAAATGATATTATACAAAGTCTTTTAAATTCGCAACATGTTCATATTGCACATGTTTGAACCATTTAAACTCTCTTCACAACACAGTACAATGTCCCTTTTTTTTGGGACAAACTCAGCCATCGGTCTGATTTCCATATTTGTCAGGTCAGTAAAAAAATAAAAATAAAAAAGCTGCCATGAACTGAAAGGACAAGACAAATGATAAACACACCTAAATATGACCACAGTGTCAAAATGTGATTAAAGAACAGCTTTAGCTTGTAGAAACATTTTTACTGCTATATACACACACGTTTCAATATGCATTTTGATGATTTAATGTCCTTGTATGCTTGTAAATCACAGAAATGATCAGTGGTGAGAAGTAACTAAGTACTCTAAGTACTTTCTTTGGGGACAGATTTGAGGTATGGCCACTTTAGGCTCCTTGATTTTTTCCATTTGTCTAACTTTCTACTTCCACTTCACAACATCTCAGAGGCAAATATTGTATATTTTATGCCACTAAATTAGTCGGACAACTTTAGTAAGTTACTTTTCATATTTTTCATACTCCTTTTGATTTTGAATGTTTGTGATAAACTGAGAGATAAAAATGTTCCTGTATGAGTGAAGAACATTCCCCTACTTCTTAAAATGCATAAAGTGTTATAAAATAAATAAATAAAATAAAAAAAAATAAACCCCTCTTTGACTGGCTGGAAAATGCATCATCACATATTTTTCTGAGCTTATAAAAATGGACTTTTTTGTGTGGTTCTGACAGGACAGCAAGACTACAAACACACGATGATGTTACTGTAACTACCCAGCAAAGCCGTTAAAATTAATTTCAATTTAATAATGACCATTTTATTGCACAATTACTACATTTGCTTTTCATACTTTAGGCACAGTTTGCTAGTAATACTCAAATACTTTCACTTAAGTGGGGTTTTGAATACACAATGTTTTGCGTGGTACTCGTACTTTTACTTAAGTGAAGCATCTGAATACTTCATCCACCACTGGACATGATCATTAATTCATAGCTTGAAAAATGTTTTATGGTCTAGAAACATAAATGAGATAGTGTGTGGAAGTCCAACTTCAGAACTTGCATCTGCTTTTCATTTCTTAACTTGATTCTGCATGACATATTTATAGTTTCTGTAAATAAAATATGCTCACTGTGTTCACTGATGAAATGAGCAGTTTGATACATATTGATAATGAAAAGAAAAATGCTGAAAACACTAGTATACTAGTATATTCTCCAGAGCTACACAGGTACCATCATATTCAGACAAATATGAATTCAGCATGTAATACTTTGTTAAATTTGATCTATTCTTTTTAACATCAGGGATTCAGTATTTGTTGTTCCAGCACACAGCATCGCTACAACAGAGCGGACATTATGAAATAACCAAGTAGGACGATATTGGAAATGATAATGGACAGATCTAAGTGGGGTCAGAGACCAGAAACCACAAGTCAGTAAAGTTCTGCACATCGGAAACACATCGAGTTTATGAGGTTGTTGATGCTGCTTGTGGAATGTTGTTGCACTTGGTCTTGGTGAAGTAGGTGGACATTTTAGGAGACGTCCATCCAGAGCATCATGTGGCAGATTGTCTGCTGTACCAGCTTGTCTGAAATGGTTTCTCAGACAACAAATTGTGGAGTTGTGGACATTCAGGTGCCCAACTACAGCACTGACTGACATGTCAGCATCCACCATCAACAGCCCATTTTTGTCGTCTGTGTCATTTGAATAAAGCTGCATTTTAGGGCGGTCTTTTATAGCCACTGGTTAAATGAGTGTCTGGGTACTGGTCACTATCTGATTATTGTCCTTTCAAGTCACAACAAACTACACTGTAAATAAATCTGGCTGTAAGGGTGCCAGAAAAATGATGTTTAAAAAAAACAGTAACATGGGAATGCTGTAAAATTCAACAACTGGAAAAACTGTAAAAATAACAGAAAATATCTGTCATGATGATAATTTTAGCTGATTTAAATACATTTAAACTGTGAAATTTTAAGGTCACGCATTGAAAAAGAATGAATCACTATTTGTTAATGCAGATTTCTGATGTGGACATTGGTTAAAATTTTGGCCTATTTTTCCCGTCAACATGTAAACTAATACGTTTTAAAAATGTAGTTTTCCTGTAATTAATATTAATGCAAAAATCTATAATACAATATTTTTGCGGATTTAAATACAGTAAACAAAGAAAAATCTGTGATTTTATGTTCAAATGTTGTAAAAGAACAAATTAACATTTGTAAAAAGACACATTTTTGACGTTGACCTTATTTACAGTTTTGGCCTGTTTCAACAGTTAACATGAACATTAATACTTTTTTCTGTGAATGTAATTTATAGCTATACTTTTCCGTAATTTCACAAAACAGGGAAAATCTGTAAAATAACAGCTAGTTAGTTGTTGTTGGTTTTTTTCTTTTTTTTCCTACAATGTACTGGTTTAACTCATTGTGTCACCAGCTGAACAGCTCAACCATGACATCACATATCAGATTTTCTAGCTCTTTCTTTGAGTCACAAACGAAGACACTTTGCATGATGCAACAATGCTCAAGTGTGACATCCAACTGTGTGTTTTCATCTTCAACTAGATTATTAAAAGCCCCACATGCACAGAAAGCCACATGACCCCAGTGACCTCAATGATACCTGAAAGTGAAAGTAATCGTGATTTTGAAACGGCTTTCTCTGAATATGAGGCAGTTCTGTTTAGCTCAGGGTTGTCTCGGGACAAAATGTCCTCGTCTATCTTCAGAAGTCCCTGCAGCTCTGTGCAGGAGACCAAACCTGCTGATCCAGGCTGAAAGCTCTTCAATAAATCTTAGCAGACGCAGCAGTAACCTGTAACTGCGCTGATAATGAGGAGCGCGCTGAACGTCTCATCCCGTCCTAAATTTAAATTCTAGGACGACGAGGCAGGAAATCTCACCTCCCTCTCCTCTGTCTGCGCAACAAGTGGCAACGCCGGTGAGAAATACGCAATCATCTTACGTAAGTGTGAGTATCAGTGTTGACTGTGGAGGCGAGCAGCCGACAGTAGGTGGATGAAACTGGGCTGAACTCATAGCTGCAGATGTCCGTGGATGATGCCAGAATGTTTCAGGATAAATATCAGATGGTGCGGGGATCATGATGATGATGATGATGGTGATGATGCGCTCCGTCCTTCAATTGTCTTTATAAACCACATGATTTCCCACATCTGTCGCCTGCCTACAATAAAGCGATGTTAGATAAGCAGAAGAAAAAGTCCCATCACCTCCATCTGACTACACTCTGAACAGGATCCCCAGCAGCCCGGCAGGTACTTTGCCTACAAGAAACCGCTTCTGCTGCAAACAGCTGAGTAACAAATGTGGTCCCAGCTGTGTCCTACATACAACAACCAGGTCCTTGCATCTCAAAACAAACGCTCCTGGCAGCTGCTAACACACACATTACAAAAAAAGACCACATACAACCTGCGTACGGAGCAGTACCATGTCGGCAGGTGGAAGCTGTGCATCGCGGGAAAAGCCTCGGTCCCTGCCTGCCTGGCTGGCTGGTCCCCGGTGGCAGCAGGACGAACAGACGCTGCTGGTGCTGATGAGAGTCCATCCTGCAGCCATGAAGCCCGGAGATGAAATGAGGCAACTGCGACTGCTGCATCGGTGCTTCTTAAAGTGACAGTAGGGAATCAGGACGCCTCGTTTGGTCGGATTCACCTGCACATTTGTGCTTACTGACGGGTTTTTAATGGGACAGACAGCACTGACAGGTGAAGCGTGGTTCAGAAATCCACCTGTTCTGACACACACACACAGGCAGGATGATGAAGCTGCAGCCGGGCTGGTACACCGTGTACAGCGCTTCAGATGATGGATGAATGTGCAGAGAATCACTCCACTGACTACAGCAAAGTTTGTTCTTGAAGAATATGAATACAATAAATTCCATGCATGTATTTATTTGAACACAACCTATGATGACATAACCCAGAACGATTGATTTACAGTTGCACACAAAAGGCTCAAACTCTAAATCCTCAACACTATTTACACACTGAACTCAAATTTCGAAACGGAAAAGGCATTGTCGATGTCTTATAAAGTCCTGTGTTAAAAGAGAAGCACTTCACTGTCCCTCAAATGTTTGCTGCTTGGTCTGCATGGAATGGACGCCATTGAAAATTCAGTCAAGATGTAAATTAAATAAATAAATAGAGCTTTATGAGTGTTTTCACACTGTATAATTTAACATCAGACACCCCAGTTGGTGCCAGCGTTACAGCTCAGCGCTGTACAGAAGTGTTATTGATGACTCAGTTTTCTCAAGCTAAAGGGGAAAAAATATTTAAAATATTGAAAACATTGCCCACTGTATGAATTGCCAGTAACACAAGACAAACCGTTCAAAAAACATTCAAATGTATACAAATAGAGTACACATGAAGTCATATTTGCATTTGGCATAACTGCCAAAACAGAGTGATGTTAAATAGATGTTTCCTTTTTTAAGAATAAAGAACAGATGACCATTAGTTAAGTTCAAAGTCAGTTCTGCCTGTACCTAAAGCAAGGAATTCCCAACATTTGCTTATAATAAATTGCCAACTTTAACTGAACATGCAGGAACGTGCAGTTCTAAAAGACCTTAAGTATGGTTGTATAATCACATGGTACAGACAAAAATTAAATAAAATAAAATAGATACATTCAAAGGATTGTGTAGAGTTCCGTATTCAGAATTGTGAAATATTTACAATACAAAAATAGTCTGATGACAAATTTTAGAATAAACATTCCTTCATTAAAACTGTCAATGAATTCTCACAAAAGAAAAGTGTCATGAACAGGCTTAAAGTCAGCTTAGGAAGCAAAAAACAAACAAACAAAAAGTACAAGGTGAGACAAACAGGTTTTTCTTTTCTAACAGTTGCTACTATTCAGCCCAGAAAGCTACGTGGGTTAAAGTAATTATGCTCAGTAGAACCAGGAAATGCAACTCAAGCTGAGATGATACAAAACAGACTTGTGCTTTACTGAATGTAGAACTTGGGTCCAGGTGTGGCGAAGATGTCCTCATAGGGAGCGCTCTGGTACAGGTGGAGGGCCTGCTGTTTTGTTAGGAAGAGGAAGCAGAGGAAAGTGGCTGCAGCCTGCGAGCGAGAGCTTCCTTCACAGAGTTCCTGCAGACTGAACGTGGAGTCACTGCTGCTTTGGCTCTGCTGCACACAAACACCAGAATTTAATTTCCCAACATCATCCCTAATCCTGCCCTGTCCTCATCTTTAATTCCCTGTCTACTGTGGCTATAGATTATTATCTGACGGTTTGTGTTAAATGGAACAAGGGCGCTGAACAATATGGAGACGACAGTGCTGAAAATGCAGATACGTGAATGTAAGATGGGGTAGTCGGTGCTACTGTGGTTCTGATATTTGAACATTTATTTTTAGAGCCTTACTTTCAGAGCGTTCAGAAGCTTCTGTGCTTGCCTGGTTATCCTCCTCTCTTCAAAGTCCTGGCTGCCCAGCATAGACTGCAGGTTAGAGAAGCAGCACATTTCAGTCAGTAATGCTGGGCACATCGCCAGTGCAGCATGGGATATGAACACCTGCCATCTGTCAAGCGATGATAGATTGGAGCCTACCTACTGTGCCACTGTTATTTTCACAGATAATCATCCATTATTAGTTCACTTTCACTCCAAAGATAAGGTCAGTGAAAAGTGGAGGCTGACAGAGAACACTTTCCTGCCCTGTTTTCTATTTGTAATTGTGTGTGTGTTCACCAGCACCTGAGTGTGGAGGGAAGTTGACTGAGTGTCTCGCTCCAAGCAAGACGGATGGACAAACATGGAGTCTTCTGATGGAAGTTCTGGATGAGTGAACTCTGACCTGCTTGTATCCTGACAGACACACACAATTAAGTAAGAATTAAAAACAGGTTCAAACGTTTTACTAATGAGAGCTTCATATATAAAAAAATAAAAGTGCTTACTTGTGCGAGCTGTGAGTAATTCTCGATGTTGTTGTCATTCATGGGATCAAAGACTGTCAGCTCAGTGTTGTGTGTTATTTCACGATCAGCAGATGAATCTATGACACTGATGTTCTCTGTGGTGAGAGCGCTCAGATCCCTCTGACCTAAGATATAACAGGGTGAAAAGCAGATTAAAGCACTATACATACACACATAAAGGCATCTTTGGGTTCTCTGTTTAAATTTGTAAGGTCTGTACCTTACTAGGTTAAGTGCTGTGAGATGGCATATGTTGTAAACTGCGCTATATAAATAAAATTGAATTGAATTATACAAGCAATACATTACAAATAGTGAGAATATACTTCATGGAAATTCTAATTCACTCAATCCATGAATAAGTTCTTACCTTCTTGTCCTTCCTGGCGCATCTCCTCAACCCCCTCACTCGCACTGTAAGAGTTCACCTGGAAGACACTTCTGGAAAAGAGCTGTAAAAGCAAAATGTGACTTAACAATCGTGAGTAATTTGGATGTAATACTCAACACTGATAGGTTGTAGTTCTCAGTCGACAAAAACATACGGCGGAATAAAAGTGCGGGTTTGTACCTCCTTCATCTGTGGAGCTATTATGGTGGAACATAGCTGTGCAAAGAGTTTGTCAGCACCTCCGCTCTCCTTCCACTGCATGAGCTGAACAGTCGGTGGGGCCATGTCCAAGGTTACAAGCAGATCTGAATAGTCAGAAAGCTGTTCTCTCATAAGTTTGTTGCTCAGCTCTTTGGTGTGGTCAACCACCAACTTGCGTTTCCTTTTCCCCCTCTTGTTCTCCGAGTGTGCTGAAGAGAAACAGCAGTTCATATGAGAGCTAGTTTTTCTGTATCAAGTGTCAAGACTCTTCTGTTTTTGCTCCACTTCTGATTTAGAAACACAGAGGACAGACACTTGGGAGATGAAGGACATAGTTATGCTTACGAGTGACGGCCACAGGTCCAAGGGCAAAAGCCTCCTGCTCATTAGAAAGCAGGGTGGTTTCATTCAGTGAAGAGGTCTCAACCTGCACGGCATCTCTTCTGTCAGCATCTGGAAAATGTATGGAGTCTAATTTGAGTTTAATAATATCTCTGAATGCAAATGTACTCTTTCGATGAACAGCAAATGAAAACATTATCCACTGGCATTGCTGAACCATCAAAACAAAACATCACCATTAAGCAGCTGTTCAAATGAAGGTGAAAACAGGATGTATGTGACTGTAAAATATTGTCAGGATGAATTATCACCTTGTTGATCATTTTGTGTAGAGTTCTCTAGATTTTCATTCTGTGCCTCATCAATGCTGAAGTCTGTTGGCTGACAACGATCACTGGAGTTTGTCAAGAAGTCTGCAGGGTCGATAAAAATAAAGAAGCATGAGTCACTTTTGGTTTTGACAAGAAAAGCAGAAAATCCCACTTAGACAATAAGGGGAAAGACAGATGACAGCTTGAGTATTTGAATGTAACATAACGGAATGATGAATAAGCCTGTGAATGAGTGGATGAATATGTGAGTAAATCCTGTTCTTATGAGAGCCACGCAGGCCAAGCTGTGTCTCAGCCGCTGTTTATTCTTTGTTTTCCAATTCAGAGGCTCGATCTGTGAAAGGATACAGTTCATGAGCACGGGTCATTTCGAGGACTTGCGCACTCAGATAGATTTCTGCTTCTTTCCCATACGAGACAGCTTTCCCTCACAGGGACCAAACCTAATGGTGCGTTTGAGCAATCTCAGTCAACTTATGAAGTCAAATATTTCACAGTTTATGACCAGGACACAGCACTTAGAGTACAGACAGAGTAAAAACACCACTGGGAAACTGGGGCAGGTCCAGGATAGCTTCATCTGAGTTTATAGTATGAGCTGTGACATTTCACTGAAAAGCCTAATAGAGGATTGGAAAATAGCACCAGACTAATGGTAACTAAAGCATCCATTTAACTTTCACTTTAGTGTGTTGCCTTGAGACTCACAATCAATTTAGATTTGTGTCAACAACATAATACTGCACCTGGTTTCTATTATATCTATCATATAGTGACTGCTTCATCTGGATGGATAAAATGACAAATCATCAATTACTAATGAAGAGCTGAATGCAAATATCAGGTAACCTTGAGGGGCTTTTGTCATATTTCTTCAAGTTAAAAATGTATAGATATTACCTTAACACTTATGCCAACTAATTTTAATTAGTGTAGAAATCCTAATTTTGGAGTATCCAGCTTGTGAATTGGAACACAGAAATCAGGTGTGTGAATTTCAATTTTTAAGTTTTTTTAAAGTAAGTGCAAGTATGCAAACCTTACAGTGGCAGATTTTAGCCAGCACCCTACAAACTAATTTCTTTTGTTTAGTTCAAACTCAGAGCAATCAGGTTCTATATATCTTCACAAACTCTCACATTAAAGCAAGTCAGTAATTCATTTTTTTTTAAAGCTGGTCTTCAAGACAAAAATGTTGCAGAAACTGATCCCGATCAATTCACAACGACTACCAAGCAGATCGCATCCTTTATCCTCATCCCCAAATGTGTCTGCCTGTTGAGCCAAGCTCGGGAAGGTCATGTCCAGCAGTGCATTTGGGTTGCTTTGGGACTCATTTCCTACCCATCAGCAGAAAGAAAAGAGGGGGGAAAAAATCATATTGTTAGTATGATATATGTCAGCTCTTTGTTGAAAGCCCTGCTTTAAAACATGGAGCTGATGATAACCTATAAAAGATCCAAACAGACAGAGCTCTATGGTGCAGAGGAATACATTACATCAGGCTTTGGGTACACACAAAATGCTCAAATAGAATTAAGTCGTTGCAGTACAAATGTTTAAACCAGAGATCAATTAATGCTGACGAACAATAATATGTAAAAGGCCCTACACTAACAAAGTAAGTGGCAAAAACTAGCATGAACTCGGAAAGTGCTATAATGTGAAAACAAACTGGTTCTTACCAATATCTACCAGGCTGAGAAAGTCATTTCCAAAGTCTTCTTTCAGAGTGATTTCCTCTGATCGACTCTGGTTCAGCGAAAAGTGGTCCACAACATCTATGTCACTGTTGTCCCAGCATTAAGACAACATAATGTGGACACAAACATAATACATATTCAGTGTAAATAAAAGATGATTATATTGGAACAAAACAGTTAGCCCTGCTTCAAGAATTCAAAACACACAATTATATCCTATTACATCAGTATGTTTACAATATTTGTAATCACAACAGAAAATCAGTCCCGCGTTCACAATTATGAGCATTTGAGTTGTGCAGAATGGTTGATTTTCATCCACCCATCTACTTTTAAATTGCCATGTATGGGCGATATGCCTCAACGGAAACCACAGTATAAATGACAGGTTGGGATTTGTTGAAGCGGAGAACAAAACAGTACCTAGGGTGCCGCAGCTGGGAATCAAAAGCAGTGAAATCTTCAATCAAGGTAATGGCTTTTACTTTGGCCTCGAGCCCATCCACCGGCAAATCTGTCTGACCTGGTGCAAATAATACGTGCATGTAGTGGATTTAGAAGAAGAAAAGATAGGAAGAGCAGTCAACGATTTCAATAAAAAGCTATTTCTTTGGCACATGTTAGAACATTTTTTAATAATCGCAGGTACAGTGATGTTACTTTTGCAGGTACAAAAAAGTCATGATAGGTTGACATCTCAGTAAATGAAGTCTCTGGATCTAATGCATAACCTCAGACATGCTAACTTCTTAACCTGCTTGTTGAGTGTGTGTTAAAGATTTTTTAACTGCAGTAATAAATCCCTGCACTCTCTCTGTCCTGTGGGACTGTTTAGCCTATTGTGATCATGCACTCCACAGAAACCACAAATGCACATAGCATTGCTGCACTGAGCGCCTTGCTTCCCAAAATAACTTGGGTAAATATTTATACCTATATCACCTCCTGATGGCTATCAGTATTAGGTAAAGTGCTTACCAATATTTACAAAACGTTTTCAGTTTTTTAGGTAAAAGTAGCTCAAATGAATCCAGTCTAATACATTAGTTGCATAATAAATACTTCCTCCATGAAGATTCTCATGTTAATTCTTTGTTAAAACTTTTTAGTGAGCTGCTGATTCAACTGTGCTGATTGTTTGTGCTGTACCACGAGCTGCAGTATGCAAAACAAACATACAGTTGAATCCGCTCTTATCAATAGCACTGAACATTATAACATTCATAACGATGGGACTTACTGCAGGACTGTTAAACTGTATTTGTTTTAGCTTAAAGTGTCTGATAAACCAGCAACTAAGTGCACAATATTTTGAATGCATAACAGTGACTCAATTCCTGCACTATTATTCTCTCTTTGTTATCAGATAGTGAAAAAAGCATTTTTTCTGCTGTGTTAAACTGCAATCGTTTATTCAAGAATAGATGTCATAAAATAAATAAAACAGTTCCTCCAAATTAAACTTCCTATTAGGCACTTCATATTTTACAATGTCATCCATTTTTCTTCAATTAATGGATGCAGCTGACATAATTATGCAGTCTCTACCTTAGCAGAGCCATAATGAAAATTCCAGTCAATCCAAAGTAACTACAGCCCTGTCAGAATCTGTGGTTACTTTATGTGTCACTGCTATGTAAATAATTGTTGATAAAATAAACTGGGTGTGTTACCTGGCCTGAATGCCATTTTAATTTTAATCAGGGCATCACTGCAGTCTGCAAGGAGATACTTGGCTTTTTTGGAGTAGATTCTGACCACACCAAGGAGCAGATGCCCAGATGTCCTTAAACCAATTTTCATCTGCAAAGATCACAAGCTCACATCTCAAGCACAATTTAGCTATATGCCGGTGAAGATTCTCAGTCATCAAGGTCATGGTAATCCTGGGAGCCTCAATATAAAGCAAACTGACGCTTTTTTTTTTTGTTTTTTTAGGTTATTAAAGACGTTTCACGTCTCATCCAACATTCAGTTCTTCAGGACTAAAGCTCCTTGAACACCATATACATATACATTTTCATACAACATAATGCTTTAGTGATGCGTTTTGAAAAACTGTACCTTAGGGGAAATTATGTCTCGGATGGTTGTTTCCAAGTTGCATTCATACACATGTACCTTGGTAAGCTTCCTTTCCCAGTGAGCTGCTAGCCAAATTTTAGCTAGCGGTGCCCTTTTGGACGTGAAGAGTTGCGTGTAGAACATCATGTCGGACAGTTAGCTGTCACCTGTGAGCAACACGTGAAAGTTTGTTGAAACATTTTTCAGGTGTCTGCTAAATACAGTGAAGCTAATTTGACTGCCTTTAGAGAGCAGACAGATGTTGAGTTATTGTTTGTTATCGCTAATTGAGTTTCTAGGGTCGTCGTCGGCTAACGTTAGCTAGCTAGCTGTGTTAGCTAAAAGGTAAACACGTACCTACAGTAAGTCAGCGGAACAGCTTTTCAGACGTAAAAATAATGGCTTGGTAAATTTTATTACGAGTCACAATTTATGTAAAAACAAAAGAGCTTATTTGAATTAATTCTACACAGTGTCCTGCAAGTGCGACACCAGCAGCACAGCTTACCTGAACTTTGAACGAGTCGCGGTTTGACATGAGGAAAGCGCGAGGAGTAACCTAGCAACGGTCTCCGCCAAAAGAGTAACCAAGGCGATTAACTGACAGACCTTGTTTCAATTATTTTTGTACGATTTATTGCTGATAAACACCAAGGAAAGCGGTAAAAGTTGACCGTTTTATAAAGTTATAATGATAAATAACTTCCTTAACCAAATTCAAAGTGGCTATACAAGTTTGCCTTGGTCTTTGCCTTTAATTAAGGGAATAATAAATAGTTTGGGTAGCTGTACCGTTTGTTTTTATTTCAGTGGGAAGGCGCCGAGGCAGCGAGAGTACCGCCAGCCGCAGTTTGTGCTTCTTCTGTACTAGTAAACAGTGGGTTCATCCTTTAAAACGCCTGCAGATCGGAACAAGATGGCCGCCTTCACGCTGACCTGGATAGAAAACAACTATCAGCAACTTGAGGGGTTAATTTAAAAAAAAAAAAAAAGAAGAAGACTCAGTGGACATATCGTTTTGCATCCATGTGGTCAGAAGTGACTTTAAGGAATCTGGAAAATATTATCCACACACAGGGTAGGTCTTTTGGGCTTTTTAAACTCAAGACAAGGTTAGCTTTGCGACAGGAGTGTGCAGTAGTGCATGGAGGACAAAAACTTCTTTTGTGTTTTTTGGCGGATTGCAATACCATTTTAAGTGCATCCCACTACCAAGTGTAGCAACGTATGTAGAACATCATCTATTTATTTTTTTTTTAAATTGGGGCTAATATACTGCGTGAGGCAAAATGGGGCAAGTACAACAGCAGGAATTTGTCAGTTGGATGTTGGGCTGCGTAACTGCGCCATCAGCAGGTGCTCAGTGGATGCGACGCGATTTATGGAGGCAGTTCAGGTATTTATTGTATTTTTTTTTTTAAGTTATCATACGCCTCGAGCCTTGTTAAAATTAAGAATAAAAATCTGAACACGCAGAGTCTTTAACTTCAGTGTGATCTCAACGCCCCGATGTCTACCGCAAATACACGTTCACACAACGCTCCCTGTGAGCCCTGGACCTGGCCGGGATTAGCGAACATTTTACGTTTTTTTCAGCATCCAAGCAGTTATAAAGTATATATCAGTACATTCATGGCTTTATAGCAAACACGAGACTGTAATACCGAATTCGGCGCACTTAGTTTCCCAAATTGTCAACCAATAAGCCTAGAAACCCTCACTGAATCGATGGCAACATTAGAATAAACTACTTGGTCCATGTAGAAGTGTTGGTTAACATCCAACAGACTGAAGTAAAAAAAATGATAGAGAAAAAACAAAACAAACCTTAAAACCCTGAATTAGCTGAAAAAGTCAGTCCAATCCAGCAGCACCTCTCCTGCTCACTTGACCTCCACCACATTTCAGAGGCAAATATTGCACTTTTGACTCTACTGCATTTATTTGATGCGTTCAGGATCTTATACACGACGAATTCAGACATGGACTTCTTAACCTCCTTGGTGAGTTTGTGTTAAAGGTTTTTTACTGCACTCATGTCTCCCTGCACCCTGTGTTTGTCCTGTGGGGCTATTGAGTTTAGTGTGATCATGGATACAAGAGAAACCATAAAAGCAAACCTCATTCTTGCACTGAGTGCCTTCCTTCCCAAACTAAGTTGGTTAAATAATTAGATATGAATTACCATAATGATTGTCATCAGTGTTTACCAATACTTACATTCACTCTCCAGTTTATTAGGTAAAAAGAGGGTTTGGCCTCGTATATCAAAGGATGGATGTCAGAAAAGTAACAAAAACCGCTGCGCCGAATAGAATTTACCAACAAGTATTTCATATTACAATTATTGTCTGTTTCCCTTCAATTATTGAATGTGATTGTCATTCAGTCTCTATCTTTGCACAGCCATAATTAATATTTCAGTCAATCCAGTGTAACGACAGTCCTGTCAGACTCTGTCATGTCTTTATGTGTCATCACTATATAAGTACCTGTTGACAAAATAAGCAGGGTAGGTTTCCTGGCCTGAATACATTATTAATTTTAACCAAGGCATCACTGGCTTCTAAACACACCAAGGAGGTTTGTCAGTCAAATATGGCAGCACCTTTTTGATCCAGTTTGAGGCTGACAATAGTATTAAATACTCAATTTTTGGGTACTTGTTCTTGAGTATTTCTATTTTCTGCTACTTTACACTTTCCTCCACTAGACTAACTCTACTTCATTTATTTTCAAAAGATTCATATTAATAATGAAAACTCTAACAAATAAACTAAGTTGTGTTGTTTTTGGAAAGACCTGCAGTGACATATTGTTATAAGAATATGAATAGATCGTGTTGATCCTTAGGGGGACATTTACAAACTACACAGCATAAAGAAAAAGAAAAATATTCGGAGATCAGAATTGATATCCCGATTCCAGCACAGCGAATGAATAGTCGGCTATTTGGGTCCAGCCGTAATCTTTATCCATCAGTAATTATAATCAAGGAATAAACATTATCATGTCATGAATGAATGGCTGTTCTGCATAATGAGTAGCTTAATGTTTGTCAGGCTGCTTTAAGTATAATTTGATGCTAATACTTTTCTAATGTACCGTAAGTAAAAATGTGAAGCAGGACTTTTATCTGAGTATTTCTTCACTGCGCTATCATTAGTCTACAGTACAAGAGCTGAGTTCCTTTCCCACTACTGACCCTGCTTTCAGATCTGATAACGTCATCACAACAGTTGAAGCAAGTGTTAGCAGCATCTTGCTGGATTCATCACTGCTGTTCAAAATACTGCTGGGAAAACGGTGGAGGCCAGTGTGATTTAAAGCTAAACCGTATTCATAGTTATGCAACAGTTTAAAAGAGGGAAGATGTATTTATTTATCCTCTAATCCATTTTTTTATTAATCAAGGTATGTGTTAGAAACCTCAAAAGAAATGATGTTTAACGTAGTTCACCAGCAAAGCTTCTTCAGTGGTTTGATGCATCAGTGGGTTAATTTCTACCAGCTTTACTTCAGCTGGGCAGTTTGCCTCAAATTCGAACATTTTTTTTTCCTCCCAGAGAGTTTTTACTAATTTATAAGCTGTGGGGATAAAAGTAGCAACTGTAGAGTGAATAGTATGGTTCTCTATGCCCCAAGTAAACCCCTTCTTTAATTTTCGGACAGCTGCAGTCTTGCAAAAACGGAAGATTTTTATTTTTTTTGTTGCAAAATATACTGTAATTTTGTGATTGCTACTAGAAAGTATGACACATTTACTTTCACCCGACCAAAAGCAATCAATAATAAATGCATCTTAAATGGTGAGCTCTCGTGTTGGTAGTTTTTTTCCCTCCAGACATGATTTAATTTTAATGACATTTTTGTCATAATGAGCAGTGGAGTTTAGAGGAAAAAGGTTGAGAGAGCAACAGAAGACAGTCATGCTGGGAGGAGGGGAAATCCTGTTAAAGGCAGGACAAGTGACATATGAAGTGGCAAGTATGGTGCTACATATTTATCGTTTGATGATCAAACAGCAACAGGTGGTACAAATTTTGTGGGATTTTGTTTTATCTTTCATACCTTTTATGTTTTGCCAGAGACATCACAGAATTTTGCTATATTTTGTTTTGCCACAGAAAGCGATGTAAAATATGTGTTTATTAGTGTGTAATGTTTACAGCTCTGTTGGTATACATTGTATGCTGTTTCCCACACAGAGCAGTTTATTTAAATAGACTCAAGTCAATCCATTATCTATACACCGCTTAATCCTCACTAGGGTCGTGGGGGGGCTGGAGTCTATCCCAGCTGACTTAGGGTGAAGGCAGGGGACACCCTGGACAGGTCGCCAGTCTATCACAAGGCTACACTTAGAGACAGACAACCAAACACACTCACATTCACACCTACGGATAATTTAGAATCACCAATTAACCTCAACATGTTTTTGGACTTGTGGGAGGAAGCCGGTGAACCTGGAGAGAACCCACACTGCACGGAGAGAACATGCAAACTGCACAGAAAGATCCTGGTGCCCGAACCGGGATGTGAACCGGTGACCTTCTTGCTGCCGATGCTAACCTCCGAGCCACCTTGCAGCCCCTAGGCTCAAGTCGATTCAGATAAACACTAGTGGATTGTTTTGTGAACATTTTATCACTTTGTTTAGTACATTTATCACAGCATCAGACAACAACGTGTCACACTGTGCTCATATTCTGTTTTTAGTTTGATTGCCCTGACCAATACTTACTTATTTTCCTGCATCAGAAGTGTGACCCTTCCAGTGGCTGAGTGCAGGTAAACATTGTTGATTGCTAATGTCCTGTGAGCATTAATAAGCAAACTTAGATGAAAACATACTATGTCGGTGGACTACTGGTGTGTACGGACCCTGCACTCCCACACAGGGAATTTATTTGTTTGCCGTTATTAAACTCCAGTTCAGGACAGTGTGGAACGAGACAGACTATATTTGACTGACATTTCCTCTTTTAGCTTTATTAAACCTTTTAGGATGGATGAAGTTATACTTTTGTCAGCCTTATTTTTGCACTGAGTCTCTAATTTTGACATAAAATAAGATTTAATTGGCCAGACAAACTGAAAATACCTGTGCGGGGATTTTGTTTTTTTTTCTCTCTCTCTCTTTCACAAAACTGTTAAAATGGATTTTTGGGCCAGCATTAAAGATTTTATATCTCTTTTTTTTTGAGTCAGTCTAAATAGCCTGAGGAATAATTGAAGGATGATGTACCACTTGCGTTTCTGTTTGTGAGCACTAGAGGGCATCAAGTCACCAGGAAGAAACAACCTGTGCCATGGAGTGAATCAGTTTCACTTCTTGTCCCAGTTATGAATGTTGTATAGTAAGATGTTATAGGTGGTGGATCGTGAGCATTCAGTCTTAAAATGCAACCACACGTATTAAGTTGCAGTGTTTCAATCTTGCTGACTAGAGACTGAGTAGAAAGGCTGCACCTAACGAACGTTTTTGTTACCGATTCGTCTTCTAAACATTTTTTTATTCTTTTCTTTTACTTGTATGTCATACCACATCCTGTAAGACTTAGATTTTCTGTTGGCTTTTAACGTGGCTTGTGGCAAGTATGTTGTTAAGCTTTGGACTTTAATTTACAGTTATTGTAAATAACATACACTACAATAAATGCATGCTGCATGTATTTGTATTATATGCATGATGTTTATCATATCTATACAAAGCAAGAATGTTGTCTGGTGTTGTCTAATTTTTTGACATTTGATATTCCTCAAAATTTCAGAAAATGGTGAACTAAGACATATATCTTCGAATAGGTTTTTATGTCTGAACAAATGCCTAAAACTAAAATATTTTCTGTGGATGGTTATATAAAGCAGTAAAAAAGCCTTTGGACTTGAGAAGTTGAAGCTAGAAATTATTATTATTTATTTATTTTTCAGCAAGAAAGGAATAGATAAACTAAAATTGACAGATTTAACAGAATAGTTGCTCAGTATTTTGTGTTACTAGGCTGATTAGTTGGATAATTGTTTCAGGCCGACATTATCATAACTTTGAGTTCTTGCAACATACAAAATTACTGATGTAGTATAGTTTTGTAAGTCCAGCTCAGATTTGTCCAGTGTTTGGTAAACAGTTTGACTCAGTGCAGTGTAACAACGATCTATGCTTTGATTTATACAGGAGGGTGACAGCCTGACGTCAAGAGCTGCGTCAAGATGAACCTGCCAGACTGTGACCTTGGACTTCTTAGAACAGAGGTGATGGAACAAAACCTTAGCCCAGCTAAGATCCTTTAATCTCTCTTCTGTCTTATGCTGTCTCTGTCTTTCTCACATACACACATACTTATGGAGAAAAATGATCACCGTTTGAGGCAGTTGTCTTAGCCTGAGAATTAAACGGCAACATAAATTAGTGTTTTGCGTTAACTGGGTGCCTGGGGTAGCATGGCTGCACTAGAACAGTTGGCAAGTCACGGTCTGGATTTCAAGAGAAAGAGAGAGTTTAAGAGGAACTGAGAAGAGAGTTGGAGTACGGAGTATGGGATTGTAAAGAGGAAAATCACAGGAGGATTAGAGTGTGTAAACTCTGCAGTAATTATTTCTGGAGTGACTCTTGAATTGAATCTTTTTTATGTTTGGTTGCTGCGCAGGGTAAACTCCATCTGTGATGACAAAACAGTGTCGTCGGTAAGACTTATAATCATGTTTACCGAAAAGTTCCATCTGTCCCTACAAAAACAGATTAAACTGTTTAAAATCAAGAATCACATCAACATTCGCAGTAGTCAAAAAGGTAAATCATTGTTTTCGGATTCGGTTTATGGGTTGTAGCTGCTATGTGCACCCATGCGGGACTATTTTGCTGCCAGTTCCTCTAAATGTTATGTGGCATATCAGTTTTTTTTCTTTTTTTAATTCCTCCTCTGGCTATATCTCACTGCTTTCCTGTATTGGTTGCCAGTGAAAAGCTTATCCTCCAGACGTTTTTTTTTTTTTTAACTGGGGGAAAAATAAATTACTTTGCATCAAAGTTGATCCTTCATGCATATTTGCTTGTGCTCCCTGCTGGCATGGGAGTTTGCATTTTTTATTTCATCTCAGTTCTGCTCTGATAAGTGGATCACTTCAGCAGATATGCCATATAGATCTTTAGATAGTGTTTTGCATTTCTAAGATTCAGCATCCGATGGGCTCTCCGATGTGTTTATTTTAATAGACACACATGTTATCTTCATGAGGCTGGCCTCCCCCCAGCTGTAGCTTGGCTGTCATTATGATTTTTGGTCAGTGTGCTCGAAGATACTCGCCTGAAAAAGCTTGCTGTGTGGCAAAGAAAGATATAATAAAGCTGCACTGAAATGGAAGTAGTACCGTATGGTAAACTGGAAGCTTTTTAACTCCCCAAATGAGTGTCGTACTAATGTTAACATTTTTCAAACTACAATGTCAAATATATATTTAAACATCTCATTAACTGTTTAGGTGGTTTTTCTTTTAGTAGATAGCCAGGCACTTAGCAAACATACAGATTATCCGTTTATATTGAGAAGTAATTGTGGATGGATTGAGTTTTCTTCCTTTTGGTTTAAAGTAAGACAATTTTCCAGCCATTTGCTTGAACTAAAGTTGCATGAAATTCAGATTTTGTTCAACAAATGTAGTGTGTTGGAGGACAAGCCGAGTATTGTTTATGTTTAGTCTTATGATTTTGTTTCCAGTGTCTTCTCAAACATTCACATCTAACAAGTGAGAGCAGATTGGTTTCAGCCTCAAGAAATTGTGCGTACCAACTGCAGAATTTTAAATGGAATCCAAACCAAAGTGCCTCCTCTAATGTCAGTACACTACTTTGTAGAAAATGAGATTGCCAGCGAATTTGACCCTGCAGTGCTCTCAAGTTAATTAACAATTTCCACACCACGAGTCCCTCACAGGTAATTAAAATATTGGAAAAAAAAATCAAGTCACAAAGTATAAAATATGAGCTTCTTTTCAAAGCAAATAAGAGATAATCCTCAGCCATATTATTACTTCCAGTACCATAATCTGTTGCAGTGTAATTCTATAGTGTCAAGTAATTATTATTTTTTAAAAATAATTTTGCTTATATTTTTTTTGTATTTTTATTTATAGGATTTATTTAAGTCAGTTTGAGCCCTGGTTTTCTGGATGTCTATGCAACTTTCTGTTCCAGGAATAACGAGGACTAAAACATTTATTTAATTTTTTCTATGTCTTTAGTAATTAAGGCTGCACAGAAATTAGTTTTGATATTGATAAATATATACATACAGTATGCTTTTCTTTATATGCACATGAATCCACACAGCACAGTACTGCATCAAAAAGAGAAAATAGGGGCCGACAGATATGTTCTTTTAGAGCCGATATTGATCGTTTGTAATGAAGGAGACCAATAATCGATATTTGGAAACGGTATATATGTTTTCAGTAAAAATTAAAATCCTGTTGTCAGAATTTAGAATAACACAAACTCTAAACACCTTTTCCTGTGGTTTGCTTATGTTTTAAGTGAAAGAAGCTTTTCAACATTTCAGTGTTCATATCCATTACTTGTGACAAGTAACCAATCAGATGTTGACTTCAGATAGAGAGAAGGCAGCTGCATCATTCAACCTCATATATTAAAAAAATAAAAATCTTTTTTCATTATTAATATAAAAAATGAAATGATAATCAAAAAATGCTCAATATTTGACTTTATAATCGGCCAGGACGATAATCAGTCAACCCCTAGAAAGTAGAAGTAAGTATAGCAAAGTGCAGGTTGTGTTTTTAGGGAAAACTAATGTTGGTAATGTGATGCAGGATCAGCCGTGATTGTTACATAACCAAGGAGTCATTTATTTTACTCATGGGTTGTTAAGTGTATATTTGCTGTCAATTTACATTATTTAGCAGAAGAAGAAAAAACATGAAAGCACATATACTATAATCAGATGTTCACGTGAGACCATGGGCACTGATGTGTGAACTTGTGTGAGTCAGTTTATTCTAATCAAAAGCATTCATTAAAAATATTTAAAGCGTCAATAAAAAAATTAGTTCTTTAAAACCAAGGACCTTCTGCTGTTACTATAGTCTACTTTGGAATACATTTTTAAAAAATTTTACATTATTGTTATTATTATTAATACTACTACTACTACTACTACTACTAATAATAATAATAATAATGATAAAGTGTCACTCATGTTAGTAAGAATTCAGTTTTCTTTGAAGAGTGGAATCTCTTTAATATTTATTTACCCAGAATCTAATGAAGCTGAAATCAGTGTTCAAGCAAAGGTCTGGAGAGGAGGGGGGACCACATAACCAAGACGAGGACCCCTCCGAAAGAAAAAATGTGACTTGGATTGGTTTCATAAAATAAAAAATTACATTTCTGTCAAAACAAATGTCGAAGCATTTTATCTGACAGTCTACAGTAGTAGAAAGGCTACAGGTTACATGGCACAGGAGAGCCTCGTCAAGTACGAACCTCTTTACTGAAGTGATACTCCACCTAGATCTGCCTTTTTAGCATAAAATACCCAGCCCCTGCAGGCGTAGAGTAGCTGCTAAAAGTTGGTTGTTTCTCTCCTATCAGACAGCAGCAGCTGTCAGTTTGATTATATGTCTCTGTTACAATGGATCCCAGTGGTGACAAGGACAAAACAGCAATACAGACGTTTGAGCCTGCAGGGGGCGAATACGTGATCATTTTGAGTCGAGTACCATTTTACCTACAACACATGTCCAATAATGTGACAAAACCTAAATAATCACTTCATCTCTTTTGTAGTCTGTGACAGTAATTTTATACCTTTTATGTATAATTTGCTTTATTTGCACTGGTCAAATATTAAACACTGTTTGTCCCCACGCTGCACACAGAGGTACACATTTGCATAATTAACCTTGAAGCCAGCAGGGGTTCTCCTATCTCATTTTCTGCTCTGTCGGAATCCAGGTACATTTCAATAAAACAGGAAACAAGCTGACACAAATACAGACATCAAGACATTACAAGTATAAATATCAGTCACAGATTTTCTCAGATTAAGTCAATTAACAGTGAAAGAGTCATTTAAGTCTTTCAGGAAAGATGCCATCAGAGATGAAACACACACGTTATAACTTGTGCAGGCCCTTCATTATCCCAGCAATGGCTGTCTTTTTTCTTTGTCCTGTCTTGTTTGCTTTATGGAAAGAGGAGGTTGTAGCACTAGAGAAAATCAGCCTGTGGTTTGGCTGAGAGCTGGCTTACTGTCACCTCTGTGTACGTGGATCCAGTCAGGATACAGGCAGTCCTTTGAGGTGCAGTCACATGACACAGCGTCGCATTGTCAGTGCACTGCAGACACAGCCCGTAGCCCTCCTGCTGTCCGTTGGAGAAGCGTGTGGAGATGCTCACTTCTTTGTTGCGCTGTAAGGTGGATCCGAAGCGTTCTTTAGGCTCAGACTGTGGACTGCCCCTGTAGATCATCTGTCGTAACATCGACGTGTCTCTGTATAAACACTCACGAAAGTTGGGCTTGCACAGTAGGTAGACCACTGGGTTGTAGATGGTGGAGGACTTGGCAAACACGGCGGCCAGTGCGAATGCAGCAGCAGGAACACGTGTGGCGTCACCGAAAGCAGCCCACATGGCCAAGGCAGCGTATGGGGTCCAGGCACCCAGGAAGCCTATACATACTGCCACTGACAGCTGTGGAGAAAAAGCATTCACACTTAGACAAGCAGAACATGGCATGCACACGATTAATTGAATTTCATATGAGCAGCAAGCACAAATGGTATAGATACAAATATCTGAAGCACCAATCCCTTATTTATGATCACACCTCCACAGATGGCTACATATGCATGAGAAGATAGTACAAAGATAAGGAAGTAATCAGCAATGCATTTTTATAGCCTTTGAATAATTTATTGTTTCATATCCTGCTCAAATCTTGTCAACTGCAAAACCTGAAGTCAGTGACGCTGAAGCGACACAGTCACATCCTCTGACCTTGACAATGAGAGCATGTGCATTGGTGGTCTTGGTCTGCGGTGACACATGTTGCTGGACGGCCTGACGTGACCCCCGCACCGTCAGCAGAATGAAAGTGTAGGAGAAGAAGATGATGGTGCAGGGCAGCACGTAGCAGAAGATGAAAAGGCAGACAATGTAAGACAGAGCCGAAAGCTCGTGGTTGGGAGCCTGCCAGTCAATGCAGCAGGCTGTGCCGTAAGGTTCTGGACTGTAATGTCCCCACTGTGCCAAAGGCCCCACAGCAAAAACAGATGCGTAACACCACACTCCAGCCACCAGGAGGCGGGCATGTGACGAGGAGAACTTGTTACCTGATTGCAGAGGAGATAGAAATAGTTGCTTTTCAGTCATTATGGTAATTTCCTTCCCTTCCGGATCTCTAACTGTCTGACAAAGTCGGTAGTGTTGACACCATCATGGTTTTTTAATGCCCTCACCATGGTTAGGGATGCAGACTTTAAGGCAGCACACTAAGGAGAGCGCTGTGAGGTTTGTCAAGCTGCATAGACCAAACAGCACTCCACACATAGCATAGAGCTGGCAGGTGATTTCTCCAAACAGCCACCTGCACAAACAGATGAGGAGTAAAGGGGAATGTAATAAAGACTGCAACGAATGACCATTTCAATCCTAGATTAATCTGCTGATTATTTTCTTGATTAATTGGCATTTAGTTGACGATTGCTGTCAGCAGCTGCCAGTTAGTCAATTCATTTTTCAATGTGACATGACTTTGATCATGAGAAACAAAAAGAAAGACAAGAGGCATATAAGATACCTGTGTGAAAAAGCTGACGGTATTGCCAGTGGAAATAAAGAGAGCGTCATCCCAAGGTCACTGATGGAGAGATTGATGATGAAGAACTCTGCTGGTTTCAAGGTTGATCGCTTGTGATATGCAACAAGTAACAGAATGCAGTTTCCTAGGAGGGACAGGATACCTGCGAAAGAAAGAGGATTGAGCTGGGCTAGAGATGCATGAAGTCAGCAAAAGATCAACACAGAGAGACTTGGCTTGTTGTGTGGACTCACAAAAGACACTGTAGAGTGAACCCATGAGGATGTCGTGCTCCTTGGAGATGGTGGAGGCAAAAACAGCAGATGTGTCTGAAGTATTTCCCATCTAAAATGTTAACACAAGGGTCATTCCATTAAAAAATCAATCAGTGCCTCCCACCTGACCCCCTCAGAATCGACTGATTTTTTTATGTGCAATAATTTTAGTGTATTTAATGAAGCCAAGATTTTACCTTCAATTTCTGAACATTTTCAGAGTTACAGACCCTTGAAGTACACAGGGGGGGCTTGAAATTTTACGCTTTTAATTGGCATTATTTTTTTCCAGCGTATTTTAGCCGTCATAACATCATAAATACAGGAGGTAGCCACATGAAGTTTTCAGTGATGTAAAACACTCTGAGCTCCCTTAGAAACTACAACCAAACACATTTTATATTCACTTCAGGAGTCTAAATCTCTTTTTTGTTGAATACAGTTTTTTTCTATAACCATCTTTGATTATAGTTTCAATAACAAATCTGCACCAGTTGAATATATGAAGCATAGAATATTAAAAATGAGCATTAGTACCATGGATGTTTTCTTCATCATCATCAAAATAAAAGAGAATGACTTTCTTCATCAATGTGTTATCTGTTTTCTAATGATTCCCTAGAGAAGACTTTACGAATTATATTTTGGGCAAACCCTCAAGAGTCCTACCACTATGTAGGATAGGTGTTTGGTCAAACATACAACCTACAGTTTGATATCAGGCTCATCTTCTCGTTGTCATTCCTTCTGTGTCAAAACGATTTTCTAATAACAGCAGTTTATAACAAGGGTCAAATGTGTTTTTTAGCAATGAAACTATTGATGTGTCTTTCTCCTGCAATTGTGAAGTTATGAGGGCTCAAATATGCTACAAAGAGTAAGGCAAATAATGCATAATTTTGACCCACCTCTATGTACTTCAAGGGCCTGTAACTGAAAATCAGAATCTATTTATTATATGAAGGTATAACTTTACATGGCTTTATTAAATACAATACAGTTATTGTACATTAAAAATAAAAATATGATTCTGAGGGGAAATTACCGAAAATCAATGCTCCTAGCCTTTTCAGGCTAACAACATCATGAGAAAAGAGAATTCAAATTAAAGCAGCTATAGCTGCAGATGAGTGACAAAATAGCTCTGTCAGCCTGTGGGGGGCTGTTTTGGTGGCAGGGTTTGAGTACACTTGTTCCCTTTGGATTGAGGGTTACTGCAAATCAATACAAACTTGTTCTGAGTCACATTTCTATTTTGATGTTAGTGAGCTCTAACTGAATAGTTTGCTGATCCCAAAAATGATGCTGTGGCCTTCGCAGTCACCAGATGCCCATACGATAGTGACTTCAGTAATGACCTGGCGGCGCGCCCTAAAACATACCCTGCTTTATCAACTATTTTATTGTAAATGGGACCATTATTTACAAAACTGACACTGTGCTGTATTTAAGGAGATGTAAAATAGCAATAAAGACCATAAACTCCTAAGGGAAATTCTTACTGAGGTAGCTAATCAAGGGAGAAGGAGGGTCATTTTGTCATAGACTTCTGTTTAATCAAACTTCTTTTTGCAACCAGAAGAGTTTCCCCCTGCTGGCTGTTAAAAAGAATGCAGGTTTAGGGCATTATCAGTTTGACTTTACTTTCCAGTTGGCTACGTTCAGCTTTTATATAGAGTCTACATGTCTTATATTATGTAACACATTTGTGCCAGAATTTAAGCTTTTATTTCAATGGTTTTACAGTCACAGTCACACTTTTGATTGTATCTCATGTGGTAAAGCTTCATTACCTGTTTTCAATCTATTACATCATGAATGTTGAACTGAAACTCAGCTTTAAAGAACTTATATTGAAAATCATATTCCAGTGTCTGTTAAAAAAAAAAAAAAAAAAATCACAATTAGATATTTTCCCAGAATCGTTTACCCTACTCCACCACTGTCATTAAAACGTGAATTAAGGCAATATACACTGAACAAAAAATATAAACGCCCCATGTCAAATATAAGAGTTTTATGAACATTTGGGTTATGCAATATATAGAGAAACTCAAAATATATTTTCAGTAATTACTGATCTTCATACCGGCATTGATAACATCGTGGTATGGCCATTTGTTGCGGATTGACAGTCCTTTGAACATGATAGGGGTCAGGTTGAGGAATTTGATTTTTCAGTATCTTGTGTGTCCGCCAGCTGCGTCTCTCAGAGCAACACATCTTCTTCGCATGGAGTTGAGCAGATTGTCTATGGTGGCCTGTGGAATGTTATTCCATTCCTCCTGGAGTGCCACACGGAGCTGACCCACATTGCCTGGAACTGGAACACGGTCCTGGACACGCCTATCCAAAACATCCCAAAGATGCTCTATTGAGGACATGTCTGGCGAAAATGCAGGCCAGTCCAGAACTTCATTGTCCTCTTTTTGAAGGAATTCCATGCAGATGCGGGCAACATGAGGTCAGGCATTGTCATGTTGAAAGGTGATGTCATGCTGGCGCACAAATGGCACAACAATTGGGGTGAGAAATTCGTCCCGATATCTTTGCGCATTAAGGTTCCCTTCAATGAAGTGCAGTGGTGTACTATGCCCATATGTGATGCCTGACCACACCATAATGCCACCACCTCCATGGGCAACCCTGGGCATAACATTTGCATCTGCAAACCATTCACCCACGCGTCGCCCGACACACTGTCTTCCGTCTGCACGATATATCTGGAACCTGGATTCATCCGTGAACCTCACTCTTCTCCAGCGTGCCAAGGGCCATCGGACATGTGCGTTCGCCCATGGGAGTCGGTTCCTATGCCGGACAGCAGTGAGATCCAGACCACGGTGAGGGCGCCGAGCATACAAGTTGGCTTCTCGTAGGCAGTTACGGACAGTCTGAGGTGTGATGCGTCTATTGTGCAGACCAATAGTCTCATCAGCTGTGTGTGTCGCTGTTCTTAGCCGATCCCGCAGATGGACGAGCCGGATGTGGCGATCTTGTGCTGGAGTGGTCACACGTGGCCGACGAGGATGAGGTCGATTTGCAGTCTTCCAATCTGTTGGAAACAAACTCTTAAACGGCCTATGGTCCAATAATGGACATTGAGCCATGTAGCTACTGCTCTGGTAGACGTCCCTACATCCAACATGCCAATGGCACGTACCCGCATAACTTGCGACATCTGAGGCATTATGACATGTGACAAAATTTGACATTTTGGAGTGGCCTTTTATTGTCCCCAGCCCAGGGATTGCCCAGCTGTTGCTCATTTTGTCTGATCACCCACTGGACATGTCCCACACACGCACTGAGTAAAAAAACAACTCACTGACAGCAAGTTGGATTAAAAAATATACACAAATCAAGAGAAATATTACTTTTGTACAATAAAATGTCAGCAAATGCTCATTTACAGCTGTTCACTCCACATGGCAACAATATTTGACATGGGGCGTTTATATTTTTGTTCAGTGTATTTTGGAAGGCTTGTGTTTTATCCCTCCAGTAGAGTTCCAGACACTTGTAGAATTAATGCCAAGGTACAGTGAATGAATGTGGTTGCACAACAACTTACTCAGACACTTTATACTGTTTTCTCTTTTGATTATCACCCATCTGTTCACTCTCACTGCTGGACCAACACTTCTCCTGTTTTGTTTCTGATGCATTTACAATGGCACCTATTGTCTGTAGCACAAGACCTGCATTGCTTACTGTCTCTGTTGTGCAATGTCTCCAGCTTAAATGATCAGATGTAAAAAAACAAACAAACAAAAAAGCTCTTTAAAAGAAAATCCCCTGCAAAAGATGAGGACTGTTTATATTATATACAAAGCAGGATTGACAGATGGACATGATCATAAAGACTGTGCCTTTCAGGATTTACAACAGCAGCTTGAGAGCAAAATAATGAGATTAAGTAAAGATGCGTCCAAATTTGCCAGAAAAAAAATTGCGAAATGGCAGTTTTTGTCCCCCAGCAGACACGCAAATGCAATCCAGATGGATGAAGAGATAGAATAGATACCATAAATGAGCAGAGGTACGAGGGTAGTTATCCTGCCATGACAGAGAGCTGACAGGCGCTCAAGCATTTCGGAGAGCTAATAAATTAACCTAATACATTGTTAGAAGAATCTTAATAGTGTCTTCTCAGCATCAGTTGAAGCATGTCGCAGGCACTCATGCTCGTCGTTGTGAGCCAGACTCGTATTCTATTCAGCATGTTCTTGCCTATTTGCAAGCAAGATGATGATTGCTATTCAGAGCGTCGCTTTGCTCTGGTATGGAGAATGAAAAATAAACTGGAAATCTGGGAGGAAAGCTCCGCGCAGGCATGAATGTGGAGCAATACTTGGAGGGCTTTTGGAGATGATGCAGAGGCAACATTGACTCTCAAGGACTTAGGCAATCACACAGGATACAGAATGAGGCTTCATTACTATGCAAGTCGGCACACCAGTCAATGACGAAATGTCCAGTCAGTCTGAGTGGAGGAGACTCAGTACATAGTTATGGCCAGTTTTAGTGCCACTCACTCTGTTCTCAATAAAAAAAGAGGTCATAAAGGATTGATTTGTTAAGAGCTTGATCTGTGAAGGACAAACATCTACCAATATACAGTATGTAGTAATGGCTTCTTTATATTCTTGTATCGTGGTATTTGTATCAGCATCTGATGTCTAGCCCTCTTATTTCTGTCATAGCTATAATTTCATGATTTCAACAGACAACACAGTCTGTAGGTGGATGTTTCTTGTAGGATAACTGTGCTAAACCCAAGAGACAAATATCTGTACGCTCAGATCTGTGGGAAAAAAAAGATGTTTTACCTCTTGCAAGCTCTTGGAGAGAAGCTGTCACGCCTGGAAGATTTAAAGCTCGCATTAATCAAAACGACTCTTGCACAGATTTTTTGTGCAGATGCTGCTCTCTCAGGTGTACTGGTCTTTAAGCTCCAGCACCTCCACCAAGCCTGAGCGAGCAGCATGTCCCTTGATTTTTATAGCCCACGCTGTAGTTAACAAGCATCGGTTTGAATCAGCATTGTTTAATTTCACAAATGAACTT